GTTCGTTTTTCTGTGTTGCTTCGACGCGCAAATCAAAGCAGGCGTGCCAATCAAAGTATGTATCATGCGGCGGCCTACGCACGCTTAGATCCAGCTCTTGCGGAGATCTTACGGATCTATCCTATCCAAAACACAATGTATGGGCATATTTCGTGAATTTGGTGAACGTTGCTGGTGTGGCAGGGTTTGCCTTGTTGCGAACGTCTAACAACATGTTTGCCAAGTATGGAGGAAGAACGGAAGCAGCGCGATCTCATCGCACTCCATATAAAGCAATGTAATTGGTTTCGATCACGCAAATGTGCTGCCACCTGGTGTCTCAGAGTTAAGCTGATATATCACACATGCTTCTTGAAAATGCAGAAGAAGAGGAAGGAAAAATGTTTACATAGGGTTGAACTTAAATTTGGTGGTTCAATAAGTCTTTGGCCTGACAACCAGGTCGTGTCACTAATAAAAAATCTCTTTATTTTTTAAAAGTACCATCTGTCTCTAGACTACTGGAAAAATTTCAGACGAATCCGTTCACGGACCTATAAGCTACAGCGCTTGAAGAGACCAACCTCTAGTTTTTATCGAAATATGGAAAAAAAAAGAATTCGATTTTTTAAATCAACAACAATTTTTGTAAGACAAATCTATCAGCAAAGCTTAAACTAAGCTTGGTGATATTGTTCAGACTCTCTTCTATCTACTGGAGCTAGTAAGAAGTTCTATGTTACTTTTGCATGTGATAATACAGGCAACGGAAAACAACTACCCCAAAAATGTCTCTTTTTGAAGAAATGATTAAAAAAATCCAAGATCTTGCTTTGAGGGTCTGCAATATCCTAGTGAATAATCCAGAATAGATCCGAAGCATCACGTGGAACAGAACATTTCGATATATCAGTCCAACATTTGTGCAAGAAAACTTCACTTGAACGGAGGCTGCCGCATTTGTTCACAATGGTTTTGAATGGTAGTTTTATTGCGATGTTTTAAGCATTCTATGCACAAATAATGTAAATATTTTTGTTGATAATTAATTAGCAGTATCCTACAGAACCTATTCAATCCATTTTGGGATAAGGTATAGTCTACACGGTCATCAAAAACCGATATGTCCGCAAAAAGCCATATAATCCCTTTTTTTGTTCGAGCTCGCGTTTTGTGGGACCGTGTCTTTGAAAATATTGTTTTATCAACTGAAATAAGTTGTAACGGTGCCAAATGATTAATTTATGTCATTTTTAAATTTTTTGAATCAAAAGATTACTGTCTTGAGAGACAAAAAATATATTTCAAAATTTTCACAACCTGGTGTCTCTCAAAGCCAAACAGGTGATATTAATTTTCTATGACTTTGATAACGAATCACTTTGTTATTTCCGATGTGGCTTGGTGGGACTTCTATCTATGCCCTGAGTGGAATAATAGTGCAATATAATTGCTTCCCTTCCGAATAAAGTAATAAAATATTGAAATAAGGTGTATTTTGAGGTTGGTCTCTTTCAAGCGCTGTAACTTATAGGTCCGTGAACGGATTCGTCTGAAATTTTTCCAGTAGTCTAGAGACAGATGGTACTTTTAAAAAATAAAGAGATTTTTTATTAGTGACACGACCTGGTTGTCAGGCCAAAGACTTATTGAACCACCAAATAAATGCCAGAGAGCTACAGTGTTCAAAGTGCGATCGCCCTTCGGGAAGCAGTCTCTATATTGATCTCACATATCGAGAGGTAGTTCGGCGCAGTACACGAAGCACATTAACTGGCCAACGACTGTCGATTAGCGATATAAGTGAAAGACACGACTGTCTGAAAGTCGTACATATCAATAACTACCAAGCATTTTGGCTATAATTGATTTTTTTTCCATAAAAATCAATATTAAATTGTGATGCTGTATTGGAAAGTAAGGAATAAGCTATGGTTTAACTATAAAATGACATATTTTACTCATTGGATACCATTTTGCATAAGTTTTGTATGAAATTTCTCATGGGTCCAAAAAGACCCCACCTGTGCGCTTACGTTACTGTTTTAGCCTGTGCGGTTAAGGGTTAATAATAATAATAAGGGTTAAATAACTTAAATTGAAATATTGGTTGCGGGTATTCTTTAAAAAAAACTAAGTTTTTTAAGCAGAAACTTTTTTCGCCTGTTCTTGGAATAAACCAACAAAAATGGTTATTCTTCGAAAGTAAACATTTTAGGTAAAATATTTGAATGATGACGATCCACTTCTATAATAAATAAAATGACTAAAAATGTGTTCGATCTCAATGAAAATGGAACTGATTAAAATAAAAATGTGTATATAAATTTATTCCGAATATTAAAATTAGCTTGTGTTACTTTTGAAAAACGAGAATATAAAAATACGTTCTTTTTTGCTTCGTTATATTTGAAATAGCGAATATACTACACACAATAATATATAAACCGGAAAAAAAAATGTGAGCGATTTGTAAACGTGTGCGACTGCCTGTGTGAATGATGTGAGATACCAAAAGAAAGAGAGAATATACAGAAAACGAAAAAAAACAGTGTGTCTCGGAAACAAAATTGTGTACAAATAAAATTACGTCACTATGATATTTTCAGCGATGTTTTAACCAAAATCATATTATGTATGTATGATTTTTGTTTTGATGTTATCCCCAACCCAAGCGTTTGAATTCAATGAAATAAGTTTGTGATACTCTGATGTTATTTGTGTTTTGGCCTTCGTGCTATCAAGTAGAATTTTCTGCGTAATATTTTGATCTAACCACGTGAAACAATTGATATTTTTATAAATTTCTTTTAAAAAGTCCGATTTTAATACTGAAAAAAATGGGCAAAGAAAAAGAAGAATCCGAATCGCAATATGGATTTAAAAACAAAGAGAAAGCTGAAGAGACTGTTAAATTGTTAGCTGAACATGATATACAATATCAAAAATTGACGGTGCGTGGTCTTTTGGGACGGGCAAAACGTGTACTGCAAAGTATGTTTAAAAGAACTCGCCAATTAAACGAATGAATAAAAGTGTTAATTTTACATTTCCAGTAACAAAAGCAGAGGATAAAAAAGCCAACATTCAAGCAGCCATCAAAGTGTTTGAAAATTGGCTTGAAGAAAATCCAAGCGCATCGAGCAGTTCAAAGAAGAATTCGGAATCAAGCAAAGAAGACAAGGAGAAACCCGAAACCGTTCCAGGTCTAGGTATTTTGCAAATATTTTCAAATTTATTCCACCATTTATCAGTTATAAATTATAGCACTAAATTCAATATAGGTTTCAAGGACGAGGAAGCAGCTCTCAACACTTTGAAGTAAGTAAAACGAATGGAACAATGTATCTTAGTTTCTATTAAATGAATTTGTTCAAATAGAATTCTGGAGGGTCGTGATCCCAATTATCAAAAATTGGCCGTTAAAGGATTGATTGGAAATTCGAAGCGTGTTTTACAATCGACAAAAAATGAAGAAAAGATTCAATCAATCAAGGCAGGAGTTAAAATTCTTGACAATTTTTTGGAAGATTTCGATCGAGAAAATCGTGGCGCCCAGAATATGGCATATTTACCAGTGGACATCGTCACCGCATTTGATAAACCCAAAGACAAATTAGTCATCGAATTTATTGAAATTTATGATGGTAAAGCAAGAGGACGCTATGAACATTTGCGAACATTGCATCCAAAAAGTGATGATTCAAAAACCTGGGACATTATACGAAATAAACAACTTGAAAAAATCAACAAAAAAATCAAAGAAAATAAATCAAAATTATTTAACGATAATGGTTCACCGACGAAGGAGCACTTGGAACTGATTCATTGGGCCTATTCACCAAATGCTGACAAATTGAAGACATATGTTGAAAGTGGCAATGAGAAATCGAATACGCAAAAACGAAAATCAACAAATGACGATGGATCGGTGCCAGAAAAGAAGAAAAAATGATTTTCTTTTTGTCGATTTATTAACAAGAACAACAATAAATTACAGTTTGTACAAACAAAAGAAATATAAAAACAGCAAATATTTTTTTAATTAATCAAAATGATTCATCTTAACGTGCAAATAAAAACAATGACCACACTCTATTATATTAATTAAATCGTATGGTTTTTGGGAGAGTTCCCTTTTTTTTGGCTACTTCAATGTTTTTATAATAATCGGAAAAATCTATATATGGGTTGATTCGAACGTTTATATCAAAAAATTCACTTCGATTGGAACTATTTGTGGCGGTTGAACCACTTGTGTAATTCGAATTGGTTGTATCTAAATTACTGGTATGCTCTGATGATGTTGTCATTGTGGTATTGGTTAGTGCATGCTCTCGATTGACTGGATTGAATGTGACCTATATTTTTTTTTTTGTTGGATCGAAAATCAAATGTTTTAGAAAATTGAATTGATTTTTATTTGTAATGTAGCGCTATTGACCTTATTTGGTGGCGGTAGTGGTGGTGTAAACTGTATTCCATTTGGCATTGGATAGTTGAAGTTACGTATCATCAATGTCATGTCGGGTCTACTCTTGAAGGAAGTATTGTTTGTTCGTTGCATATGATGGGCCAAATGTTGAGACATGATTTTTTCGATGACCGATTGGGCGACGATCCCAAGTGATGGTTTTATTCGAAAACAGTGCACAATACTCTGTACCAGTTCACGATTAACATTTTGTTCTTCATGATTGTGAACTTCTTGGAGTGCTTTGCACAATCCAGAGGACATCATGACTAAAAATCTATGACTGTCGTCTAATGGAATTGGTCCAACAATTTCTAATCGCGATAATATTGACTCGCTATCAATGAAAATGCGAGAAAATTAATTAATTAGCATACAATTGTTGGTTTAGACTTTAGAGTTCAATTTACCATCCGTATGTAGTGGTTTCTTGATTAATTTCACAGCCAGCGCTCATTTGAACGGCTCGCAGCACATTGCTACTATCGGTTTTGCATAAGATCACCCGACATTTACCTAGGGATGATCAGAAGAAACGAATGGAAATTAATCAATAAGTAATGAAACGGAATGGAAAATGAATCGACATTTACCAACATTACAAGTATATAATTTATAATTGTAGATAAAAGCAAGAGCTATATGGATTCCGTAGACGGTATTTTGTTCTGCAAAAGACTGAAAATAACCAAAATTGTTGTTAATACGGACTGAATGTTGTTCTTTGTCGAGGGTTTTTTAACCACTATCACTTTACCTGTAATGTTGCCTCTTCATTGCTATTTCTTATTTGATCCATATTTTGAACTTGTTGTGTAAGGCACTCATCGATCCAATTCAAGTAGTCTCTTTCGAGTGAACTGAAAGCCTGCCTAAAGAAACACATTTAATTTAATAAAAAATAATGTGAATTTTCAAAATTTGATTTAGATACCTTAGAACATCTTTCACATCTTCATGTGTATTATCGTTTAATTGTCCAAATAAAATTTCTGCTACGAGTTTTTCTTTGGCATATTTCGAAAAACCATTCCCTGAACAAATCACATAGAGTGACCTATACGAGAATAAAAAAACAAACAAGCAGAAAAATAAAACAAATTAAACAAAATTAAATTAAAAGATATATTTTAATAATGATTAAAAGAACAAGCAAATAGCACAAATTGCAAATATTTACATTCGATCTGACTGTTGACATTGAAAACTATTATCATATGATATATGTTGTAAGCCTGCTGTCGTTCCATTTTCGTCATACAATTGATTTATGGCTGTACCAATTCCAGTAAAAATACAATTTGGTAATTCATCAGTTATCGATTTTGTATGTATTTCAATATTTTCGGCACGCATTTTTCAAACAATTTCAACTATATTAGCATCATAACACCTAATTGACAACAACTGATTTGTACTGATGCTTTCAAGCACAGACATTTACAAACATATGTCATTTGTTCACATACATAACTATGACGTAGTTTACATCATCGATTTATTCTATCGTTACAACCAACTAAGTTAACTCATCTTGCCTGCCTGATACGATTATCAGTGTTATTAATTTTTCTTTTATTTTGATTCAATTTTTTTGGACTGAAAATAATGCCATGGGAGAAATGTGTGAAATGAATATACCATCTTTGATAGTGATATATTTTCTTTTATTTATTTATGATGAAGTTGAGTTGCATGTGGCAACACTGTTATGTCTGTATTGACAGTGGCAATCCCAAAGTTCTGTCGACCAAAACAAAATACTTGAACATTACAGTGGACAGATTTATTGTTTCTGTAACACGTAAAACATAAAATATACTATCCAGTTTGCATTCGGAATTCGATTTTAATATATTGAGTTTAGTGCTATAATTGATAAATGGTGGAATAAATTTGAAAATATTTGCAAAGTACCATCGATTTTATTGTGAAAATCAAAGAATAAATTGATAATTTTTTTTCTATCTGTGTTGCATCAAAAATGAGAGAGAAAAAGGTTGATGGAGTGTAAACATGGCTGACATTTGGATTGTTCGATATTTATTGTGAAGCGAGTGAGCGAGAGAGAGAGAAAGAGAGAGAGAGAGAGCGAAAAGAAGAAAAACATAAAAAAATCAGAAACGAGCCCATATATAATCAATTTTTGATTGACTTCTGTTCAGTTTATTCACTTTGGTTCCGAATAAAAGAAAATATATGTGACTAAAATGGATTCAAGTACGTATGGTTCGATGCATTCGAGCACAGCCCAGTAAACATGCAGAAATTACTTATTGGAGATATGGGTGTTGGTACATGTAGCGCAAAGAGCATATCCAATTAAATTTGGGTCAAAAACGTCAATATACATAGATTGATGCAGAGAAAAGCAAAAGTGATTTTTTTTCTCTCGTTCGCATAACGAGCATGCAGAAAGTATACGCAAATATTGTTTTGCAATCAAATTAAAAATATAAAAAGAAAATAAGTGTAGAAAATGTTGAAAAGTTCTGAATAATAGTTTTTTCTGCATTGTTTGCGCTGTGACTTGTTGTTGATTTTGTTGTGATTCATTTTCAATGGATATTTAGATATATATATTTTTATAATGTGTGTCTATAATAAAATGCGATGAAATGTGATGATTTTTGTTTGCAGGCTCGCCATCTGAGATATGAACGCTGGTCTATGGAGCTGTATATTGCCTTGTGGTTTTTATTGGTGTGATAATAAAGACAGGCCACGTATGACAGATAGTACAATGGGTGTGAGCACATCAACAGCTGATTGTCCTGCAACTAGCAACCCAATCCCATCGACGTCTGGCGGTGTTTATATTCGTGATCAACGTCGGAAAAAAGTGACTGGTTTCGCAACGCTTAAAAAGAAATTTATTCGTCGTCGACGATCGTCAAAGGCATGCGATCATGGGCGAGTTTTACGTGATTTTTTATCCGATTGGAGTTCAATTGAATTGGCTTCATTATTAGAGGAATACGAAGCATTGGCCGCATTAAAAGATCTATCTGTGCAAGCAGAGCTAGCACGTCCGCCAGCTGCAACATTCAAACAAGATCTATCGTCTTTATATGATTTTAAATATTGCACAGACTGTGATTTGGTATTTCGTAAAAGTGTATTTCCCGTGCATCGTGCACTATTGTCAGTTCGATGTCCGTACTTTCGTGATTTATTGGCCGGTTGTCCTGGCTTTGGAGCGCGAATATGCTTAGAATTGCGTTCATCACCGGTCGATACGCCATTATTTTCATCGCTTTTGCGATATCTTTACACGGGCGATTTATGTTCGCACGATCCATCGATTGATGTGAATTTACTTCGTCGACTGGGCGAAGATTTCGGTACACCAAATCCACTTGAACATGATTTGCGATACCTTTTGGAAACTGGTGATTATGCTGATGCAGCGCTTGTGTTTACAGCTGAAGGATCTGATTACCATCGGCCCGATTCTGGTAGTTCAGAGTACGGCTTTCGACCAAAACTAGAGTTGCCATGTCACAAAGCAATACTTAGTGCGCGTTCGCCGTTTTTTCGAAATTTGATACTGCGTCGTATCCGCAACGATGAGGATCAAGAGCGATCGCTTCATGTACCGACTAGAATTGTGCTTGATGAGACTGTTATACCAAAACGATATGCACGAGTATTACTGCATGCTATCTATCTCGATACCGTAGATCTATCACTAATTTTGCGCGGAAACGGTTGTGGAAACAGTGCTGGTAGTCTTGGTGAAGTACAAGCTTTGACACATACAGGTCGAACGCGACCGACACCATTGGAAGAAGCTATGGAATTGTATCAAATCGGTAGGTTTTTGGAATTAGACATTTTATCGCAAGGATGCGAAGACTTAATACTCGAATGGCTAACGCTCGAAACACTGCCACAAGTATTAAAATGGGGAAATCAGCCGCACGGCTCTGCCTGGGTTTATCGTCAATCATGCCATTTTTTGCGTGAAGAATTTTCGTCGGTGATTGCATCGCCTGTCTTGCATCAGTTGGACAAGTCACAATTGATAAACGCACTACAGAGTAATTTCTTACAAGCATCCGAATTGGAAGTACTTCAAACTGTTTTAAAATGGGCTGAACACATTCAAATACGTCGCATGGAAGAACGTGAACCAAATTTATTAAGTCATACGGCACATTCTGTGACGCGAAAAGGAATAAAAAAACGGGATTTGAGTGACATTGAATTGCGTGAAATTTTATCAGATTTGTTGCCATTAGTTCGAATGGATCATGTCTTGCCACCGAATAGTGAAGTGTTGAATCAAGCGATTCGACGTGGATTAGTTAGTACACCACCGTCGCACATGATTGGCGACGAGCGTGAAAATTTCCGAGTAAATGCATGGATACGCGGTGGAAAGAATCACGGATTATTTGTTCGGCCCCGATTGTTTATGCCTTACTATGAGGAAGTAAAAACATTGCTAGAGGATCCAGCCACATCACAACAAATTGACGTTTTTCGAATGCGACGCAGTCGACATATGCCAGATATTCCAGACACATTGTATATGGTTTCACGTTTGGGCACAGATGGTGCACCGGCTGATGTTGTGACCGCATCACTACCTGCACCCGATCCAAACACAATGATGGCTATGTCAAAAAGAGAGCAAAAACTTCGTGGCTCGCCAGGTTGTCAACGAGCTTTGTCACTTCCATTGTCGTCAAGGCAAGAGATTAGCCGTCAAATTCGGTTACGTGTTGTGAGAGAATTTAATTTGCCCGACGGTGTGGCCGATCTGTTAGAAAAAACTTCGTGCTATTGTGCCGATGATGAAACTAACATAAATACAGCACAATCCACCGAAAATATCCATCATGGAGGTAAAAAAATATCATTTAAAATAAATATTTTTTTCGAATCTCAAATTTCGAATGGAATGTAATGTTTTTGGTTTTTATTTCAATGACAGAAAATCATGCAATGGATGATGAAGAATCTACTCCACCACCGTCACCTGCAATGCAAAATGCCACTGAAGCGAATGCGGCACAATTGTTGAGCTCGTGCTATGATGGAAATTTAACATTTCCACGGCAACAGCACACCCAAAATTATGGCCCGATCAGTGGTTCAAGTAGTGTGCGTCGTCATGATTTGCCAGCTCTAATAACCGAAGGTGAAAATATGATGTATCGTATGCCTGGTGAAAATGAGGGTGCATCTTGTTCCGAAAGTCATTTATCCGAAATAATGCCAGATGTTGCTATGGCCACGGCCTCATTGGGACATTTACAGCTCAATGAACCGCCAGAAAGTTTACAACTGCAATTGGATCTTGGCGATGGTTCTAGTCATGGTGCAGCAGGAGTTGGAGTTCACGGAATGCAGGTAACATTCTACATCATAAAATCGTTGACACTCTTTTCTTATACATTCAAATGTCTATAACAATGCATATGATTACAGCACCATCATATTTTAACACCACAAGCTGGAACTATTCATCACTATATCAGACGACCAACTTCTCCTTCACCATACGTAATTCATCGCCAAAGTCCGGCATCTAGTTCATATCACTCTATTCAGCCAAGATTTCTATAGAAACTCAGAGTCTCCTCTTCTTTGCTATACCTTTTTTTGGGAAAGCGATTGTTGTTGCCAGAACATAAAACTGTCGAATATGAATTCAAAACCAAATTCGGTGGTAAGCAGAACGAACACACAGTAAACGGCTTATATTTTGGAGTTTCGATAAATAAAAACAAAGAAAATAAACAAACAAACAGAAAAGGCTCCAAACTCCATTAAGATCTGGTATTAGTTAGTATTTTCGATTAATTTTGAGAAGAAGAAAAAAGTGAATTTACTTTTTCATTGGGATTTTTTTTTCTGTCGATTTTAATTCATATATACCGGATTACGATTGTATTATTAAGAGGAACAAAAATACTGTGTATGTGCGAATGTGATGTTGATAAATTTTCATGAAACATAATAATTTGAAAGAGAAAAACAAATGTGCAAATCAATCAAATTTAATTTGATAAAACGATAGAACTTTCTCTTTGTATATAATAGTATTGCGTTGTGCTTTTTCGCCTGTATCATTTCATAATTCACTACACATGGACTGCATATTTTTTATTTTATTTTAAGTTCGTTCAATAGTGACTCAAATCGAATTGAAAATTTAAGTGTCGCTGAAAAACCAGCATACTCGAGTGTTTTCTTCAAATTTGTTTTAATTTGATCTTTTTTTCGTTTTTGTTTCTTCTTTCGTATGTGATAAAACATTAAAGTATGCTGTAAATTACAAGGAACACTGTGTGTTGTATACAAAAAAGGATCACATCACCCATAGCGCCATTGTTTGAATTATATTCATATAAAATAGAAAAGAATATGTTATATAAAATAACTTATGACATGAACAAACAAAAAAATACTCTTAAGAAGAAAATTAACTGATTGAATCTGGATTGCATAATTTAAATCAATTGTGCGTCTAACGAAACCGTTTCTGATTGAATCTACAGCGGTTATGTAGAATTCTATTCTCTTCAATAATTCGGAAATTATTTTGCTGTTAATATTTATATCACAAGAGACATTCAACAGACGAGATCCACAGAAATATCCTTTTGATCCTACAAACCTTATTTTTTTTAAATATATGTATATCTCATGATCCTTCATTAAAATGAATTCACAAAGCATATTTCTCGACTTAATCTATATATTACAAAAGCGGTACTCCTACATTTTGAAATCAAATAACAAATCCAATCAATAAATCATCAAACGAGTAATACATTTTTATCTAATTTTATTCGCTTTATTTGTTTAAATAAGAATGATTATAAATTATTCTTTTATATGTTCATGAACACACATATACACACACACACAAACACAAATACACAAACAGACCCAAATACAAAGAGAATATAAAAATTCAAAAGAAAAACATGAAATCATTGGTTTGATTAACCACACTAATCTTAGCTCCAACGTTTACAACGCATAAACGACACAGAAAGTATAAAAATAAAATCTATGTATAAAACTTGGACAAGTGTGACATCAAACTGAGTCAAATATATTTTTTTATAATAAATTTAAAACCAAACACAAGAAATGGTTGTTAATGCATTGTATAAAAACAAAATGATGAATAATGTTGAAAAATAATATGAGTATAAAAGTTTCAGTTTCCAAATTTGAACACATACACTTACACAATGTTTCAATCAAAGTTTTAAGAGAAAAAAAAAACAGAACAATTTCAGTGGAAAGAAATGATTAGGGCTTTGTTTTTAATTTTGAAAAATATGCATACGAATTATGATTATATTTGTTGTGCTCGTGATGACTATAAAAAGCTAATTATAAAATTAGGTGACATGAATTCAATACGGTCATATTCACAAATGCGAAAAGAATCAGTCTATTATATTGTCAAGATTCTGCACGTTGATTTCGACCAAAACTGAAAACGGTGTGATTTTTTTTGTACTGCAAATATTTGCCAACTGCGTTTTATTTCGTAAAAGTCAAATATTTCTACATTTCATCTTCTTCATTTTATATTTGAATGTGTAAGCATAGTTATGATTTCAAATTTGCCCTTAAAAAAAAATACTGAAACAATACAAAGAGTTCAAATGAATGCGAAACTTTAACGAGATTGAAAATAAAAGTGGTATACATCACATTTATTTTCAACGCGACCTAATTTTGCACTTATTTTAACTCAATGCCAAATCTCAGTATTTTTTTAAAAGACAGATTTGAGATCATAATTATTCTTAGCTCCATTTATTTAGGCTTCATCCATTATATTTTTTAACTCATTAAATTTTTGTTGTTGTTGTGAATACACAATATTATTTATTAAATGGTGTTGTCTTTGAAGTGAACTGCCCATTTACAACTTACAATGATCTGCTCGAATCATCCCGAAAATGATTATGATTCAATGAATTCGTTCGAATATATTTATTTAAAAAAAAATTGATATATATATATACATATACATTACTATAATTTTTTTTAATTATAATTTCATTTTGCAATAAAAAACACAATACTAATGAATGCTAAATCATTCAAACAGAAATTCGTCTGTTTTAAAACAAATGCAATTTATGCATTGCTAGATTTTCTCACATTTTACTTCTTTAAACTGAATAAAAATGTTCGATAGATTTTTTTTTTGTAAATTTTATTTTACGAATTTTATGTATATTAAATCCTTCATCGACAACGGCGATGATATTATTTTAATTAACACATTTTGCTACATTTTTTATTTCGAAAATATGAACCTTATTCAAATAAACATGACGAGGGTCCATTTTTTTGATGAGAAAAGCAGATTTCCTAAAGTAGAGTTATAAATTCTCTTAAGTGAATTCCTAATGTCTATTTATTGGCATACATTGACGAATAGTGTTTGAATTATGTATATGTTTAGAATAGTAAGCAGAAAAACAACAAAAAGTACATTTTCGTTTTTTCTATGAATCTTGCAATTGTTTGAATTAAATTTTCTTCAAATATGTACACAATTTTGATGGGAAAGCTTGAGAGAATTTCGATAACTCGAATAATTAGAAAGAGACAAATAAATTTTTAAAAAATTTAGAAATTCGAAAGAGCGAAAGATAAAGTAAGAGTGAATGCTGTGTTTGAAGAAATCGATACATGAAAGATATAAAATGCTGTAAAAAAAAATAATGATAATCAATAATAAAAAGTAATAAAACAGATGAATATAGCGTTTCAACAACAAGAAGAAAAAAACAGACAAACCGAAAATTGGACAGTTTCTTTAATGTATATTCTTCAAACAAAAAAGAAAATATATAAAATGATACGGTGCCGTTTTCGTTTATTGCTTAAATTCGCGTGTTTCATGAGTTATACTTATTATATTTAAAACAAAAAAAAATTAATCATGTTCAAAACGAAGCGAATTAAGGGGAAATAATAAAAAAACAAGACGGCTAGGATAAATGAAAAATGCAATGAAAAACAATGAAGTTGCATTGGAATAAACATTAGTCTACTTCGTTATTTAAACAAAAAAAAAAAAACAAAAATAGAAAAGAATCAAATAAATTAAAACGGAGTTTTATTTATCAAATACAATTTACTGAGCAATTCGTTATAAGTGATAATGTATCCATTGAAATATCTTTGCATAATGAGCTTCGTATTGGTCACTGTTTGCATTTTCTGTAGATTCCGTTGTCGGTTTTATTTGTTCGTCGACTAAAATACGCTTTGAAATTTGATTATGTGGCCTATCTGAATCGTCTGAACGTAACATGGCAATTTCATCAAATTCACCCACTGATTCGCCTTGCTCGTTGACGATTTCATAATGTTTTGCCAATTCATACTTATAACCGTCGGCATCAACAAGAATTGCATCACTGTCGTCCCTTTGAATGTATTGCCCTGTATTAAAATCGATTTTCCTATCCGGTTCAACGACATTTATCATATTTGGCGTTGTGTCCGCATTATATTCACTTTCGGAAACTGTTTTGACACTATCCGTTGGTGATATATTTCGATTAACGGGCTCAACAGGAAGCAGGAAGTCAGAATTATCACTGTTAATATGCTCATGATAAGATGCATCGTCAACTTTAAGCAATATATAATTGAAACGTTCGAAGGAATCATTCTTTATCGATCGATGTACATGCTCAACGGGCAAAATAATTTTAAGCGGTACAACATAAGATGCATAACTTGATGATTCCGCATCAGTGTTATTATCTAAAATGCTTGTACTAATTGGTGGACTAAATTTAACAATTTCATTTTCATTGCGAACGATCGCATCAACAATGTTCGGCGAATCGGTGCTTGGTATTTGTGTATCAAATTCAAAACTAGTCATTTGAACTGTAACCAATGGATCCAATTGTTGTAGAGTTGTTGTCTGTGCGTATGCCTCAGGTAATTCAGTGGTTGTTGTATCACTTTCCGTTTCAAAAATACTCGAATCTTCGAAGCTATCATCGAAATCGCCCTAAATCAAAGATTTAAATATAGTTTTTTGTTTTTGTTTTTCTCTCTCAAAATGTTTAAATTCGATTATCAAATGATACTAACAGTTAATGTGCACGAGCCACAAGGTTGATCGTAAATTGTTGATAGTATGGCTGCCTTCACAAACGGCTTTTGCACCGAACTGAATGGATAATGAATAACATAGACAATTCGACCGCAATCGTCAAATATGTAAACCGATCGATCTTCCAGTAATGAATACTGACTATTACGTGTATTATTCAAAACAACTACTTCCAATTGTCGGCTGGCATTACGTATGCGAGCTCCATTTGTTTCATTCTTTGTTACAATAATGAATCGCACATTTTTATGGTCGGCATTGTGAAATCGTGCTTCCAATTTACTCAAAAGCGTCACTTGCCGCAACCATAATTGTCAAAATAGCTTCATAACAACGATGATTCCACGATTTCGCACTTTCAATGTGTTCAATTCATTTTGATCAACGAAATATTCGCAAATATCAAATGTACGCGGTGTTGGTTCCGTACTGTTGCTCAACACCATATTTTCTATTGTAATGTTTGATTGATTGGCCGCATCAATGATGGTTGGTACTGTATTTGATTCGACTGACCGGCACATAATCTTCTCATTTACACTTAACATAAGTATTAAACACGACCGAATGTATAACGACATTTTTTCCCTTCTTTTTTTTTTAATTTACAATTTTAATGTATCAAAAATAAACAGACACGCGCGTGTATACACAACAAAATATATATTGAGGTGACTCCGATAAATCGTCTTAGAATTATTATAAAATTTTACTTCAATCGTCTTGGTAAGAAGGAATAATGCACTAGCTAATTGGTTGGAAGAGAATAAAGACGGTAGTTTGATGCGAACGTGATCGTACACATAGTATGGATATATTCGTCTACATGCGAATGACGAAAAAAAACATCATACATTCCACGATAATTCGTATTCAGCTCGACTCTGTTGTTACTACAATTTTTTATTATCATTTTGTTAAATCACACACAAACCATCGCACATCGAATCGAAATTCGTACGTCGAATTATGTATTTGCTTATATATATGCTCATCGTTTTATACGTTCACATGCAGTTACGGTGTATAATGTTATTGTTTCTTTGATAATTTGTTTCCATTGGCTGAACAGCGGCAAATAAACAACGTTCCCGTTTATCGTTCAACGTTTATTTATATTCAAAATTATGTTTTTTTATACAGAAATATACCAACAAATGTAGAAAAATGAACATCTTCCTGATAGCAAAACAACGACTCAAACTGTAGCAGAAAACTAGCAGAAAACATAAAAAAACAACACCCACGTTGTAGTACGCGTTCGCTGAAGAGAATGAATGAATTAAAACAAACGATTCATTCAAACCGTTTTAAACTTATTTTGCAGTTCGACAATTGTATTCAAATCAAGTAACAAACTTAACATCATTTACAACAAATAAAAGATTACATTTTGTTTTATGTATTGTTTGTATTTTTATGTTTGATTGTCCCAATCTTGTTATTAATTCTTGTCTTCTTGGGAGTTTGTGTTGAAGTTAAATGTTTCTAACTACATTGGTTTTTCTGCATTTTATGCATTTGGTAACATATTAGTAAGACCCGTTTGTACACTTTATTTTAAGTAGCAAAAGTTTCAATTTTTTCTTTGGCATGTGAATTCTTTGAACATCAAATTCTGTTTTTGTGACTTATTTTTGGTACAAACAAAAATTATACAGGATTTTGGTGAGTGCCACATTAAGCGATTTCCTTTTTTTTTATATAGGATCTCTTCTCGGATTGGTGCATATAATAGTGAATCCATTTTTTGATCATAGATTATGCAAAGCAGATAAATGAAGACCGGCCTAGAGAGAGACACGGGCTCTAACATTGCTAATTTTTCCTATTTTTTTTTTAGTAAATCACATATAACGTGTACATTTGATAGGACACAATAAGCCCTAATTGCGTCTACCCCCTAGAGACCGACAATACAAAACATTTTTTTTTAGTTAATTTGTTTGTTTGTTGTTGTAATACGAAATCAGGTGTGCACAATCCATAACAAAAAAGTAAAAACCTATATCTTAGTTTAGGTCTTATCCACTGTTTGTAGCAAAAAATAAATTCGATGAGATTTTTTGATGTGGTACCATTTTCGGGATTTCATGTAATATGGAGTTTGTCTTTCGTTATTTCGATGAGTGTCTGTGTTGATTGGATATTCGTGGTTAATTTATTGTCATGCTTAGATTTCAGATATGTACCGATAACGATTCCCAAAAAAATGATCAAGCCAACTTGATGGTTTGATATGAATTTTCGTGCACAATCGCTCGGATCGTTTATATTTAGTGAAGTAATTTGTTGGGCAAGATGGGCTCCGACTAATCCAACGGCTGTATAGTATGGCCAGGTTTGATCACAGATATATCCCGATGTCAATAAACCACTCATCATTGCTGTTGAGAATGCAGTGAGCCAGATTTTCGTGTTTTCACCAAATCTCAAAGCTGTCGATTTAATGCCAACTATCAAATCATCCACTTTGTCCTTTAGAATGAAGAATGAAATTTTAAGATGTTTACATTTATATTCCGGACATTTAAAACGAAAAATCTTTGTCATTCATGTTTTACGATTTAAATAAATTACCTGATGAGCATAGATTGTGTCATAAATGATGGTCCATGAAACTCCGGCCACGTACAAAGGTAAGCAGGCTGCCAAATCGATGGAGCCTTGTGTTGCGCACCATCCCAACAAAGCGCCATAATTAAACGTCATTCCCAGTACAAATTGTGGCCAATAAGTGATGCGCTTCATAAGCGGATAAACCGTAACTAAACCCAATGAGCATGCACCGATTACAATCGATGTCCAATTCAATTGAAGTAACACCATTAAACCAATGCTCAATTGTCCCGACAAAAACACCCATGCATCTAATGGCTTTATTTCATTATTGACCAAAGGCCGATTTTTGGTGCGTTCGACTTTTGCGTCGATATCTTTGTCCCATAAATCATTTATTGTACAGCCAGCTCCTCGCATTATAAATGCACCGCATCCAAACAGAGCAAGCATATTTAGACTGGGCAATCCTCCAGCGGTTGCACTCAACGCAATACTCCATCCACATGGCCAAAATAGCAACCATGATCCTTTTATTCACAAATTAAACATTTATTCAATCAATCATTTAATATTTGCACAATCAAAAAAAAAAAAACAAAATGCTTACCAATTGGTCGATCGAATCGAATAAGTCGCGCATACGGATCGATGTTAGTTTTTATATTATTAAACAGCCCATTTTTATTGATAATCGCTTGATGATTGCTCGACGATCTGTGGAAAATATCTAATTGATTTCTATTGTGCAATCTCTGAGCCAAAGTGTTGTCAAAGGATTTTAGTTTTGCACATGATTCAATGCCTTGAATTCGTTTATTTGTGCAATCGGTGTGCAATGAAATTGATGGCAATGATATCGAAAATAAATTCGATCGATGGCAATATTTTAATGTGTTACACAAATTTATTGGTCGCAGAAAATTCATTTCGCTACGTGAAATTGAAACAACTCAATGACAAATCACAATTAACTCTCCTAAATCACATTTATCTCAATGTCATTCTGTAGATAACATTTAATTATACGTTATGAAACAACATTTACTCAGAATGAATGCACGAGGTCATTCTAAGGATTCTATCCCACAACATCGACAACAATTACGACGTCAAGTAGTCATTTTATTTCACTTTTCTGAAAATCTAAGGATTATTCCGTGAGTGAGAGAAAAAAGAAACAATTTTTTTGTACATATATCTCACGAGTAAAGTTCTAGTTCTGATTCTGGTGCTGTTACAATTTGAGGTTAGTGTGTATTTTGACATTTTGACAGAAATGCGTTCAATACCATTGAAAATCTACTTTGAACTTCTGGCGGTTTCGATGCATTATTTCCTCTCAGACGTTTTTTTTTTGTTCTTCTTTTCAATGTAAATCCAAGGTTAAGACCTTTGATATATTCGTATTAATACATATGTCTGTTAGCAAAAAAAATATGAGTATACGCATACAAACGCGAATTGATGAGGTATTCAATAAATCCAATGCTCTTTTTTATTACTGATTTCGCTTAGTAATTGATTTCATGTCAACTTCTGAACATGGTGACATTTAAAAAATGTGTTGCATTATATTTTTTAATTGTATTGCATTCATCAAACGGAGGTGGAACCTGCAAATATAATTTCTGAAATGTAGCTTAGTAAAATTCAATAATTCCGTCTATTTTATGTCATTTGCAGATGAAAACCAAAATGAAAGCAACTGCCCGCCAATAGTTAGCCGAAAGCGATGGGGGAGTCGACCTGCAAAAAGTGTAACATATCAAACAATACCGGTGAAATATGTGATAATCCATCATACCGTCACACCAACATGTAGCACAAAATTGAAATGCTCAAATGTTTTGCTTGGAATTCAAAGCTTTCATATGGACGAACAAGGCGGAGATGATATTCCATACAAGTATATTCAATTTTATATGTAAACAAATAAGATTTGACATGAAACGGTTTTTTTTTTTTCGAATTAAGTTTTTTGATCGGCGATAATGATATCTATGAAGGAACCGGATGGCATATTAGAGGTGGTCATACATTCAACTATAATTCGAATAGTACGGGAATTGGATTTATTGGATCTTTTAATGGTAACCACTTAATTTAATTTTATTGATAATCATCAATTGGGAAATGTCTTGATTTCTATAGAGCAACTTCCAACGGCTGTCTCAATCCAAAAAGCAAAACAACTGCTCAAATGCGGAGTAGATATTGGTGAAATCCACCCGAATTACATTCTACTAGGTGGCCGTCAAATATATGCCACAGAAAGTCCTGGCCTAGAACTTTACGCTGATATTCAAGATTGGGAACATTGGAGGGCTAATCCTTAATGCCACAATTTGGAAATAATTCTAATATTGAATACTTATCTTTTATCAATTAAATTTTTATTCAAATTTAATTAAATACATCAATTTATTCATTGATATCAACTGAATTTCAATTGTTATTTCCAAAAATTTGCATAATACGATCTAAATCATCGTCTTGTGCATTTTCTATTTTTATTTCGTCCTTTCGTTTTTTCGTGCTGACAGGATCTTCGATGGGTTCGGCTTTTCGTTTTTTCGATTTCTTCGGTGTTGTTTGAGACCGTGTACTACCTTCTTCCTTTTCTTGCTTTATTCGCACACTTGATTCAGCTACTTCGTTGCTAGCAATTTTTGCTTCATCCAAACTCTTTTGAATTGCTTTGCTCACTTTAATTTTGTCTTCAAAGTTCCGGCCAAGAAGTGGATGTCGTACAACTAAATTGTCTGGAAACACTGTGCACTCGTGACGTCCGGATGGCGTTAATTCAAGTGTTTCTTCGGATTTGGTGACTTTCTGATGGAACATCATTCGTCCAACCGGCTTGATATTCTTCATGGTAAACTGTCCATCGTCGTTTTGAAATATGACCGACAGTGCATTTTCATAAATACCATTTGAACTTTCGTATTTTGATGATGAACATTGAATATCAAAATCGTCCGTTTTGATTGTAGACTTCTTGCTGCCCAATTTTATCGACTCACCGACTAATTTATTGACATCAATCGAACTCGGTATATCACATATCCAAATTTCATCATCGTCACTTATATCGTCAGCCGTAAAATTTGTTGTGGTTTTTGGATTTTCGATTTTAGCATGCGGATTCATATTTCGATATTTTGCAAGTGAATCGGCATTTTGCATTTTAATTGTAACATTGGATTGTTTTTCATTGGTATTACATTCCTCTACGAGCACTCTGCTTGTGTCCTGTTGTTGTCGCTTTTGGATGACTTTTGATTCGTTTAGACTTTCTTCACTGCTATCACTGCTGCTCGACGAACTTTTTCGACTTTTCACTTTAACCGGCGTCTTCTTTTCACGCTTCATTTTCTTCGAATTTTGGCAGCTTAAGGTTTAAAATTGAATAAATTCAACTTTGGCTGAATTAAAAAGGGTATAAACCGATGGATTTTGGTCATTTATTTGACAAAACACATGTGAACGGGCACATGTATTGTTGAGAATTACAACTGTCAACATTTCACCAATGAATGCGTTCAATCTTATCACAATCATTGATATTCATTGGCGCTAAAATTCATATATGTTTTATCCATTAAAAACGTATTGTAAATTGAATATATTCGTTGAACTTATATTTTTTTCAGAATTGTATTTAAAGAAAACCATTACTAATACTAAATAAGCTTGTCGTGTAAATTTAATGTCGTGAAATGTTCAATTTCTTGACTACGGGTTATTTTATATACCGAACTGCCCGTACTTCGGTCAAGGCCACAAAACTCAAGCCCAGCATAGTAACAAAACGTTACAATAATATTATTTAAAAAGAAATCTTAATGCTACATGTAATTAAAACTGGTCGTCATCGGAAACATCGAGAACATAAACGTAGTGCTTGATTTTGTACGGCAGCATTTTGATTCTGTGGTCTCAATAGTTGCGGATGAATGTCCAATCCCAATACCGTACAAAGAGCTAAAAACAAAATCGTAAACAACAAATTGTTAGCCAAAACATTCTTAAACATTTTTAATTTCAGTGATATTTTTTCACCTTTGTACATGATGTTCTTGGCTGCAACGATATCCCGGTGCCAAACAGTTTTCAATTGAAATGGAGCTCGATCATCTTTCCAAATGCCAGTGTTTAGTTGCCAGTTTTTGAAACATACTTGAAGTTTTGACACTAAACCATCTGAATCCATTGGAATATGATCTGGGTTGGCTGCATTCAATCGATTAACAAAATCAACTGCATATTTACGCAATTGTTGGTACACTCGGTTGCTTTTCATGGTGATAATCACGTTCGGTAAATTCCATTGCGATGACTCATCTTCACTTGGAATACAATGCTGACAAACTTTGTAACGATCGCTTTTGGTTCGTCGATCGAATGGCCGGAAACATTTTGCACAAGTTTGCGATGTATTGTATTCGTCGACCAATCGTACAATACAATTTCCCAACTTCTTGAAACTGTTCAATAGTCGTCGTAATCCCGGGCATCGCAATCGCTTTTTAATACCAATTGGTGAGTTTGGAGCTATTTGAGCTGCACCAATAAAAACGAGCGCCGACTTTTTTTTCGTCAGTGATGCCGCGATTTTGTCACTGGCCCGATTCTCCTCGATGTATTTATCGAGACGGAGTCGAATGAACTTTCGTGTTGTGTACACCGCCATAGCTGGTTTCATCATTTTCACATAATAAGCAATGTAACACATCCAATGTGAACGTCCTTTCGGCGATGGAAAAAATGCATAGCGTTTATAGTCGAGCTCCCGTTGTTTTTGCAACAATTCAGTCCATTGATCGGATTTACGCTTGCGTTTGCCATATTTCGCTTTGAAATGGTATTTTGGACCATCAATTGTGATGTTTTCCTGAGATTTACGAACAAAAAATCATAGAAGTAAACAAATGATAAATAAAGAATGAATTTATTGTTTCTTACCTCGTTGCTGGATCGAACGTGTTTGCGAACGGTGGCGTTCCATGTACGAACTCCTGGATCGATTCCAAGCACATAATCAAACTCAAAGTTATTGTACTTCTCTTTGATGGTGTTGTTATCAAGTTCTGGTCTATTGCGTTCAGGCTTCACGAAACATAACGAAACTGCCACACTATCAGTTGCCACAGCAAAATCGAATTCCTTACCATTTCCAAGTTTTGAAATTTTTGGCAGGTCAAATATTAAATCCCAATAGATAGCTGGATTGCTATCGTATTCAGTTTTTTCAATGTTTATTGGCTGACCGCGTTCTCAATGCTCCAAATTTGCTCGCAATCCAATAAAAAAGATGGATATCGATGCGGATATGTTTCATATCGAAATCGTGGACTGGAATTACTAAGAAATTCTTTATTTTTGGCGGGAGTGGAGTGGTCGGCATGACATTAATGTTCGGATCGCGTCGATATTGGAACCAGCGTTGTTTCAACATTTCATATTTCGCGTGAAAATCGAAAATTTGTCGCTGAATGTTTATAAATATTGGGATGGTTTGGAACCAGCGATCACGAATGAGATTCTGGAAGTGTACATTGATTGGCAATCCAATGCCTGCTGCTTCGTTTAATAGAAGATCGATGTTCGCGTTTCTCTCGACTCTACTCTGGAACATTACGATCTTCGTCGCACGTTTTACATCCAATTCAGTGATGAGATTTCCTTGTCGATTCAAATTCAGTTCGTAGCGCTTTAGCGTGAAAAATTTCTTGATGCGACTGAATGCCCATACTCTGATGGTATTTTTCACGTTTGTTATGTACTGAGTGATGAGATGATTGAATGCATTCCCCATGCCCTCGCGAGCTGGCCAATTATCTGGACGAAGAAAATCAGGACATGCTTACTCCAAATGCAAGCGGTAATTTGTGGTAATTTTCTTGTAATACCGAGGTGAAACATTTACCAATTACACCATTCACGTATTTATTGAATTGATCATTCGTGTATTCATCGGATTCACCTTTAAAAAATCGAACATTTTCATCGTCAAAGGCTTTGTTTGCTTTGAACAAAAACAGTAATGACGCCAGAGTCGTAATCATTGTGGCCGAAAGGCACCAGTATGTGACCTGATCGATGAATGGTGCACGATACTCTTCCCGCAGCACTTGATTTAGAGTCATCTTCAACGACGTACTGCGCCAATTCTTGGCTCTCTTTCTTCTTATCGTGACAGATCTATTGTACAAAAATTAAAGAAAAAATACACCAAATATAGCATAGATCACAAACACAATAAGATATAAACACTTCTATCACAAATTAAATGAAACAGTAATGAAGAACGCATTATAAATATCACCTCTTACCTCAACAAAGTGACTCTGTATTCTAAATCGAATGATGAAATTTATTTCCAATGTGACATCAAATATTTTGCCGATCGAAATGTTGTTGGAATATTCACAGTTAATTTTATCAACTCTCTGTTATTTCGAAATTAAAACAAAGACAGTCACAAAACCAACTGTGAATACATCCATTCCACAGGGAACAGCATTCCAAACACAAAAAATCGTTTTTGAAATGACAATAGAACCAATTGATCGCCCAAACCACGCTTCAAACACTCTCATATAATTCTCAAGAAATCCTGTTGAAAACAAAACCATAGGACGAGCCTAAAAGTGTCTTTTATATGTATTTATATGCAAACGTCATTCTCTGAACTTTAGAAGAATCCCCCTACACTAATGTAAGAGGAACTAGAAGAAATGGTGAGGAACTAGAAGAAATGGTTTGTGCATTGGATAAATTTCCACTATTGTATATTAAATAAGACATGAACCACCACACATTTTCATTAGTTCGATGTTTATAGGATAGATACAGCGCCATTCAATGTCTGACAACTATACTTGTCCTATGAACAAAACAAAGTTTTATTGTAAACAAAATCGGTTGGTGCGATAGTTGTTTATACTAACAATACTGTCACACAATGTGGGCACATTTTTAATAAATATAAATGAATATCTTTGGATTTGGTTTGACACATATACACCGCGCCAATCGAAAAATGTCAGAAAGATGTCAGTTGCATTTCGAAAATTCAAAATAATAATTCCACAAATAAAGAAAATTAAATGCATTAAATGACGTATAAAAGAGTTCTCCTGCAGAGTTTTAAATTAAATTATGCAAATCTCTTTCCGAATAAATTGTTTATTTTTTTATTTGAGCGTAATATTTAGATTTTCAATTTAAAACTTAATGTATTGGGTTGTGTTTACATTATGTTGTCAAATGAAATATTATTATTATTGGAAGTGAAATAAACAAGTGGATCCATTCCATTGGAATTCGTGGAAACTATGCATATAATCTCCGTTCCATTTGACATGAAAATGACCACCAGAATGGGCCAAAACGTTACATTTTTCAACGTTAGAATGTACTAAAAACATTACAAATTTGTTTGCTGGGATAGTTAGATCTATGATATCGGAGGGTAATGATTTTATTTTCCTGTTTATGTCAAAATTAATTGTATGAGGATCAACAAATTTTGTTATTTTATGAAACCTTTGCCACAAAATCTGCTCCTTTTACACTCTGCTCATAATTCAATCTAACAATGTGCAATTGATTATTTTCATTTGCACACACACTTTTTAACGGTATTTTTTTTCGAGTGGAACATAGACAGTTTCATAAATTAAAATTTAAAGTTAAATGAACAATGAAACTTACGAACTACAAAAGAACAGCGACATATATTATACGAGACACAATGTAAATTATCTCAATCAAATTGTTGACGCTGCATTTTATAAACTAATGAAAGCATTTAGAATCTTGATGATCCAATGATGGACATTTATTTGTTGATTTTTCTTTATATTTGACTGATTCTTTTTTTAGAACAAAAATCAGCGGAAGCAATTAAATGTGCTGTTGTAAAAATGTTAGCTAGTACGAAAAATCCAATTTTTTTTTCTCAAAAGAAATAATTATGAAATGTATAAACAAAATACACAATTTCATGTTGTGGTTAATGTTAAATTCCACCAAATAAAAACACTTTTATTTAATTTACTTCTTTATATTGTAGTTTTAAACAACAAGTTGATCAAACCAACCTCTACAGAGTTTGATAAAAAAAAACTCATACTTGATAACAAAAAAAGTTTAATTCATATGAAATGGAATGGTGTTGTAATTCAATGTCGGAGTATACAAATTCTCAAGTATCGAAAACTAAACAATATAATTTACTGTATGTAATTTGGATAAACAATATCAGATGTCAAAAACGTTGTTTACCAAACCACAATTGCAATTTCAACTTGTCAAATATAAAATAATGACTGGCAGTAAACAAGGTGACTCCTTGTTGTTCTATGTACTGTTGTACTCTCTTTTTTTTGTGTGTACCACATTCAGAGGACAAAGTTTCTAGAAAATTCATTAAATAAATCAACAATTTAGTGTACGAGGCGTAAAATATTCTACACGACTTTCTCAAATCCAAAATAATTTTTTTGTCATGGACGCTGCATAGATTTGGTACGTATGCGAGATAAGTTGTTATTGATGTATCCAAGCAATAAAATTAATCAAGTTAAATCTGGAACCATCGCCATCAATCGCGCTTGCATTATAATTCACACTTTACATTTTATAATATGATATATTTATTGTGGAAATATTCCATGTTTGTTCCAAATGAAAAAAAAAACAATAACAAAATCATGGCATTTCTTTCTTTTCCGTTGCTGTGCACAAATTTCTTTCCAACCGCAAATATGTACATACATGTTGATATGATTTTGTTTATTTTGCAAAATTCACCATTGAAAAGATTTATTGCAAAATTGTGGCATTTGATTATATGATAATGCGCTGACAAAAACACTCGCTGCATAGAATGTTAACTAATCAAATGAAATGAATAGCCGGTCCATTGTGCGTGGTCGCATCAATGTGTTGAACCATTTTTGGGCTATCACAGATATGATAGGTCGGTCATATGGATTAGGTATGACATCGTGATCTGTACATTGTAGTTAATAATTGACAATAAAACTCAATGATAGTTGTTTTTGTTTAAAAGTGAATTAACAACACTCGACGATTGCTGATGGAAAAAAAGTAAACAACAAGTTTAAAAAAAAAAGTTCTATCGCCAAATTGATAGGACACTTAAAAGTAAATAATCATAACTGGATAATTGTTGTTTGTAGCATTTCGGGGACTATATAAATCGAAACGATCACTTCAGTCGTCACATTCAATCTCTTACCGTAGCACTTTCAAGATATCATATTTGAACGAGTTTATATAAACGTATCACCATGAAATACATTGTAGCTATTGCTTTGATGGCCGTTGCCGTAAGTAAACATTTCTTATAACTATACACCAAATTTTTTCAGATCTATAACAATTTCAACAATTTTTTTGTTTCAATCAATTTTTTCACAGGTTTTTGCTAGTCCAGAATGGAAGATTCAGACTGTCGATAATTTGAATGCCTACCGACCAGAATGCGCAAAAACATTAAGCATACCCGAAGACAAAGTGAACGAATACAAGAAATTCAACTTCCCTAATGACGAGAAAACTCAATGCTATATCAAATGTATCTTTGGCAAAATGGGACTTTTTGATGAGAAGGATGGCTTCAACGTTGAACGCTTAGTAAGTTTTTTGTTTTTTTCTAATTTTTTTGGATTGTCTTCAATCTAATGTTTTTTTTCGATTTTATGACCGATCCATGTCATATACGAATTCATGTTTTAATGTATCTACTGATGGAACTTTACATAGGTTAAACAATTGGGTCAAGGAAAGAACGAAACTACCATTCGACCAGAAATCGTGAAATGTGCTGACAAAAATCCACAAAAGACCAACGGCTGCCAATGGGCATACCGTAAGTATATTTTACTTCTCTAAATTTGTGACATTTGTGTTACAATCATAAACAATTTGATCATTTTCACAGGTGGTTTTGACTGCTTCAAGAAGGCCCATTTGGAATTGGTCCAAAACAGCATAAAGAAGAACTAAATTTGAATTGTCCGATTACTTTGTGCTAATGATGAAAAAAAAAAATGAAAACTAGAACGCAATAATGAAAAAAAGGATTATTTCCAAAATGATATTGTGAATTTAAAAATTTCTTTGGTAAAAACAATAAAAACAATTGCAACTGATTAATTACATCGTTTTTTTGTTACTTTGAGATTTTTATTCAAGATAAATTTTTTTGTGTAGAACATTGTGTATATTATTTGTATACAAGTGAATATATTATGTAATATTTTTTTCTTTCGATTAGAAGATTTAGATTTCAACATTGATTTACATTGATTTATGCACTGAACTCACATGAAGTACAATGTAACTGAACATACATATGACATTTATTCCATAATTTGTCTCATGCCTGCTTCGATGTGATCGCCTAGTGAAGCATTTTCATCGGTAACTGTAGAATGTTTGTAGCCATCCAGGAAATAACAGTTTCCTTCAGCATTTGTATACTCTTTTGGTAAACAGCTCGGATCTCGGGCAGTTAATTCATATTTAAAGTCTGGGTGTTTCATGAGCCATCTACGAGATAAGTATGAATAATTAGATCGGAACATACGAACACAATTTTAGTAGTAGTAACTCACTCTCTCGTTGTGTTGCTGATGTTGATTTTGCGCTCAATGCTATTTGATTCAAATTTATTTGCAATGGTTACATTATGACCAAATAAACAATAGCGTGGCATTTTTCGACCAACGACTCCAGCTAATACCGTACCAGTATGTATTCCAATGCGCATCTATATACGTAACAGCGTTGCGATAATAGAAATGAAATCAAAAATTAGAATCGATTTGGATACTAAAAATACGTAAAATGCGGTGACGATTTAATTCTTACTCGTATCGGTTGGCTGTCGTGAGTGATGTGCTTGGAACATGCTTCCATCATACGAAGTGCCATCCATGCTACTTTATGTGCATCAAATGAACCAGCACGATGTAATCCACTGGCAACACAGTATGCATCACCAATGGTTTCCACTTTATAAACATCAAAGTAGCCACAAGCTTCATCAAATTCTTTGTATAATTCTTCAAGCATGCTGATGACCATGAACGGTGTAGCACGCGAACAAATGCTTGTAAATCCAACAATATCGGAAAACAACATTGTAACATCCGGATAAGTTTTTGCATCAATTGTTGATCCTTTTTTGTAAATATATATATAAAAATATTTATGAATTCAATCGCCATCATCATAAATGATGGTAAAGTAATTTTTCACATTACCAAGCCATAAACTCTCGGCAATTTCGGCTGGAAAGATGAGATACAACAAGCTGACGTTTTTCTTTCGTTCTTTGGCCACAGCAGCATTACCCTCTTCAATGGAATTTTTAAGTTTGTCCATTCGTCGTCGTAGACCATCTTGTGCTTTCGTCTGTTCCCCAACTAGTATTACTTCTCTGGTTGCATCATGCAATGGAATGTCGGAGATGAAAAGATTGTTACAAGTCAAACCATCTAAGCCGTCAATAAATGGAGAGCCAATAAACAATATTGAATTCGATTCAGGACAGAAAACCATACGCCCTTTCACATCAAGTGCCTATAAATTATGGAATTGTTTTTTTTTTTGTTGTTACTTTGTACCACATCAGTAATAAAAGAAGCAATTTGACACAAAATATTAAAAATGATTTTACCTCTGCTGCATATTTAACGCCCGGTAGTGGTTTAAGCGACAAAACAAATGGTGTATTTGAACGTCGTATAATGTCACGGAATTTGATCGTTAAATTTGTTGGCCGTTTAAATATAACATAAGTCGTGACAAGACGTCCATGTGTTGGAAGTGAATTTTTAAATAATTTACTGAATCCTTTGCCCATTTGAATTATTTCCAGGTCTTCATTCATTATAAAGTGCCACGGAAAGGCCTTACAAAATGTTGCCGGACTCATTTTCAAGTCGGTGGCAGTTAGGCCTGAAATCGGAACGCTAACATCTTGCTCAATTTCGGTGAGTTTGAGCCTATTTTTTTCTTGCTCGGATAAAGTAAACAAGTAGCGATAGCATTTTGGGTCACCTTCGATTGGTTCAATAACAATGCTCGCATTGATGTCGTATAGAATACGAGTCAGTGCTTTCAATGAACCAAGCAATAGCCATGCTATGACCGGACGTTCAGATGTGAAAATCAATTCACCTTCATCAGCGCAAATGAAATCTGTATCGGTTTGACCGTCTTCCTGTAGTTTTAAAACATCGTGAACACCTTCCAATGCGCCCAAAAACTCTTGTAAATCAGCACCGAGACTTCGAAAAGCTCGCTCAACAATGCCAGTACAGCAAGTGGCTATCAACTCTTCACCAAGCAGAACAAGTATTTCACTTGCCGATGATTCTGTGTGTGATGTTTGAAATGAACAATTTATTATAACAATTATTTTTTTTTCTTATTCATTTTACCATCCATTTTTAATAGAATGTCCTGAATGTCCGCCAAATAATCGTAATTGGGATGATTTTGAACATCCATTTTCCTTCAACATTTCAATTTATAAATTTAGAGAATGATATAAAATTTATTATTTTAGTTTTTCAATAAAAAAAAATACTAACAATTGACTCAATCCTGGCCATTTTCCTTGATATTTTGATATCAAAGATGTTACAGCTGTGTTGACATCTTCATTCTATCGAACGAAATGCAAGGAAATCATTTAATACGAAATTTTATTGAAAACAATTTCAGTTTGTTGTTTTCTATTACCAAAGGAGAGGTCAGCAATTGTATGGCTGCTTGTAAGTGAGTCAATGTGAGTGCATCAGGAATTTCAGCGAAATCGTCTTCGATGCCCCAATTCGAATTTTGCTCAACCACCGATGATTGCCTTCGAAGAGAATTCGAACCTCGTGCAAATGGACAAGTCATCTTTTTTCCGTACAATCGATTTGGATTTTTTTCACTGCCAAATGAAAAAAAAAATTACAAAGAAAATGATTCACAGTAAATACATAGAAATACACAATCTTTTATTTTGTTATCGAATGTGGACATTTTCTCTCTCTCATTATATCATTACATAAATCATAAAAAAGCAATAATCATTCATTCATCCATCGATATTTTTTTGTTTGTATTGTTCTATTGATTTTTCATGCAAATATAAGGCACTCGTACACTTCATCACATATATCAATCGAACGGAGAGCACAACATAAGTATATAGCTGTTGACAATATTATTATTTCACACCTCCGATCTAAAGAAATTCCAACAGCAACACAATCAAATTAACTAAATTTCATAATTATATACTTACACCAAAAGAAACACTTATCCTCAAATAACTAATAGTTTTTCGTATATAATTTTACTGTCATCACCGTTTTGGCAGAGGTAATTTTTATTTATACAGTAAAGAGCTCTCTTGCAATATTACTGCTGTGTTTAGATAAAATTGTGCTTTCCTTTTCATTTTGCTTTTACAACATGTACAGTTCAGCATTAAAATGGTCATGCGTACTTCTCTTGTTTACTATGAAAAAAAAAACTCAAACCAAATAACATCAATTCCCCTACCCTTACATAAACATTTACCCTTACTCAAGATATGGGAAACAAATTTTTTCCATTTTACGCATAAAACGCAATTTTGTGGGTTTTCTTACAATATTCGATTGGTTATGTTATGAATTGAAAGATGAAACATTCCATCAAAAGCTTATATATTCGTTCTGGTATTTTCATGTATATAATATAAGATGGATGATGCAGATGAAGTAGATAAATCTGCAATTAAATTTAGTAGCGAATTTTTTTATGCCTGTTTTTGATTCAATTTTAGTGTAATTTAGATGAGCCAGCCGAAATGGGTCGATTTCCCGACGGGTTCGAATTTATAAAATTCAACTGATTTGATTATAATGCTATTTTATTGAAGGTGGCCAATCATTTTCGATTTAATTTTTTTTTCTTCAGAAAAGACAGTAAAACACTTGAAAGTGAAACAGCTTGCATAATTTAGAGGCGTTGGAAAAGTGTTTGGTATAGAAAAAACAAGTGAAAAATATATTTATTGACATTAAGCCATAATATTTGATATTTAAAGGGTAGAATTCAACAACACCAAAACGAACACATCACACTATATCATTGTGTAATTATACGATAAAACCGAAAAAAAAACATCGAAGCAGAAAACGATGATTTTGACCAGTTGATTTGAAGCCACAAATTTGCTCAATAAGCAATGAAAATTCGAATATTGCAAATGCTTTAAGTGGCCTCTCTTATCTAAATATTGACTTCAATCTATCATAATTTCATATATATATGAAATATTTTTTCCAATTCTATTCCACTATACTTGTTCTTTATTCTCACTTCTTCGAATTGAGTTCTATTTATATAGTCTTGTATTGATGGTCAATTTTTTAATATTGTACATTTATGTTCATCATGTCTGTGGTCATGTATTGTCGAAGAATGTGGTATATCTTTCAATTAGTTGAAAGAATTGAGCCAAGCTGAAAGGGTGTAGTTGTTTAAATGACAACCAGTTGTACCTGACAAATCCAACGTTTTTTTACCTTCAATAAAAACAAAGGCATTAAATTACATTATTATCTCTTCGTTAATTGAAGTTGGTACATGCCTATGAGGGGAGGTCAAGAAGAAATGACTTCACTTACACGAACAATAATCGGCAACAATAATCATTACAATGAATTTTATCGATTTGAATATTGTATTTAAACAATGCACCTTGCCATTCTATTGCATTTATGTCAAATCAACTGTTTACAGTTAACATGGAACATAAAACAGTGGTGCAAAATGGATATTGGTGTTATGCCGGCTTGGACATATAATCAATAGTTGAATTTTACACATGGAAATTTCAAAGCATTTTCAACGATATATCATTTTGTTATTATAATTGCATGCTTTATAGACATTTCTTTTGATAATATTCAATCCGTGGTTCATTTATTTATACAAATTGAAGAAACAAAACTTTTCATTGTTAACAGTATACATTCGTAACAGCGCCATTGCTTGATCGAAGCAAAATATTCTTCAAACACTACCAATAAGTTATTGGCAATAACTCATCAATAACTTGCATAGCATTTTAATTGCAGCATTTATAAGTTGACTCTTTGAAAAAATGAACATTTTGACCACTTATAAAACAAAATGAATGAATATATATTTTTTATTTTCAAAAATAATGGGTTAACCTTAGAAGGTACGGCAATTTGGAATTTTAAATATTTATATATGATTGTCCGAGAATGAATGTGAGACTTCTCCTGAGAGTTTATTGAAATGTAACACCACCATACAAAACATGCTGACTGTCAGCAATTTCATATATATATATATATATATATCGATAAATGTACGATAAGACAATAATTTCCATCTAAAAATGGACTTATTTTTGCCATGCCCTTGCAATGTAACGAAACTATTTTTGGCAATTTTCAATTTTAAATGATATCGTGAAGTGAACGTAAATAGATGTTAATTGATTGTGGCAGTTGACTGTTGAAATTGAACATATACAATATTATTTTGAATTTAAAAAGAAATGCAAAAACAAATGTCAAATGTATATTTATATGCGTACAGCGGAAGTGATGATAGGGCAAAATAAAAATCAGCTGTATCATTGCAAGTCAAATTGAATATAAATTGATAATGAATACGTTCGTTTACAGTAACAACAAATACAACTGTACAAAACAACAACAATCGTTGTGAATACAAACGAATTGAATTGAGAGTGAAACGAGTACATAGTTGAAACAGAGAGTGTTGGAGATGCTGGGTAATTATAAACACCTCTACAATAAGGTAAAATATATTCAAAATTGTAAGCTCATCCAGACGAAGAGTGTGATAATACCCATCCATATTGGTTGTAGACAATAATAACATTTGAACATAGTATATGTGTAAGAATCAACAAACCGATTTATTTTCGCCCAACATACACAACATGTACTGGGTGTGTATTTGCAAAAGCGCTAAATATATATGTGGCCGTTTGTATTTGTGTGTTTTGAACGCATCACAAATTCAGTTAATCGGTGGCTGCTATTCATGGAACAAACAAAAAAATTATAAAGAGATGAAAGTCTTTATCATAATGCAGCAGTTGCGCGCATCACAAAACGTGTTTCTGCAATATCGGTTGGCCAATCGCTGCACTAGTACAAATGCATTTACAATTTTTTTTTTCGTTTTTTCGAAGTGAGACCTGATTGATAAAAAATAATTAATTCTTTCGTCATATTGCAGTTAAGTGCAGCAAATAAGAAAAAAATCACATTTTAAAATCGAAGACAACAAAATGACAACAAACGAGGAGCTGTTTAATATCGTAAATATTAATTTCCATCACATTAAAAAAATGTGAACAATTAAAAATAAAATGTGATACATTCGATTTAGATAAAGATTGCTGGACCAAAAATGGTGCCATTTTTCAAGGCGGTCTGTGTTTATTTTGTACTTGATGCTCATAATCAGAACGGTGAATATTGGACGACAATATTAAAATGTGCCCCAATTGTTGGACTTATATTGTTTATTCTATTGTATGGAATCGATATGACTGGCGCGTAAGTGTCTTATTTCAAAATATGTATCTCATGTTAATTTTTGTTCAATATAAATAATGTATGTAATGGAATTTCGTAGGCTTTCTTATGTGCACAAAATATTGATTGCCTTGGTTTTTTCGTGTTTGGGTGATGCACTTCTCAATCACAATTATTTTGTGTATGGCATGTGCGCATTTGCTGTAGCTCAACTATTTTATATTATGGCATTTGGATTCGAACCGCTAAAACTTTGGATCGGTATCATACTTTATTCGGCCGGTACAGCAAGTAATATTAATTTTAAATTAATTTAAACGCATATATTGTAAATTTATTTCTTTGTTCGTTTCAGCTGTTTTTCTACTTTGGAGACATTTGGATTCGGTTGTTTTGATTGGTCTTCCTATTTATACTATTTTATTGGTAACAATGTGTTGGCGTTCGTTGGCGCTTCTGTTTTTCACTGCCAAAGTACAAAATTCCAAAAATATCTTGAGGACCATTTGTGCGATTGGCAGTGCTTTGTTCGTGCTATCCGACACAATGATTGCTATTGATAAATTCTACGCACCTATACATAATAGCTCTGTATGTAAACAATTTCTTTTTTCTCGTTTAATTTGCACACAATTTTATGGACAAAATAAAAGAAAAATTAATTCATTTGTGCGTATAATGTTCGATTCCAGGTATGGATTATGTCAACTTATTATGCAGCTCAATTTGGAATTACCCTTAGCATTGTGGATGTAGAAAAATTCAAGAAAACTTAATCAGCGAATAAAAAGAATGTAATAATAATATAGACAGTTCGAATTCGGTGGATTTTTTTTGTGTGCCGAAAACCACGTATTATCACAATAAGTCTGTTTTTATTCTAAATAAAATATTTCATATTCGATGATTGTGTACGTACTGTAAAGACAACGAAAATATGCAATTGCCATTTGAAGTTAATTTTAAATAAAAAAAAATAAACAATGTGTCGAAATAATAATAAGTCAATGAAAATAAGAATGAGTCTTTGTTTAAATAAATCATCTTTCGTGTAAACCGCTCTGTAAACAACAGAAACACTGACCGGTCATTGAGCGCATCCATCGACATTGAATGAACGGCATGACGTTTGTGCGCATGTTACCAAATGACAGTAAAACCATCATTTAAAATTCGTTCATTTCATATTGGTTCAATGTATTTTTAACATTCGGTGTTTCACCATCAAAGCACTACATCATTACTGGTTTACTGTGTCTGCTGATATATACATATACATAATTTTTTTTTTGTCAAAATTCGTGCGTTGCCTTAATCTAATATTCTCATTTTGGTTGCGGTGCGCCCATAAAATAGTTTTGCAACTTAATTATAAAAGTATACAAGTTTTCAATTCAACGAAAATTCCAAATTGATTTTTGTAAATAAATTTTGATTTTGTTCATTAATCATCTATATTTAAATTTGAAATGGCCAAATCGAGTGCTGAAGAAGTTGAAGTAAGTAGCAAAATAAAATATATTGAAAAATAAAAATGTGCGTGTGTTGTCCGCAACTAATTGAATTCGAAAGGTTGAACGGTACGTGGATTCAGCATCGAATTCTAATTGAATAGAAAACAGACGGCGAACAATTTATTTAAAAAAAAAATCTGCGGTGGAACTAAATGTTAACATATGTGTAGCGGTGAATTGTGTGTGAATCGAATGCATGAAAATAGATGAATTTTGTCCAACCAAAGATCATTAAGTGATGAATTTCTATTACTTATTTTTGTCGCCATTTTGGTTATGGCTAATTTTTGATTGCAATTTGATGCTTCAACCCATTCATTTTGCATTGTGAAAATGTGCTGGAATTTTATTTGGGTAGCGGTATATGAAGCATTCGTGACAGAATTTTTTTTTTAGATAAAAGTATGAAAAATACATAGCCCGATACCGTTTGGCACCTGTGTGTTGATTTACACATACATATACACACGCCGAATGAAAGTGGGTGTGATGAAAGTATTTCAGAAAAAGTGATGTGAAATAAATTAATACAAGCAATTTGATTTTAATTCCATTATTTTAACCACTCGAAATTGTTCCAAATTTCGCATTGTCAAGTCGATGTTTCAGTATGAAATGGAAGAGAAAGAGAAGAAAAGTCATTGGTACGGTTAGCTGCAATACATATGCATTAAAATGGATTCAAGCCTTTACTTCAAATGTGCCGTATTGAATAAGCATGCTACACTTATCAGTATCGTGCTCATTGATTTTATTCCATACAGAATCATTTTGCATGTATTTTAATTTAAAGCAAATTTTCTGTTAGGTTTGACAAGAATATTTATGCATTATTATATGGATATAATTTGTTTTATTTCCAGAAAACTGAAAACAACGAAACAATTGTAAAGAAGTTTCCGGAAAATGCATCGGAAATTGGCAAAGATGCATCGATTGAAAGTTTAATAAAGCATCCATTGCAAAATTCATGGACACTTTGGTATTATGATCATGAGAAGGGTAAAACATGGGAAGCATGCCAACATCAAATCACAACATTCGATACCGTCGAAGACTTTTGGAGCCTGTATAATCACATCAAGCAACCGACAGAAATCAAAAATGGTAACGATTATTCGCTATTCAAAAATAACATTCGTCCGATGTGGGAAGATGAGCAAAACAAAAACGGCGGCCGTTGGATCATCAATTTGCAAAAATTCTTCCGGCCACATGAGCTCGACAAGTTATGGTTAGAGGTCATTCTATGTTTGATTGGCGAAGCATTCGATTACTCGGAAGATATTTGCGGTGCGGTGGTCAATGTTCGTCTTAATCGCCACAAAATTGGTAAATATCAACAATTCCCATTCCATCAATTGTTTTGAATCAATTTATTTTGCATCAATTTTAATTGATATTTATTCTTGTCATTTTCGTTTTTCCCAATGATCAGCTATCTGGACGTCAAACAATAACAAACAGAGAATTCTCAGCATCGGCCGAAAGTTAAAAGAAAGTCTCAATATACCGCAAGAATTGCAAATTCAATACGAACTGCATAAAGAAACTGCATTCAAACATGGTGGCAAAGCAGCAGCATATACTTTGTAGTTTTCTTCAGTTATAATTTCTTTATCACATCTTTTCTCGATTCGGATAAGCGAAATCCTTTCATTTTTTTTATATCACATTCTATTATGCGAGATGAATAATTTTCAATTAATTTTTAAGTGAAAGATTGTGAATAATTTTATTAATGGCATTATTATCACTGCTAGATTTATCTACGCTATGGTATAATTTCTTCTTCGTTTTCTTTTTTTTCTGGTAAAACATAATTTAAACAAGAATCATATGCAAATTATAATTTAAATATCAATCAAATTTAAAGCAAAAACCGGGTGTTTTTTTCGCTCCGAGTTTTTATTAGTTAAGACATACAATTCATGTAAAAAAAAACAAAAACCTTCAAATCCAAAATCATCATTTTCGGTGAAAAAAAGAGAACAACAGCAAAAAGAAAATAAATAAACTTTTAATTTGAGCAAAAAAATCTAGTTTTTAAGTTTTCATTACTGAACGAATGAGATCGTATAAAAATTTCATTCATTTCAACACATTAGATTCGATAATATATAAATTTCTAACTAAAAATGGAACCGTAATAATTTATCATTGAATCATTTCAAATTGAATTGTTATTATAAGTTCGCTATTAAGCTAGATAACATTAGGAGGTTTGAAATGTGCATAACATTATAAATTAAATAGAACATTTGCAGAAAACAAAATAAAAACACCGGTCATGCGTAATTTCATTCGTTTTTTGTGTTACCACATAGCATTCACAATCACATTGCTGAAATTTGCTCCGTTGGAAAATTGATACACGTCAACGTCAGACAAAACTATTAACCTAAAAACATTTGACAGATAATGTCAACATCGACAATATTCATCGAACGGTACGTGGAGCTAGACCGTGTTGATTTACCGGTGAATTCTATTAATTTTTCTATAGTTCTCTAAACATCATGTCAACATTTAACAATAAAAATAAAAAGAAAACACCACAAACTGAGAATTACAATAAGTCCAATTCGACGAATGCATGGCATACCAAAGATACAAATCAACAAACAACATCAAAAGAAACAAAGAATGCGACAAACAAGCAAAATGCGTCCAAAAATAAATTTAAAGAGGCTCAAATGGAGCATATACAGGCGGCAAAAAAACACTTTCAAAATTATGAAACCAGTTCGGATGAGGAAGATCTCGAAAGTGATGCATTGCTCGAATCAGTGTTCAAAGGCTATGACGGTGATCGAAGCCAATTAAGAAAGACACAAGAATTTCTTGAGCATGTTTTTCAATCAGGCGCAGCCACTTGTCTTATTTGTATTGCAACCGTTAAGAGAACGGATTTTGTAAGTTTCCATTTCGTATATTTATTCTTGTTTTGATTCATTCGAAGTTTATTCTTATTCTAGATCTGGTCATGCGAAAATTGTTTTAGTTTTTTCCATTTGAATTGTCTGCAAAGATGGGCAAAAGACAGTATATCACAACAGAAAATGCACCAAGAGAATGATGTTGGCGGCTATTACAATAATCAAGGCGAATATATTCCAAAGCAAGTGAAAGCCATCAAATGGTGCTGTCCCAAATGCCGTGCTGATTATCCTCCAAGTGATGTAAGTGTTTTTCATTATCCATTTCAATTTTTTTTTGTTATCCATTTCAATTTTATTTAATAGATACCACAAAACTACTTTTGCTTCTGTAAAAAAGAGTTGAATCCGGCAAATCATCTGTGGTTAGTACCTAAGAGTTGATTAATTTGTTTTTTTCCAATGTGTGTGCGTTTGTGTACGGTCAAAACTTTATAGTTTCTTACATTCCCAATGGATTTCCAATCATCTCTCACTCACTCACTCATGCATTCATTCGGCCAGACAAACACACACACACACACTCTGTGTTTCTATCTCACATACATTTCTGTTTCCATCATCATCATCATCGCATTGACATTGTCATTTGAAAAATCTCATTGCACATATTATAGAATTATTGTGAATGATGATAATGGAAAAAGAATCAAAGGAATAAATCAGGAATTGTAGAGTAATGGAATACATATAGTACATACAGAACGTAGTTTCTCGACAGACTGAATTCGATGGCCATAGATTGGCATTGAATCGATCCGTTTCCTTAATTTCTTCATCATCTTTTTCCCCTTTGATTGCCCATTGATTTACCAAAATCAATTCGACATGCATTCCAGGTTAGTACCACATTCATGCGGTGAAGTATGCGGGAAACCATTAAAATCGGCATGTTCGCACAAATGTCTAATACTTTGTCATCCAGGGCCATGTCCGCCGTGTTCACAAATTATAAGCACATCATGTGATTGCAATAAGTCTAATTTAAAAACGATACGATGTTCACAAAACTCTTGGAAATGTGGAAATAAGGTAACCGTCATCGTGATTTGGTCAATTATTTTGTAATGAAGCATTATAAATAAAATTATGTTGATGTTTTAGTGTTCAAAGATTTTGGCGTGTGGTATTCATAAATGTGATCAAGTTTGTCACAAAGAATGTGCACCATGTACAAAAAAGAGTCAACAAAAGTGTGTATGTGGTAATCGAGTACAGGAACGAGACTGCAATAGTTTGATTTGGTCATGTGAGAAAATGTGTAACAAATTGTATGCATGCGGACGACATCGTTGCAAGGTTAAATGTCATAGCGGTGATTGTGGTGAATGCCCTTCTGGTCTACTGAGATCGTGTCCATGCGGCAAAGAAGTGAGTTAGCAACACTAGCTTAACTTATATGTCAGTAGTAAAAATGTTGGCATTTTTCTTGTTTCATTTTTGTAGACAACTCAAGCACCATGTACATTGGATGTTGAACCTTGTGGCAATACATGCCAAAAAATCCTGAAATGTGGCAGTCACATTTGTGCAGAGCGATGCCATCGAGGTGAATGTGGCCAATGTTTGGAAATTGTCGAAAAAAAATGTCGTTGTGGAAACTATTCAAAAGAGTTACCTTGCAGCAAAACATTTCTGTGTGAAGCAAAATGCAAACGTATGCGAGACTGTAATAAGCATGCATGTAATCGAAAGGTATGGCTTGTGACACACCCTAAGTTTGTACATAATTCAATGTTGTTCATTTGATGTTTCAAGTGTTGCGATGGTGATTGTTCACCTTGTGATAAAATATGCGGAAAGACGCTATCTTGTGGAAAACATAAATGTACATCCGTTTGTCACCATGGACAATGTTATCCATGCACTTTAACAGCGACTGTTAAATGCCGGTAAATTTTTATTTCTTTTTTAATAAAAATTATTAAATGCATTGCATATAGCTTTAATTAACAGTTACAATTGATTTTTATCGATAGATGTGGCAATACATCGATGGATGTTCCATGTGGTCGTGAAAAGAAAACCAAACCACCAAAATGTAATCTATTTTTTTCCATTGTTTCCATTGCTTACTGATTAATTTCCATTCATTTTTATGTGATTAACCCTAGGTAATCTACCATGTAAAATTCCATCAAAATGTCATCATAATAATGTGCACAACTGCCATATGAATGAGTGCCCGTCATGCAATAACATTTGTATGTTAACAAATGATGTGACCAATTGTGAACATCCATGCCGGTACATTTTATTTTGATAAACTATTTTATTTTCTTTACTAATTATAGTGAATATTTTGTGCAGAGCCAAATGTCATGATGCTGTTAAAGTGCTGGTTGTTGATAAGAATTTTAAGCCAGCTGGACCATGGGATATTCAACCAGAAAAATATGAGATTCGAAAATTGCCGCATCCAAAATGTGAAGTTAAAGTACCGGTTGAATGTATTGGCGGACACGAATTGGCATTATGGCCTTGTTGGAATTCGAAACCGGCATCATGCGGTCGAAATTGTGGCCGAACATTGAAATGTGGCAATCATTTGTGCGAACAAATGTGCCATATTGTTGATGATAAAACGTCAAAAATGCAAGATAAATCATGCGCCGAATGTTTGGAAGGATGCCAAGTACCGAGACCGCCGGGATGTAAGTGTTTCAATTTCATTTTCCATTATATTCCATTACATGTTGATTAATTTCCATTAATTCCATTTTTTTCTTCTGATTATCTCTAGGTTGTCATTCATGTGAGAAAAGATGTCATCCAAAACCATGCAATCCATGCAATGTGGTCACTAAAACGGCCTGTCACTGTGGATTGAATCAAGTTTACTATAAATGTCACGAATTCTATGGTGAAAATCAACATGACAATGAGGTTAAAGAAAATCGAGAGAAACGTCTTAGCTGCGGCAATCGATGTATTAAGAATTTTTCATGCGGACATCGTTGCACAAATGTATGCCATTCGGGCAAATGCCTGAACGAAGAATCTTGCCGGAAGAAATTAAAAGTTTATTGCGAATGCAAAAATCGAAAAGTTGAAACCACTTGCGACAAACTGCGATCCGGATTTATATTGGGTTGCGACGATACTTGCAGGTCAAGACAAGAAGAGACGAAACGTGTGGCTGAACAACAAGAACGCATCAAGCGTCAACAGGAAGAAGAAAAGAATCGTATAGAACTTGAGGAATTTGAAAAGAAATTCGGAAAGAAAAAATATAAGGAGAGAAAAGCACAAATTATTGAAGATACCGATAATTCGCATCTTTACAAATGGGCAGGGCTTGTGGCTGCTGGAGCCATACTCGCCGGTTTTATTTATTATTTATTTGCTCAATAATTTTAGCAGATTTTTTTTTGACAAATTAAACAGGAGATTTACCTTTTTCCAAGTTTTATTAATATTTTTATCATTAGTCACATGAAATAAACAAAATTAAAGACAATATAATAGTTCAGTAATGTGCGAGCTACATTTTACAGGGGGGAGGGTGATTTTTCAAAAACCAAAAATTCTCTAGCAAATCAACCAAATTTTCGTTTTTTTTTTTTTTTGGAAGTCACTTTTTGAGGCGAAAATCCCTAGCAAATCGAAAGAATTTTCTCCGCGAAAAACCTTAGCAAATCGGAAAAAAATCTCTCGGAATTTTCTACATTGATGAGCTAAAAAAAAAAAAAAGGGCTTCACTTTTTTCATGAAAAACCCTAGCAAATTCGAATAATTTTCGCGAAAAAAATTTTCTCATCCAAATCACAGGGGGGGGGGGGCCCCCCCCCCCCCTTCGCACATTACTGTAATAGTTTATTCAGTCCTGAATTTATATGTATGGGAGTATTTTATGTATTTAGTTTATTTCAGTTATTTACATAGCAGTCACATGAGACTTATATAAAAGTCAATGCCTGCAAATTATATTGATCGTACCCAATTAAAATGTTCACTGTAATGCGATTAGGCTTGCTGATTTTGTTCCTCTCTGAGATTTTTTTTTGGCCGAGTCAATAATTTGAAATTTTCCATAATTTCCATAAAAATAACAAATTCTGATATCAAAGAGAAAAAAATCCGGCAAACCTAATAGCAGTGAAGTTTTTTTATATTTTATTATGATTTAAAAAAAAGGAAAATGGATTTTTATGTAAATGTTCAATGTTGTGGATGAACAACCTTTTAAGTCCATATCTTGTCTTTGAATACAAACGAAGTAAAAAAATAAATTTGATTTGACATGCTCATTTAGAATCAAGATTTTAATTGAATTTTTTCGAGAGCTTCATCTTTTTCCACATTTTGTCAACATTTTTATCGTAGTCGAAGTGTATCGAAACATTAACCATGTATGCAATGAACGTAATTAATGACAATACGGTTATATATTCAGCACGATTCCTGAAATAACATGTAAGAGAGAATTGTGTGTTTAAATTGATTCTAATTTGATGTGTTTTTGAAAATATAATCTTTTTGCATGAAAAACCACAAAGTCAAAAACTGTTTGCTTTCACGTTTCTTTAAGGTTCATTAAAAACAAATTTTTAGTTTGGGTTTAACTGAACATTTTAAAAAATAATAATATTTTTTAAAGATTCAACACTCACTCGAATGGCATACCACACACAGTATACCAAATACTTCCATCCGAAGGTGTAATTCCGTTCGGCAAACAATGAAAATCATAATACATTTCATCATAGTTTTCCACACAAAGGTATTTCTGTCTTTCCAATGTCTGTATTAAATAAAAAGATGGTATGGATTAAACGAAATTGATTGCGTGAAAAAAAATGGTGAACAGATTAAATGAAAACCTTCAAAATCGTATGAACTGGTTCAGTTTCATTGCAGTTCCCAATCGGTTGGTGCATACCAACGGACACAACATCTTCGGGATTGAAGAAAATAGCGGTGCCCAAATAAACCATGTAATGTACAATAAAATGTCCGAATAACACTTTCGACATGAAATTCATTTTAGCTGGCTTTTCGTATCGGTTACATTTCCTATCAAATTTCCATACAACTGCGGTGAAAATCAACAATATACTTATCGCCGTCACCTCAGACGGAACATTATAGAAATCATGGAGCGGATGATAAACCGCAACAAAGAATAAACAACCAGTTGGCATTCCCAAAAATGATGCACAAACTAATGACATAATTTCTGATTTTCTATAGGAAAAAAAAGATACAATTAATAACATAAATTAAAGTAAACAAAATGGGGATGATGTCTCACAAAGTTCCAGCTTGCCATTTGTCTAAATCTTTTCGTTTCTCTGTCCATCTCCGTACAGAATGAAACCAAAAGTGAAAACTCGCAGAAAAGCACAAATGAAAGTAATACGAATTCCATGGCACCCAATAATGGCGATCGTCTTATTTGTTTAGATAAAAAAAGAAACTGGTAAAAGTTATACAGAATAATGAATTTTAAATATTCAACGTACAAATATTGGGGTCAGTGTCATGCCATATCCAATGAACAAATTTCGGACCAATAATATCGTATGGCATATCAACCAAAACGGTCATCAGACCAACGGCCATATGTTCAACCAGTTGAGATTTTAATTTCATTTTCGACACCGTCCAAGATGCATGATAGTAAAACATTGGATCTATTAAATGGAAATATTATTATTTTTGCGTCATAAAACCCTGCAAGAATTGTAACGTACAAAGTATCGCAATGTAAAGTGCCATTCTACGATCGAAAAATGTAATAATGCCTTGGGCATGCCAGAAATTTTCGATAAATGGCGCAAAATATGATATTAACTCAATCACAAATCCATGAGTCATGGACGCAAAAAATAACCACGGCCATCTTCCTCCCGTTACGAAAGCTGTGAAAAAAACAACAAATCTGAATATTTAAATTATGGTGAGCTCAAGTGGAGTTTTAATGTCCAATATTTATTGAAAACGCGTGAGTAATAGCTATTTTGGTTATTAATTTGATGACAGGTGTTTGAATAAATGTAAAGAGCTGATTTCTCTTATCACTTGTGCGAATATTTTGATAACGTGTAAAACCCTTAGTTATCTGTTCATAAAACATTGACTTCAAAAAAAAAGAAACAATTCTATCCTTGAACTTACACAAAAGATTTAATGACATATACTTTATAATTATATTATTGCTGATTGTATTAACAAACCATGGGCAAGCATCAGACTAGCTCCAATTAAGAAATTAAGCTCACAAATGGCGTAGGTTGGATGCGATTTCCAATAATCATACGGATCTCTATATGCTACGAGCCAGTCTCCGAACTATAAAAAATGAATTTTAAATGTAATCAAAAAAATGTATCTTTGAAAATCACACACTCTCTCTTTTTATTCAAGAAAAAAAACAATTTGGAATTAAGAATCTCTCGAAATCCACAAAAACAATATTCAAATGTGTTAAAGAATACGAGACAAGAAAAACATCCATTTACATTGGAATTTTTACTTTTTTTACCAAACAAAAAGGTACGCGGAACATTTTAAAAGCTCTATACATGTTGGATATATAGCAAAATAAACTTACGCTGGAGTAGTTCATGGCTGATCGTTCTTCACCAAATCCAATTATATCATATTCCATATTGGCACCAAAATGTTCTTTCGCTCGCGAACAAACTGTAAAAATTGAATAAAAACTCTGTACATTTGGTCACCTCAAACTCGGCATTTTCAACTATCAATATTATCGCTTTAATCAATTTGCGATTTTTTTTTTGTCTTGATAAACTAATGATAACATTTTTTCATAACCAACAAAATTATTCAATTTCGTATTTACCAAATAATTTTTAAGGTGTATTGTAAATAATTTAAAGCACACACAATATTTTATGAAAAATTGACTTTGTGTTTTTTTTTTCTAAAAATATATACACAAATTGGAATAAATTTACAAATAGTTCAAAAGTATTGAATTTTCGCGCCAAATCAACATGCTATACTCATTTGAAACGATGACATTCATCGCACTGCTCATGCACGAACCAAACGCACACATGCAAAACAAACTGTCGTACAATACGAACACTTAGCACAGTAGCAGAAAAAAACATTGCTATATTTACTTTTGGAACAACAATTGTCAAAAATGTTGTGTTGTTGTTCGCAGTAATGTGACGATGTTTTAATAAAAAAAAGTCCAAGATTTAAATGTTGGATTTGAATTTAATTTGTGTATTAATTAAACAAATAAAATAACAAAAAGTGTTCAACTGTATTTATTTTCCGAAATTGTTTTTAATTTGCAATAATTTGCGTTTTGTTTCGTTTGTTCGATTTACATATATGGTGTAAGAAATATAGATCAAACAATAACAAATTTAATCAAACTTGGCTATTTAGACTGAATTATGTCATTCTTTAACTACATTTTATCACCGCGACTCTACAAAGTGTATCGTGATGGTTCGATACAGGTAAAATTATAATCAATATTTTTATAGATGCATATGGTTATTCAAAGATTGTCAAAACAACGTAAAACCATTAAATTTATGTCCATGTTGTTCGATTTATTTATGTAATGCAATTTTTTTTTTTCATTGTGGTTCATCGTTTTTTGTATTTTCCATCGGCAGAGTCTCTACGAACCTGGTGGTTTTGAAAAATGGGGTGATCAGGTCATCTCAACGGTTAGTATAAAATAGATATATGAAAATAGTGTTGAAACAATTAAATACAACGCAAAATGTTGTCAAATCTAAATGCATGCAAAACAAATGACATTTATAAATATTTCCATTAAAAAAACACACATACACATATTTTAATTGCTTCAACATTGATTTTTCATATCGTATCCGTAATTCCTAATAGTTTATTAATGACTTTTATAGCTATCGCTAATGTGGAACATCAGCTATTATACGTCTCCATTGATAATAACATTTTTATATCGACGTGGCTATTTTGTAGCTGAATCGATATCATCATTTGCTAAAGTTTCAACTGGAATTGGTTTATTGGTCGTGATATCACTTTGTGTGCGAAGTTTTGGTCGTTCGTCATCAGCAAGCTATCGGAATTTCGTAAAAGCTTTGGAACAAGCCAAATCAAGTGTGACCAGTACCAACTTGAAAGATAAACTTCGATTGTATGATTTTGAATTCAAAGAGTGGCCAGTTGATTTTGATGTGAAAGATGTGAATGGGTAAGATGCGTTTATTTTATCCATTAATTGTTACTAAAATTGTTTGATTTCATTTTAGTGATCAAAGTAAGCGTCATGTTGCTTTGAGCGCAAGTCGATCGAAACCATTTTGGATTTCAACGCTTCCATGTGAAATTGTAGCTTACATTGCAATTCATACATTCGGCATACGAATGATATACCCCGGTTCAATTCGATTGCTGCAAAGTTTTCTACATCCAATATTGGTGCAAGGACGCGCTAAATTGGTTGAAGAAGAGTCTGGCAAACGTAACAAATTGAGAACCATTGATGGAAATGATATTGATACAATATTTATTGATCGTCGATCAAGTGTTAGTGAAAAGAATAGCAATGGTCGAACATTAGTCGTTTGCTCCGAGGGAAATGCTGGTTTCTATGAAATTGGCATAATGACCACACCGCTTGCTATGAAGTATTCAGTTTTGGGATGGAATCATCCTGGTTTTGGCGGTAGCACGGTAAGGGACAAGTCAAGCACTACACACATATAGATCATCGTATGTTAAATTGTTTTAAACCATCTTTTTGAATTATTTTTTTTTTTTAGGGATTACCATATCCACAACAAGATCAAAATGCAATGGATGCTGTTATGCAATTTGCAATTCATAAACTGGGCTTTCAAACAGAAGATATTATTCTATTTGGTTGGAGTATTGGTGGCTATTCTTCACTTGTTGCAGCTGCACAATATCCAGATATCAAAGGAGTTGTAAGTAAATCGCAACTAATTTATTTTATACGTTTCATTGTATTTATGCGATTGATTATATTCAATCGATAGATTCTCGATGCAACTTTTGATGATGTACTACAATTGGCAATACCTCGTATGCCAAGCAGTATATCAGGCATTGTTCGAATTGCAATCAGAGATTATGCCAATCTCAATAACATCGATTTGATCAACCAATACAATGGTCCAGTCCTAATGATTCGTCGCACCGAAGACGAAATCATTGCCGAGTAAGTGTTAATCATGTACCGAGTATATTTACAAAAAAAAAAAAAAAAACAATCCCATTTACTTTTCGATTAAAATACATTTGGATTCCGCTTTTAACAGAGACAATGAGATCGAAACAAATCGCGGAAATGGCTTACTTATTCATCTATTGAAAATACGGTTTCCGAAAATTTTCCAAACCGAACAAATAGAACGAATAACAAAAATGTTATCTCAACCACTCGATAAAAGTAAGTGTCTGTGCTTGATTAATTTTTCGTTGTTTTTTTTTAAATATCGATCACAAACCGATTCTCGTATTTGCAGCAAAAGACTTGACAGGCGGACATGAATTGATGCATTCGCTTCTGTTGTCGTATGTGTCTGAAAATTCAAAGCAATATCCGTTGGATATCGGTGAGGAATATACATCGGAACAGCGCAATCAGATGGCAGAGTATTTGGTTCGAAAGCATTTAATCGATTTTAAGTCAACTCACTGCACACCGCTGCCAACGGAACATTTCCGTATACCATGGGACGTGCCCAGCATTGAAAATGACTTTATCTTCACGTAAAATACATTTAAATATGCATTTAAAATTATTTAAGAAGTATGTTCGGTAAAACTTATGTAACCAGATCATTTTTTCATTCTAAAAAGGCAAAACACTTTTTTTCTTCAATAATTCAAATGATTGAAATTAAAATGGCATAATATTTACAAATAAATATGCATCTTGAATTGACTCTTTCAAATATTGACTTTGTCTTTTGAACAGTAATCCGCGGAGGCAGGAAGGTATTTTTTTTTTCTTCAGAAAAACTCTTCAATTAGCTTGGGATTCACACCGTATTCATTATTGTTGAAACAACTTGAGTTGTGTCGAATCGATTTTTCTGACATTAATTATCGTTTTTTATTGACAAATCAAATTCAAAATATGAATCGTCGATGTTTACTTAAGTTGCTTTACAAAACCATTATTCGTATGCATGGTAATACATCTCATAGCACATTTCGTTTCAATGTACCAAGCTTTGTTTAACTTGAAATCAGCTGATCGATGACAGTTGTGTTGTTGACAGTAATTGACATTCCAAATAAATTGCGATTTGATGTTGAAATTTTACGCATCGATATTTTTTTATAAAAATATAAATAAAGAATATGCATCCAATACATAGCATTAGCGTATCTTCGAATGTAATGGATTCTTTATTGAGAGAATTTGAAGGATATATCAATTCAAAACGTTTAAAATCTCGAATCACCAAGATCGTTGATTTGATCGATGTGCTTTGGAAGCGTAATGTATTTTTAACTGATCTTCAAAGTGTAACAAATATTATTCAGAAATATTTACCAAAAACTGAACAACGGGAAATATGGAATTATTTAAGTAGTTTAGATCCTAACGAAGGCATTGCAAATTCAGGAAACAGATACGGTATAATTTAATATAACAATTCTAAATAACATACATTGTGAAAATAATTGATGTCTTTTAGCAAAAATTCGTCAAAAAACTGTAAACCAATCGGCATCACCTTCAAATCACCAAAGTTCGTCGATTCAAACAACACACGTTCAACAATCTCATTTGAGAAATGCGCTCCCAAACACTGAAGAACCGGCACATTTTGACAAACATAAGGTTTTCACAGTCGTTTGTAATGAGATTGAAAACTGGCGAGACTTTGGCCGTTGTTTTGGTATGAGAGATGTTGACGTGAATCGCATAAATCAAGACCGAGAACTCAACAATGACACCAGACTGATTACAAATCGAATTTTGGAGCAGATGCAGGCCATATATCGTGATCAATTCCCACAAAAATTATGTGATGCTTTGATTGAAGCCAGACGAAAAGATATTGTTAGACAATTGAATAAAATGAAACTTATTTAACTTTATTTATAATATTGATATAATATATATAATATTGATTTTAGCATTACGATTTTTGATTTCATAAAAGACCTGGTTTGTATGTAGATGCATATCTTTTGATGTCGGCAATCCGGCCAAGGAGGGATGATTTCAGAATTTTTAAACACCCTAACAAATCAAAGGAATTTCTCTCGTTGAAAAACCTTTTGAAAAATGTGTAAGAATTTTTTTCCTGAAAATCTTTTTAAAAAAACCTAAAAAAAGGGATTCAAAATCATAATTGTTTTAAACCACAAAGTCGTTTACTTTATTTGTTCAACATTTTAATTTAATTAATTTTATGTAATAAAGTTGTGATGTAAGATGTATTTCAAATCAAGTGTGCGATAAATAAAATTATTTCAAAATAAATGCATCAATTATTATCACGTAAAAACATTTCATCATGAAAATGCTGAACATATTCGAACGAATATGGTCTTATCTCAATTAGTTTCAAATTTGTGTCCAAATTATTCCATTTTGTTTCATCGATGGGGTAAATGTACATTATAATTTTTCGGGCTCCTTCTAATTTTTCTCTCTCTCTGTTCAATTTTGCCACATTGATTGTCCCTTTGTAAATCCTCTCAATTCGTATGTGTCTCAATTTTACTGAATGTCTAATAAATGGCAAGATGTGTTCTACATTTCCCAAAAATTTTATATGTATTCGTGTAATGCTTGTGCAATAGTTTACCAACTGTGTGCTACATTTCAGACGTCCATGATTTGTATTGTACAAGAATAGCTCTTGTAAACTGGTTAGAGAAGCGAAAGGGGATAAATCTGGGCATGAATCTCTATCTGGTCTATAAAAGTCATTTATACCCAATTTAACTATTCCATTTAATGATCCGACTTCATTGATCTGTTTTTGATTCATATACCCGAAATATATGCACAGATGCTTATAAAAACCACGCTTATGAAGCTGGTTTAAAGATTTACAAACCGCATCACCCATACTATCAAAACATGAAATGTTCAATTGTAAAATGAATGTCTCCAGTTTCTTTTCAGTTTTCATAATAAAATCCAAATGTGGCAAAATTCTTTCGCTGGTCGAGAAGTGACAAATGCTCGGATTATTCTCCAAAAATGTCATCAATTCATCAATTCTGGACGATCTCACATAAAAATATTCAAGTTTTGGATAAATTTGATATAACCAGTCGTCGTTGTTATGACATTCCTCATTATCGTCCCAATTACAGACACATAGACGTTTTACATTGGGACAGAAAACGAGCAAATTCTTATGGGCACCCCGAAAAGATGTTCGAATAACATTCAACCTTTCAATTTTGCTTAAAATCTTTCTTATAAATTCATTTTTTGCACTTGCACCAACAATCATCATATTTCGCTCCGACAATTGCAGCTCTTTGATAGATTCATATTGCTCTGGTGAAAATGAAGCCATATTTCCCATGCAATCGTCACTGAATCGAAAGTTTTGAAAAAATCGCATGTAATCACTCAGATAAATCTCATTATAATCACCACCGAATCTTAACATTTCAAATCTCTTGGGTACGAACACTCGAGTGTTCGGTCGTTTTCCAGCTATTTCCACTATATGATTTACGTAGTTTGTTTTTATATAGTATCCAGCGTAGTTTTTCAATCGTTTACATGTTCGCCCAAAATTACACAAGTCTTTTAATGGCAGTAGTTCAAATATTTCATCGAAGTGGATGCAACTCAATTTAAAAATATCTGGAGAATGCTCGTCATTCACATCAACAATATCCACAGTACCACTTTGACTTGATATACTTTGATTATTTAACTGGACTTCACCACTATCTCCCTTTTGATTTTTATTCATTTGGTTTTCCATGACGTGAACAAATTGTACTCTGTTGCAAAAATCGAAATCAAATATATAAGGAAAATTGAGCTTAAATTGAACTTAACCTTCAGCTGTATAGACTTCAGACACTCTGCTGAGTCACAAACCGTTTTTTCGTACTTTGATGATAATTTACCAACTTAGCGAATTGCCATCATAGTTTTTCAATTTAACACTAGGTGGCTTGAGCTGACAGTTCAAAATCTTCAATACATTCTGCGAATGTTGTATTGTATTATAATTTGTATAAACGAATGTGCTACTTTCCCTCTCTAATATTTTGTGTTCACATTCATTCTTGTTCCATTTCCACAATTGTACGTCTTGAAGAGGCAATTTTTTTTTAAACCTTATTATCGCTTTGATGTCGGTGAAAACATTTATATACTAACTGTGTTTTTTCGTGTTTTTTCTGTGTTTTTTTTTTCTGGTAGACAAACGACAACATTGCAACATCAATAATTGTGTATATATATATGAGAAGAGTAAGAGTTCGTAAAAAACAATAAAGAAAAAAAAAAACATTTGAAAAACAAGTTTAAATTCGCCATAATTTGACGTATTTGCGTATTAAATTTATTGTAATTTAATCAAAAAAAAAATCGAAAATCAGCACACAAATAAGTCTAACATTTGATCGTTGGAACCTACAATTAAAATACTATTTATAATTTGCTGATTCATTATTTATTTTACGATAAGATTTCCATCGATAAATTTAAACAAAAAAAATCATTTTATTATTTTTATCAATTATTTCATTTTAAAATATAAAACAAAAATCGAAATCGTTTCAATCACTATACAATAGAAATTTGTCTCTTTTGTGTGCTAGAGTAAATAAAATTGCAAAAATTGTTGAAAATGTCGGCAAATGATCAATTAAGATTTGATGGTCGTGTGGCGATCGTTACGGGTGCCGGTGCTGGACTGGGTCGTGAATATGCATTATTATTTGCTGAACGAGGAGCAAAGGTTGTTGTCAATGATTTGGGTGGCAGCACCTCAGGCGAAGGTTCAAGCAAAGCAGCCGATATTGTTGTAAACGAAATTCGGGCAAAAGGTTCGTATTTATTAATAAAACAAAATAAGAAACAGCAACAGCAACATTTCATGTGAATGTTCTTCATTACAGGCGGTATTGCATGCGCAAATTATGATTCAGTGACTGACGGCGATAAAATAATCAAAACGGCCATGGATAATTTTGGACGAGTTGATATTTTAGTAAATAATGCTGGCGTATTGAGAGACAAAAGTTTTGCAAAAATTTCCGAACAAGATTTGAATATCATAATGGATGTTCATTTCAAGGGAAGCTTTAAAACAACACAAGCGGCTTGGCCAATATTCAAAAAGCAAAATTATGGTCGTATTATCATGACGACGAGTAACTCAGGAATTTATGGAAATTTTGGTCAGGCAAATTACGGTGCAGCAAAAATGGCTCTCGTTGGATTGTGCAACACATTGGCCATTGAAGGCGAACGGAATAATATTCATTGCAATTGCATCGTTCCAACAGCCGCATCACGTCTCACTCAAGATGTTCTACCGGAAATTCTATACAATGAATTGAGTATGTTATCATATTTGAAATGACTGAAGGGTGGCTATTATTATTGTGGCTTATTTGTTTATATTTTCAAAATTTAGAGCCAAAATTAATAGCTCCCGTTGTTACTTACTTATGCCATGAGTCAAGTACCGATAATGGAGCCATCATCGAATCAGCAGCCGGATGGGCAACAAAGGTACCATACGAAAATAAGGCATATCACTCGGATTTATATTTTAATATTTAATTTATTGAAATTGCACAGTTGCATACGGTGCGCGGAAAGGGAGCAATTCTACGTTCGTCCATAATGGAAGATGTAACACCGGAAAAGGTTCGAGATGCATGGGAACGTGTAACTGATATGTCAAACACTGAGCGAATGAGTTCAATTGCTGAGGCCACTGGTAGTTTAGTTGGAATCCTTGACCAACTCGAAGTAGATCAAAAAGCCGGATCACAAAACGGCCAACAACACCAGGACATATTTTCATTTGGAAATAAAGATTTAATACTATATGCACTTGGCGGTAAATCATCTATTCATAATAACATTTTAATTTGACGTTAACCAAAAAAAAACCTCGTTCTCCTTTTTCGTTTAAAGTGGGTTGTACCGTAAAAGATTCAATCGATTTGAAATTTTTATACGAAAATCATCCGGACTTTACATCGTTGCCAACTTATTTCATAATGCCAGCGTTGTTATTGGCAATGTCATCGACTTTGACACAATCGGCAATTACACATACGCAATTTGATTTATCACAAGTACTGCATGGTGAACAATATTTGGAAGTGTGTGATGAACTACCTACGGAGGGTAGTGTTTCCACAAGCGGATCTGTTATTGATGTTGTTGATAAACGATCTGGAGCCGTCGTCGTTTTAAATTGTAATTATCTTAAATTCAGGGATTGTTCCACAAACGGGGAAACAATTCCTGCTTAAATTACACCCATCTAATGAATCATGCATTTATGTGATTTTTCTAAATTCTTTTATATCAGGCGATTCGTTCGATCAAAATGGAAAATTATTGTTTAAAAATCAACTCTCAACGTTTGTTGTTGGGGCCGGAAACTTTGGTGGCAAAACAAAAGCATCGGATGAGGTTAAACCGGTGATTCCAACACCAAATCGTCCATTTGATGCGTCAATCAAATATACAACTAGCGTTGATCAAGCTGCCCTATATCGACTATCTGGCGATTTGAATCCATTGCATATTGATCCGGAGTTTGCAAAATTGGGTGGACACAAAGTGCCAATAATGCATGGCTTGTGCACGTTGGGCTTTTCAGTGCGAGCGATTTTATCAACATATGCTGACAACGATGCATCCCTATTTAAAGCGGTTAAAGCACGTTTCACAAAACCGGCCATACCCGGTCAAACGCTCGAAATTCAAATGTGGCAAAATGGCAATCGAATTCACTTCAAAACCGTTATTGTTGATACTGGAATCGAAGTGATAACAAGTATGTATCAAACGATTTTTATCAATCAGTTACATAGTATCTGATTCTTTTGAATTCTTTCGTCAAAGGCTCTTATGTTGATTTGAAGGAAGTTAAAAAGTCGAAGGCTACTCCAATGGCAAATTCATCGAATTCAACAAAATCATCCGTTGAACTAAAAAGTGATGTTATTTTCCAAACAATTAGCGAACGTATTAAAGAAAACATTGAAAAGGCCAAATCAGTGAATGGCATATTCCTGTATAACATCACAAAAGATGGCCAAATCGCTAAAAAATGGAGTGAGTTGTTGCATATTAATATTAAATCTTATTTTGTATGTTATGTTTTCTTAGCATAAATTCTTTTATGAAGAAAAAGAAGAAGAAAACAATTGTTTCGTAACAAATTAATGTTAACGTATGTACATTTTTTAATAGCAATCGACTTGAAGAGCGCAATATTGTATGAAGGCCCACCGAATGGTGTCAATGCAGACACAACGCTTACCGTGAACGATGATGATTTCGTTGATATTGCACTCGGAAAAATCAATCCTCAGGTTGCATTTATGAAGGGAAAACTCAAAATAGCCGGAAACATTATGCTGACGCAAAAGCTTCTTCCACTGCTTAAAACTGGACCAAAGCTTTGAGCAAATTACTTTAATTGCATTCATTCCAGTGACGTGGTCACTCTATGAGAATAACACATGGTTTAAGGGTTTGGTGCTTGCTGAATGATTTTTATCACATTTTTACATGGGTTAAATGTAGATACTAAGACACGATTGTTATGAATTTCAAATTCAAAATCCAATGGCATTGTCCGCAATATGTTGCATTTCATTTGAGGTTTTTCATTTTTAAAATTGGGTGATTAATTAAATGAATTAAGCATGAATGGTGCTTTAAATCAAAATGAATGATTTTTTTTTTAAATATTTAAAAAATAAAATAATTTTAAAACCAAAATTTTCTTTTGTTTTATTCATGCTCATTTTTTATTAAACTTAAAGTCAACATAAAGATCAGATGTAAGTACCGGCCAGCAATAATAAGTTCAAAATTACATTACGAATACTGATTAATATAAATTTATTCACTTATACATATTTGTTTGTTTTGAATAACGAAAATGAATCTATTCAAAAAAGCATCAACTCTTAATCGTTAGAAAAATAATACTTTTTATAAGTGAATTATTGATTTAGAAAGGCAAGAAAAACCCGTTACATGTTTCATTTTTTTTTCTTCTAAAAAGCGGTCAAATGTTCCTATTCTAAGCCTGAAAGTTAAGGCAAATCTCTGGTGAATGGATATTTAATGATGAATTATAGCTTCATTTATTTTCTAAATGCACATAAATTATTATTCGGTTGATGATCAATTCGATCAATTTATTAATTTGATTCGATTGAAACTTATAGAATAATACTACTAAAAATAATTTGTTCTACATAAACAGTATAATCATATTGTACTTGATTGTTGTTTTTGTTGTTTTTCCGACAAATCATACACGAGATTGTTGTGTAAGCGTTTAATTGCTCGTTTATATTTCATCGTCTAGTTTTGGCGCAGTGTCCTTTTCGGGAGGTTCAATATTTTGCAATTGTATTATTATTATTTTTTTATCTTCTACGTCCATCGTTACTGTTACTCCTGATGAGAGGTTCATTGATTTGGTTTATAACGGTATATGACCTCCGTCACATAGTCCAAGTCATCCCATATTTGTACGGCTTTAATGTCACCAATATCAAAATTGTAGTCGAATTTATAGAGAAAATTTCGATTCTCATCTTCCGAATATATTAAAAGTTCGTTATCGTCGAAATGAAACGTTATAATAAATTCTTGACCTAGATGAAAGAAAATTCAGAATAAGGAAACTCAATTAAATGCAATGCCAAACCTATTTGTTGTATAAGTGGATGAATGAATGTATGTATGGTTGGATGGATGGATTGATTAAGTAACTTGTTGTTTTTCTTTTATTTCTCCTCATTTTTCCAATGGCTATGCAAATTTGCAATTATGTTCATTGTTTATGTTCTTACGCGGGAACAAAAAAAAAACGTTACGCCAATTCATTCGCCAATTTCGCCTCTACTTATATGTAACGTGTTCAGTCTTTTATGACTTTTCCCGTTTATGTTCCTCGCGTTTTCTTTTTTTTAATGAACCTCCACTATATACATGAATATAGAACAAAAATCATTTTCTCAGAATAGAATTGCGTGCATTTTGAGCATTTTCAACAATATTCTACCAACGTTTTGAAGAATTAATGGCTCAGCACACTGTTTCACTTATTCGCTTTTTCATTTTTATTTTTTATTGTAATTGGATGTAATGAGAAGTATGCGTAATTGTTTTGCTTTTGTAACATATAGAGTTAAATGCGTGAAACTTTACCGGGTCCTTGAATCCATGATAATTCATCCTCGGTTCCTTCATTCCAAATGCCAACTTTTTTGTAATTCTGCGACACTGATTTTTCCACAAAATTGGTTTTGAATTGGTAGGCAATATTAAGTGGATTCGGACAACAATCCAGCGTCAGATTTACGGAAAATCTAGAAAATTTTGAAATTGGATAATTAAAATGTAACCTAAGAATAAATGTGTCACACAAACTAAGCCTACAAGAAATCGTTTACGAAGTATACTTGTATGAATTTTTTTGACTGAATCACATTTTGCCACACTAAGTTTCATATTTTGACTGGATTTTGATGAAAATTATGATTCTAATTCTGATCTTTTTCAACTAAACTAATTTGGCAATTAGCACCAGAGAAGTACATCATTTTTTCAAGTTCCGCACCTGGATACAAGAAAGAGCAGCACTTACAAGAAAAATTCCCGTACTTCCTTGGTGCCTATAACGGCTCTGATACTACGTTTTATCCATGTAAAAATCAGACATTATATTAAGCTGAATACGTCAGGAAGCTAACGTCAGGCGCTGAAATGGAGCGACAACAATGGAAGTGATTAGATATAAAAACACTTTAATTCTTACAACCACTTCTATTGTTTTTCAGCGCTGATTCAGCTGTTAAAATGTTTCAAAATGATTCAAGATAAATTTATAAGAAAAAAAATGGATTGAAATGACTGCGGCAATTTATTAAAGAAAAATATCTGACAGAGCTATTGAATAAAATACTATGTGCGAAATATACACGATCGATGAATTTTTGGGACGTTTTATTCTTAAATCACCATTGAAGGTTTCTATTTGAAAATCTTTTCTACCAAATTTGTTTCATAAATGTTATAATCTTATACGTCTCTTTTTTTATTGTTGACAAGCGTCAATGGTATGATATACTTTTAACGGACTCAATTTCTTCGATACGTTAAAAACAAATTATTCAAATCCACGTTAACGATAAGTTGAATCCATAAACAAAATGTATTGCTAAATTGGACTGGATTGTGGGTGTTTAGCGGCAATAAAAATTATGCGATTTGAAAAACTCGCAATTTCTATGTTATTCCGTTTTCTGATTTCATGCTTTTTCGATATCATATTATCGCAATTTCCATCGAAATTAGCCTTGACTAAGTGAAGAAAAATAAAATCATATCGGCAAGTACCTTATTATACTGACCAAAATAGAAAACAAATCACACTTCGAAATAATCGAGCGCGAAATTTCATGCTCAATATTAAATGTATGGAAATACGTGCATACAGATGGAGAACAATGGGTTGCTACAGTATTTTTGAGTGGTATTTCTCAATTATATTGAGGTGTTATTTATAGCACACTGTCTCACTGTCCAACGATTTGTTCTTTTTCGATATTTCGTGGAAATATGAATGAATATTTATGATTCTAACATTGCTGGTGAATGTAATTACACGCCTTTTCCAATTATGTTGCGAAATAAAATTCAAATCATATGAAATTATTGGAAGTCCACCAATCAAAATGTATTTAAAATTCCATTAGCATGGAAGTTTTGTATTTCTTTTTCTTTGTTGATTCATCGATTTATAATCGGCGATTACTACGATTTGCTTTTGATGAGTAAACATCGCACTAAGTTTTGTTCAAACTATTTACTCTTCAATAAAATATATTTGCACAGTATATTGCTGTTTTTTTTCTCTACAGTAAAACTATAAACAAATAAAACGAGTTCGATCCGATATGCGCTGCCTCATTGATCGTTCAATTTGCGTCGATCGGCTAAATTGTTATCAAAAAGTAAACTCACATTTGTGCGTCGTTTTTAATTCTCCCTTTAAGAACGATTTCGTCGCCGACTTGTGTTTGTTGTGGCAAAATAGCCATAAAAGGTCTAACGGTCATTGTTGCTAAATACTTTGGTTCTTCTTCCGTATAAATTTTATTCGATTGAGGTTCGATCTATTGGAAAATTACGTTCACGTACACACTGATTATTTTACCTCGAGCAATTTTTTTTTTTTTAAATTTTTTTTTGCGGTTTTCTTTGGAAATTTTTTAAATCACTTCAATTTCACTTTGTAAATAAAATATTTCTTTCGGGTGGAATTATTTTCATTGCCTGCTTGAGCTATTTTATGAATATCGTTTCAAAGCCACTCTGATCGTATTTGAGTTAAGTCGATACAATAAAACGATAAGGTGTCAGTCACTTAATTTCTCTTGTCATTTTATTTCAATTATAAACGAAAAATTAATACAAAATACACCGCTATTCGATTTTTTACTCGTGTGTATGTAAGCACAGCACAGAACAGCGCACAATACCGTGTACATCTACATTGAAAAGAGTTTAAAATTAATTTAGAACAATATGAGAGAAATGAGAGCAAACGCTCGCGACCGAATATCAAAAATTGATCATTCATTCAAAATGAATATGCCAAACTGAAATCACATCACCTGTTTTATGTTCGTTTATTATTATTTATCGTCTTCTCCTTCAAATTGTGTGTTTTCTTCGTGTTTTATTTTCCACAGCCGCAATCACTGTTGATCGGTGTTTGTGCGTTTCAACATTTTTTGTACACCACAATCGGAAGAATACATATTGAAGTCGGATGGAAACTATGAAATAATTCGATGTACACTATTCAAGAGACCAAATGTTTATGACGGGTACTCTTGATGACGGTACTGCGTTTTATGGAATTAACCTCAAATTCTTAGAATTTTTGTGATTGTGTTGTGTCAAATGCGATTGCTATGGTAATATGCGAGTACGGTGTTTACCATCAATGGCACAATCATGTTTGTAAGAATCGCCTTCGCATATTACCAATCGGTTTTCGTAGAAATATGATCACGTGCTGGCAAGATTAAAATCGAACCAATTCGAATGAAACTACAATTACTTCCGTTTCTTTTTGTTTTTTGTTTTTCTTTTCATTTAAATTTATTCATCAAACGAATATTGTACAAAGTCGAAATAACATAAAAACAAAATCACCTATGCTCAATTATCTGCAAAATATACGGTATGACAAATCTATCACCATCTTAAATAACAGCAATCTCTTAAATAAACGAAATTAAACTGGAATTATTGTTAACAGACACCTTGTGACTGAAGAGAAAAAAAGAATACAAATTGGTATTTAAATTGCCCCACAAAAATTTCACCGAAATTAAAAGATCTGTCCCACTCAGGTACGAAGTCCTCACTGATTTGAGAATTTCGATTGTGGCATTTCCTCGTTTACAATTTTGCCTCGGTTTTCAAAAGAGGCACCAACTTTTGCGTTAGCATTATGTTTCCGGTGATTTTTAATTTTCCCTTCATAAATGCTACTTGAGGATTTAGCTTGCCCAACGCAATATCTACCAAATCAGTATCCGTAACGGAAAGTGTTGTGTCGGGTTTTACACCTTCTTCGGGATTTCCTTCATACACGGTTCCTTTCTTCAAGTCAAGCGCTGCAATCAGAAAAAGAAAAAGCGTGACACGACACAAATGAAATATTGATTTCCACTGAAATGTCTTCATATCAATGACTTACTCCAATGTTTGATTGGTGCCCCATTACTTGTGGTTGTTGTGATTTTGTACAAAAACACCGCATTTATTTGTTTCCCTTTGGCTGGATTTTCGGCTAGGCGATCTTTGATTTTATCGAAAATTGCATCGCTTTTCAGTTGAACTTTATTTGCAACCATTTTTAACTGAACAATTGTAGTCTAACGACTGAAACAAACAGAAAACAAAATCAATAATAAAGGATTTAAGTTGCCTAATTTCGTCTATTATCTCATATGAATGAGTAATAAGTTCTAAACAATATTTCCAACGATTGCTGAACTGTGACTTGCGAATTTTCAAGCAAAAAGAACAACGACAACCGTCGGTTTTGTGTTGAATTATACAAACTGTCGTTATTTTTCAATATCAATAGGATTAAAGGGGTTGAAGTGTAAGGCGAATGCAAGTCGATTTATAACTTCGTATTTTTTTTTATTTCTTATCGTTTACCTTTTAACCTTTTATATGATTCTTATACGGATAAAATTATATATTTTGACAGTTCGTCTGAAAGTGTTCAGCACATTTTTCATACACAAACGCAGACACACTCACACAAATAAAAACGGAGTTTCAAGTGTCGTCACCACATTAAATTATATATACAATCATTCATATCTTTGATTAGCCCAAAAAAAATGGACAATGTTTTGGAAAATTCATACGAAAAAAAAAAATGTTATATGTGTCAGTCTATAAATCTATCTCAAATAGGAAATTAAAACTTACAATTAAAAACAAAAACAAATTCGATTAATGTTATCGATTGACAAAATAAAAACAACACACAAAGCCCTTTGATTACACTCTTCGAACCGACTTAGCCCGAAAAATCACTTTACATTGAATGAAAACATTGTCAATTGTGAGAGCGGATGGTTGTTTCGCACAACAGCTCACAATCACTTTGATTTGATAGGATGAATGATACACATACACATATTACTACATAGCTATACAGCTCTCTCCGTTTTTGAAAATACTATAAAAAACCAACAACAACATTGAAATAAAAAAAAATCTTGGTAAATATGTGACATTGCAGGGCGCTGCCAAACATTAGTTTATCGCTCACAATGTGATGTCACGATTTATTAAAATCGAACAATGTATAAATGATAAATAACCAAAATCCAGGGGTGTACAAAATGTGAATTGGAATTTCATACACACACACACAAACGCCAACCATAATAATATACATTCATCGTAACAAGACATCGACAATCGACAAATCCGACGGAGAAAAAAGAAACATGGCGAAAATAAAACCTGTGGTAACACTTAGTTAGTCGCAGTAGTTGTACGTCGAGCATTGGAAGTGTGAAATTCTCATTAGAAAAGTTGTCATTTTGTTTTTGTTCATCTCTGTTATCGCCTTTTATTTCATATACATAGATACCAATATTTCACAATTCGAATGAAAAAAAATTCGACTAGTTCGAGTGCATTTTAAATTACTTTACCGTTTTTGTAGCCACATCTTATATCGCACACAACAATTTCTTCTTCTTTTTTTTATTCATTTTGTGTGTCAATTTGAATTGTTGTCGCATTTTGACGCGTGATAACTTTAAAAACAGTTTGAATCGTATTCACAACATTCAACAATATAAAATTGCATTTCAATTGGATTTGGATCGAAAATGCAAATACCGAGAAATATAAAGTCGGCAAAGTAAGATTAATACACAATTTTTGAGCTAAAGAAAGTTGAAATGGATATTCTTTTAAAAGCGAATATTTAAGCTCAATAAAAAGAAAACAACAACTCATTGTGAAGTGTATACATAAAATCAGACAACGATATTTACAATAAAAGACATAACGATGAAGAAAAATAATAATAAAGAAATTGGCGATTCCGAGTGCTAATCGTAGTGTTGTGTATTTCAGTTCAAAACAATGGGCACACAGATGAACGAGATAGAGGCAGAGAAAGAGCGAGAGAAATGATTTTGTTTTGTGTACAAATGTATTTTTGGCTACAGATTCTTTTTATTTTGTTCACAAAAATAAACGATGCATTTATTCTATATTCTTTTTTATTGTAACGGACTGACGACGAGAGTGTGCCTGTTCTAATTTATGAATGTGCAATTAACAATTTTATGAATTTTAAATCAGGAAAATATTGAATACATTTACACAAAAGAAAATCAACAAGAATCCCGCCGAGCTAAGGAAATTTTGCAAAAAAACGCGAAAATCCATACATTTATACAAATCTATCACGTAATTTGCAAACAATGAACATAAAGTGAACAATATGTAAACATGTGAAATGTATGTATTTATATATAAATTTATATATATAGGTCTCATATTATTATATGTATACATGCATATTAGATGTTCGACCCAAGACTGTGTATGTATGATTGTTATTATTATTGTGTGACACAACTCCACACTAGAGAATCACTAACAGCAACAGTAAGACATCAGCGGTAGTAAAAGCGGTAGCAGCATTTGATACCAGCAGTTAAAGTTATAAGACCAGAAAAAAACACAGAGAGAAACGCATACATTAAAAACAAAACGAGAATAGTGAAGAAAAACACGCAGAAAAAGAAACAACAGTCAGCGCACGAACGAAACACTAGAAGAAAAAAACGTGAAATACACACATACCGATAGCCATGCTCGTTCGCTCGAACGTCGCTTTGCTGTGAGCACTTGGACTGTTTTTCGTATGGTACTGTCATACGGGCATCCAATCACAGCATCTATGTGTTTTCCAACCGTACTGTGGCAGTATTAGCGACGAAATGTTCGTTGTATGTGTGTGTATGTGGTGTAGACGGGCGAACAAAATAGCACAAAACGCTCTTTCTCTTTCTCTATCTCTCTCTCCCATACATATATAGATACACAAATACTCACATCGACGAACGAAAAAATACGAAAAAAATATGTGGAATAAGAAAAGTCAAAATATTCTTATTTTTCCCTCGTTACACTGCCAAACAAATTATGAACGTAAATTTGTAAGCAAAAGCAGAAGATTAAAATTCCAATTGGAAAAATATTGAGACATAAATGCGCGAAGAACAAAAATAAAACATTTAGCCTTGTTTTCGTAGTAACAATTTCTCCCCTATTGTTGACGTTGTCTGTTTTCATGTTATCATTTTCCTCTTACCTATTCTCTCCCTCTTAATCGATCAGCTCATTTCAACTTCTAAACAACGCTCAAAAACATTTTTTTTTTAAATTCCATTTCCATTGAATAAAGTCTAATGTGGATAGAAAATTGTGAATAATTCATGCACATAAATCTCATGTCCATGCAATTTTTTGTTTTGTTTTCTTTCATTACGGATAATAAAATAATTATGAATCGAAAATGTTCGGTTCGTTTTGATTTTTCGTATTTCCTGAAAATAAAAAGTGTGTATTTATTTTGTTTGCAGTGTGCCATCGCAAGACGATTTCCGAGGAGCTATTGTTTCATGTACACAAGTGTTAAATGGTGATGTTTAGTATCTAAAATGCACGATTATAAACTGAGACAAAATGAACATTTGAAATTAGCGAACAAATGCAAAATATTTATAAACGAAACGAATGCATTCGGAGTTTCGACAAGGATATACTCGCTTTTCGTGTGAATAAATGAAAAAAAAAATACAAAAGAAAAAAAACACTTTCAGTGACTAAATAACAAAAGAATCAACGGAATATAACAAATTCAAAAGAAAGAAACAAACAAAAAATTAGTTATAATGGCGAATCCGCGAAAATTCAGCGAAAAAATCGCCCTGCACAATCAAAAGCAGGCTGAGGAAACGGCTGCCTTTGAACGAATTATGCGAGAGGTATCTGATGCAACATCAAAGGTATGTATTTATGTTATTCACTATGGTTGTATGTTAATGCCGTTCTTTTTAATTTAAGAATTTCCATTTCTATTTGCTGATAAACAAATTGAGATTTTGGTGATACACTTATGCCACTCATTTGGAAAAAATAATCAAAACACAAACATAATCATTTAAAATACATCAAATAACAACTTTGATTTATAGAGTCGGAACATTAAGCATTGATTTGGTCATAAACAAAAAGCGAAAATTAATAAATCTGAAACTATTAGAACGAATAGCCAACCAGTACAATTGCATTTGCTTTTCGTCTTCAAGAAATTGCAAAGCCCATAAATTTACACGGCTCAATTAAAAACATGCTTGCTTCCACAATCAAAATAATGCCTCATCCTTGGATTGAGATTTGCTTTCTTTGTGGCACATATGCACACTTGAAATATAATTAGAACGTCAAACGCCGTTAAAGAAGAAAATCAAGCGGTAGAAACAATTTTTTTCTCTTTTATTTGCTACATTATTTTGCAGAATAGCACAACATTAACTGTACTCAAACAGTTCTCACTCTAGAATATTAATAAGAAAAGGTTAATTTCAATTTTATACTGATACACCCCAATGACAAATGGAGTGATTTTCTATTATTATTTTTTTCAACATATACAGAAAATATATAGAGCCAATGTGTGTTGATGATTTTCTTTAAAAAAAGAGAGACCTATCCTGCAGTCACTTTGCATATAAACATTAATTCATCAGTATTAGAATGACATGTGCAAAACACGCATGCCGAATTTGTCCGAAGGTTTTTGTGCATACAACATTTTTGTACATTGAGATGTACATTTTTATGCACACACAGACACACGCACATACACATTTAATGCAACGCATATAATTCTTCTTCTCTTTTTTTGAAAAGTGTATACACAACATTGTTGAGCCGTACATTGAACGTAATCACACAATTCATTTATTTTAAATAACCAAATAATCATGGATTGTTACCTCAACATTCGTTTATTATTGTCCAAATGGCATTTATTACGGCTTTGTAAAAATTTTGCTAGCACATGTCGCACATCTAATCTATCACAAAGTACAACGGTTCAAACACATTTGTGCTGCACCATGTCGTTTTCAATAACATAAAGTCAAATTGAAACCGAACTGTCAGTGCGCATTATTTACATTACAGCAAATAAAAACATAAGTCATCCCAAATGAAATATTCGGAAAAATGTCTTCCATATATACATGCAAGCGTTGTTCAAACAAATGTCATTTCTCTGTCACAAAAGTGCGGCAAACAAAAATAGAATGAATTTCTGTCCGATATGTTGGAGCCGATTGCGTATAAAATCTGATTAAATTTTGCAACATTCAAAGCTTCTTCTGAATGCAGTCGAGTTGAGTTTGCAGTCGTTTTTTATTACGAAAATGTATCGAAATAAATTTCGTCGAATGAATGAATAGACAGTGTGTCTGTTATAAGGTAATTAATCGTGTTTTGACTACAATCTGAGTCCGTTGTGGCTGCGAAATGAGCGATGAAAGTGAATACCATAATGAAATTTCATCGACGAAATGACTTTACACCTAATGCCTGTTGCTTTTCCTCCTTCTCCTCCCTCCACCCGTCTCTCGTTCGATATCCTTCTCCTTTCATCGTTCTCTCGATGATAGTCATTTATTTGTTGTCGCGCTTGACATTATTTACGTTTCCTTTGATATTATGCGCGATACAGCCATATGGAATAATTCGTTTAAAAGCAACGTTTCGTACTCTATTTTTCTTTACATTTCTTTTATTGCCACAATTTTTATCTCATGCCATTTTTGATACCTTTTATTCACAAAATATTATACCGCCAAAATACACAACTACCAAAAGAGAATATTTAGTCGAGTTTTGTTCAAACTGGTCACATCGTATAATTGCAATGAAATTTTTCATCAGAACAGCAATTTTTCGTTCTACAATGAATTCACATCAGAAAATGATCATGCATTTGCAATAAGGAGAAATATATCGAAAGAAAACCAATAAAATACGATAGTTTAGTGCACACAGAAAATGACTGAAAATGCTTACGTAAATGTAAATGTTATGTTATTCTAAATTGAAGATCAACGTCACTTAGAATTGTCTAGACGTGCGTTTCAACGATATTATCGCTAATTCTTTTAATTGATTAATTATTTATCAACAATTATGGCTATAATTTTGATCAGTTAATTGAAATAAATAAATAAATTACTTTTACTTTATGCCAACGTAAAAAGAAAATGAAGACAAAAAATGCAAAAAGGAATGGTTGCACCAAAAGTCGTGAACGATATTCAAAAGGTTGTTAAACGGAATAGAGTTCATTGTGAAAGGCATTTTCTGCATGATCCGGTGGTTTATATGCTTTGTTGTTTTTGCTCTCTCCTTCTGTCTTTCTCATTTTTGCTATTTTCAACAAAGTACCAATTTTCTGTGCTTTCCATTGTTCGTTAATTCAATATATTATGATATTCGACGATTTTGATGAGTCCTTTGCCGTCTGAAAATGAAAAAATCCAATGTATTATATGCGCGTTCATTTGCTCATGACTGGCCAAAAGTAGCTTGAATGTATCAAACTTGCTCGGTAACAAGATACAATACGAGTCTTCACGAGATACGATATACAATTGTATTACAAACACGTGTTAACACCAAACGAACGTTTTGCCATTTCTTGTCATGTATATGCATGTATTTCTTCTCTCTACAACATTCAATTTTGCCCATAAAAATGTTGTAATATTTGTGAATAACGTCTGCTCTCGCAATGAAATCGAAAATACCAAATTCATGCAAAATATTTTCTCTTACATTTTATCAACAACAAATAAATGTTGTCGCAATTTGTTCTGACTCTGGGTTACATTTTTCAATCCATATGTATGTGTCGACTTTATCATCATCATCATCACCATCATCATCATAATCATCAAATAAGTTACTCTTTGGCGCGAACGAGATGAAACAAATAATTTATTGTTTCTATAATCACCATTCATAATAATGGTATAAGTTTTTCTTGTTTACATGTATTTTACATAAAAGAGTGAATTTTATCTAAAGAAGTAACTAAAAAACGATCGAAATCAAAAACCGAAACTGAAACCGTACTCAAATCTTAACTGGTTAGCAATTAAAACAAGTCCTTGGCCATTTTTAATATTGTATACAATCATTTTTATATAATGTCATCGTCGATTGTGTGTGGTTTTTTGTTGAATTACTTATTTTTTCTTCTCTTTTATCTTACTATCTATTTCCTTCTTGTGTCTCTTCTTGTCATACACACATAGAGATAAAGACAGACAGATAGACAGACACACTTGTGAATTGAGAATCAAATCGTTGCTTTGTTGTTTCGCAGATTTTGCATATTAACTAGAAATAACAAACATGTTTTTATATCTTGAATATACTTTGATAAAAACAACTGCAGACATATAACGACAACAGTCATAACACAAATACACACAGAGAGACAGACAAGGGGAGAGAGAGAGAGAGAGAGAGAGAGAGAGAGAGAGAGGGAGCAAAAAATGATCCACTATACAAATCGACAAACGATTCGAATTCAATAAGTTTTGTAAATATTGTATTCGAAAACATCTGAAATGGATAGAACTGAATATTGAAATGGATAAAAATTGATGGGTTCAACAGTTAATTATTGTGTTCAAATTTCCTGTTGAAGTAAATGCGAATATTTACTATGAATCTTTATGTTTGTGTGCGTGATTACAACACTTATAGCTTCGCTGAATGAAAATGATAACTTCATATTAGAAAAACACGCATTAATTTCTGTTTTTTACTCCATCTTTTTCGAAAAAAAAAATTCAAGAAATATTTACACGATAAGTATTATGGGACAGATGTTATATGCAAATAAAACTCGTGAAAAAACAACATATTTTATGAAATTTATAGAATTTATTTATTTGAAATATTTTGTCATTGGAAAGACACGTTTTTATAAAAAGTATTCGAATTTTATCATCTTTTACCGATAATATATCGTTTGCTGTAATAGTGTATTGATTCGAATGCTTAGTTCACTCATTTTTTTCGTCATTAAAGTTCAACTGATTAGACTTTCGTATGTGACTTTTTGAATAAAGTTACTTTTTTTTTTAAATACGTTTTCCATTGCTTGTTATTCAAAAACAGATACACTTCGTCAGATTCGACAAATTTTCCTCTACCGAAGCAAGATAGAAAAATAAAACTTTGTTTTGATTTTTTAAAAAAATGTTGTGGTTTATTCTCTAGTTTCAGTGTTAAATATTGCTGAGTCATGATGGCAAAAATGTTTATTTTAAACAATCATAATGAAAAAAAAATCAATGTAGTTGGACAACCAATCGATAGTTTCGATAGCAGACGTACACATATTACCAATACTTTGTTTTCTTTTCTTTCAATTTCAAATGGAATAAAACGAAAAACCGGATTTGTGTAGGAAAAATAAAACTATTATACAGGCAAAATGCCCAGTCAAAAATATACACAACAAAAATACAATTTTTCGACAGCCGAAAACGATAAAGAGAAATTGTACAAAAAAAGAGCATTATTATTGAATTGTTAACGCTATTTGTAGAAGGTGCAATTGAGAACTAACTTTTCGCATATCCTCATTATTAATGGACTTTTTATGTTGTTAAATTGATTGCTTTTTCTGTGTTTGTAACATGGCATATGCATGCTCTTGCAAAGATTTCATTGAACCAAAAAAAAACACAGAAATTCATATGCAATTACATTTCAATATATTCCAGTATTACATGCGCAAAATTCGTTAGACACATTCATTCTACTTTGAAAAGAAACTCTTTAAATTCGGTTGTTTGTTGGCATTTTTTGAAGCATTCTTTATAAAGAATTGAATGAGTAAAATAAAAACTTGAACTGTTGCTCTCTTCTGAAGAATTTTCCATAAATGGTGTCTACATAGTACTGTAGAAATGTAAAGTTAAATTGTTATTCTCACCTATTCAGTTTCGACAGCAAATCCTTTGATTTGCTTTTAGTATCGTTCAGGTTCAGTGAACCAATCTCTTTAGATCAGAGACGATGCTCTTCAATAATAACATTTCGGTATCACTTATATTCTATAAAGGTTTTTTTTTTCAGTTATACGTATAGGAATTGTTCTGCCAATAATCTCAATCATAATCTTCTCCAACATCTATAAATTTCTTTATGTTTTAAATTGAAAAAAAGTGACACAAACCCAATTCAATAATTGGCAATAAATAACTGAGTACACTTCGTACTGTTTTCTTTACGGTTACTAAACATATTTCCTTACTGTTTCATCGTGTCACCAAGCCAATATGGTTTATTGCTCATCTCTAATCGCATCACAACAATAAACTTTAAAAAAAAATCAACATTGAAAATCGCCTATTTTCTATCATAATATTTTTCATGTCTCATGAAATCATTTTATTCGTTGCCTTCGATAAGGTGAAGATGTGACGCGTTATTATCGCGTCATTTTTCCGTCTAACTTTTTTTGTCAACGGTTGTTGTTGTTTTCTTCACTGATACGTCTTCATGATTAGAATTCACTTTGGCGCGAAAACTATTTATTCGTTCATTGTTGCTTTCAATGTGCGCCTCGTACAGATATAAATACACAAGAGCAGCAGTTTGCTGAGATTAGCGAAGACGGTTTTTTTATCTTTTATTTTACGTAATGTTAAAATAAAAACTTAATCATGAAAATAAAAGCATTAAAATTGGCCATTCTGTCTCAAAAATATCATACGTACATTATGATAAGGTATTCATGCGTAAATTGATAAAATGGTATTTCAAGCTCGGTCAGAAGTGTACTTTTCTGAGTCACGTTTTATCAAGACGATTTATTTTACTGTTGAATGCGAATTTCGTTCAAATAAGAAAAAAGAAGAATGTTTTAACCAACGGTATGGTGTTTCTTAGCATTCAAAAAACATGGCAGTATCCAGATGTTGTAATGACTCTTCACTTCTGATTAACTAGCCCGACAGCTTTATATCACACAGTAATATATTATTCATGAATTTACACTATAATCTTCGTTCTTTTTTATCTTTCGATGTGTGTTGGTTCATCGAAATAGGGAGTATTTACGCGCAAACATTTTATTTTGAATAATTTCTTAAGAATATGTCATGCTTTTACTACGACTAAACGCTTTTTTCTTAATTATTATTTCGATCCATACAAGTATTAGCAGTAAAATTGAATATTTATAATTTAATGGAATCCTTATGCAAATCGGATATTAAATCCATATGCGTACTAAGAAATAAAAAAGAGTATACACCTAAAAATGAAATGATATTCAATTGGAAACAATTCCAGAAAATTAAATTCACTAAGTGTATCGATAAGTTGATTAACAATCAAGAAAAGCAAAACGAAAAACGACTTTGTAAACTTTCAAAAGTCCGAAGTTGTTTGTGTATCATCAGATTTGAGATTGAAGAGTAAAATGCATGCTAATTTCGAATAATAAAGTTCGATTGTACACGATATATATGGAGTGATCGCAAAAAGCGCGGGAAAAGAAAAGAGAATTGAAAAAGCGTCAAAAATGACGAACGAACACTAATGTGGAAACTTGATATACAAAAATGTATGCGGTGAGCGTATATCAGTTGCTGTCGTCATCAAGTCAGCAAATACACCGGAGATATCTTTTTGAGTTCACATGTACTAAGCCTCTCTGTAACAATAACAAATACAGACGTACAACCATTAACGGACGGAAGGCAGAGAGCATGAGATGAATTTGTATTTGTAAATTTATTGCAGCAAATACGTTAATTTTGTTTAAATATATACCTAAGCAACGTGATTGAAGCGCAACTATCGTCAATATTTTATAGATAAAACCGTATAAAGAACCAAAACAAAACGAAAACTGATGAATAAATGATCAATCTGTAGCGATTTTACCATCTGGCCTACTGTGCATTTCTCAATTTATTTGCACACACAATTTGAATGTATAACATATACACACGTACACAAAAATGTCTCATCTGTAATGATAATAAATAACAATTAAGAGGAATGAGATGGGCACTGATAAGCCCCATTTATTAAATTCACACCGCTGAAAATAGACATATTTGCAATAATGGCAGATATATTTATTTATTTATATATATGTTTGTTTCATCGGCGAATGCACTCCAAGATAAAATGAAACATTCACAAACCGGTATGATTACAGAGTTTGACATTTTAATCGAACATTGGCAAACATTGTTTTATGGCTCGAATGAAATTTAAATAAGTTCAAAAACATTTAGTGCCTAAGCATTTCTTGATTTTAACATCAGCAATCGATCAGCAACTAGAACAATTCATTTTATTAGTTAACCTTATATTGTTTTTGTCAATTGACAAACACGACTATAAAGTGTTTGCTGATCTCTGTTCTAAATTATTCTAGGTGATTTCACAATCAAAAAAGAATCTAGCTCCCGCAACAAATTTAGGAACATTTAAAGGTGGATCATTGCCAAATGTATCTGAACAAAATCGAAAGCCACAAACGACAAATGTTGAGGTTATTGATGCTGCAAATATTACTGGCAAAAAGGTGTGAAAAACATCCCAATATGTCATTTATATACTGTTGTTTTAAAACCACGGTAATGCGTATGCATGTGCCCGTTAATTGAGTGATGTTGCCAGTATTCCGTTTCATGCTATTGTTTTACAATACATTCGATCGGTTTTATCTTTCTCAAACGAACGTTGTTGTTGTTGTTTTTTCTTTTGTTATTTATTTTGCTATCGAGTTTACTCGGACATATATACGTTTATGATTTCGCTCCATAATACCGTTTCTTTTTTCATCGAAATGATGAAGTTTCTTCTGAATTTGATCTATTTCTGTTGAACATTTTTGATGTGTGTTAAGCCTTTTTTTATATAGAAACTAGAATTCTAGCGGTTTTGCATGTCTTTTATATTTGCAACATGTATTTTAGAAATGAGCCATTTATTAGTATCCCTTCTTCATAAATACTTTATTTCATAAGAACTTATTGATGAAATTGGATTGTTTCATTCAATTTCCCAATTTTTTTTTTTGTTTCGTTTTAGTTTTTACCTGAGTTTTTACTTTGGATGCAATTAAAACTAAATTGTTTGGATGCAAAAAAAAAATTTGATTTGATATAAAATCAAATCGATTGATATAAAATGCATACTTTTTACAGAGCCAAATTACGCATAACCGATAATACATGTAGTTCTGTTTTGCATTTGATTACTTAGTTATTGTATAACATTTGCTCTTATTTAAATCCACATGTTTGTGCACATGTCGTTTTCACTTGAGAACTAATTCCAAAAAATGTACATAATGTTTGATTTCTCTTCATTATCAGTAGATTTAAAAATATTTTCATTCAATTTCAATGAATGCAATGAACTTTGTGTTGCATCTTCATTTTCGTTCGAAATGGGCTTTTGATATAAGTATTGAATTGCTTTCATTGTGTTTATTTTTTTCAACAAAAAAAAAAATCTGTAAAAACGCTTGTGGTAGCACCCCGAACATTTTAGTGAATAAATATAATCAATTATGCATTTGCATCACGAAACACCATTTATTCAAAATGAATGAATGTTGATCAGCGTGTATTCGCAATACTCATAATCACATTACACTTATATCGAATAGTGGTTGATGTATAAAAATTTGATTTTTCCACCTTCTATTGATCGGTAAAGAATTGGCTAATTTGAATGTAAAATATTTTGTCAAAATATTGCTGAAATTAGTATAGATAATTGATATATACACTTCGAATTAGTATGCTTAGTGCATATATCATGCCATTTATTTTTTACTTTAAATTTTTTTGAATAGATTGTAAATTAGAATAAAATAAAATTGGATTTTAGTAAATTAAATTGATTATGGTTGCTTTATTTTTCCAGCCGGATGAAAATACGTTGATGCAGTTTGACTTAGGAGCTCAAAATACAATAAATGATGTAGTGTCACAGACAAATAGCAGTAGTCAAAACACAACGCCATACCGGGAAAGAGGTAACTATTTTGTAAATGTGCAGTGAAAAAAATCAACTGTTTGGTTTTTTTTATTCAAATTATTAGGTCGAAGTGTTGGAGTGGGGCCGATGCGGCGGCCAGGTGATAGAAAAATTGACACATCACCATATGGTAGTGGTGGAGTCTATCTCAGCCCACCAAGTGACTCAAATTGGAGACGAACTAGCTCTGACTCAGCCATTCATCAAAGCTTAATGCAAAATCAAGTAAGAAAATTCTTTTACATTTCCGCAATACACAATCAAAATGTTACCAAACCACATTCTTACTTCTATGAAATCAAAAAAAAGGACAATCATCACAGTCATGGATCTCATTCGCCAATACCAACCAGTCCAGTTGCTCAACGACGTATACCAAGTAGCAATATAGATATTAAATCCTTTGCAAATGAACATGGCAATAGCTTTGTGATGAGCTTAAACGATAATCGGCCGAGATCTTCATGTGGTTTACCCGGCAGATTACCTGGCATAAAGTATTTTTTTAAAACTATTCTAAATACCATTGCGCATTCAAAACCATGTTAAAATTGACAAATATTTTCCACTATTTCCAATTCATTAGCATTTATCCATCGGCTCATGATAATACAGTGCAAATACCGATCGGAAATAATACAGGATCGTTGCCAGACTTAACATCCGTACACTTTCCGTCACCGTTGCATACACCACTCGACCAAGAGCATGATCATTCAAGCAGTCCGTACAGTTCGGTATGTGCCTTTAACACTAAATTTTATTTTTTCCATCGTCGTTTACATGATTTTTTCGATTTTCAAATTCAAACGATGTACAGAGTCCAGTTACAACATCACCAGCAACATTATCTCCGACGTCCATACCTACAAGACATCCTACCGCTAGATTTCCCTACTCCCCGGTTAATTCTCCCGGTGAGGTAGTCAGTCCAACACATTCACATGGTACTAGTCAAGTAAGTAGAGAACATAATCATTTGGAGCAAATAAACGGCTACTCAGATGCTCTCGCAACAATTTAGTTTAACATTTATCCAACTTATGTTTGAGTTTTGATTTTCATTACATAGTTTTTGTTATTTTCAAATATTGACGAGTCACAAAATGCGCGGATTTTTTTAACACATCATTATTTTCACATTTTTTGTCTCATTTATGCTTCTTTGGTTTATTGTTTGTTTGCCACATTATTTTTTTATTTTTTTCAGCATTTTTTATCTGTGCCCGGTAGCAAATTTCTTCAAAATATTAAGGTATTGCTTTTTTCAGTTCAATTTAATTTATACCCATGTTTACTTCTTTTTGGATTAAATTAAGAAATAAAATGAATCTAACGCGACATTTAAAAAAAAAATGTTTTTTTTTGTTTACTTCGACACAAATTACACGCAATTTTGCTAAAAAATATTAATGTGTTTGAGATCAAATGTAATAACATTCTTTTGATACTAATCACAAATATATTTAATTATAGTACATACGTTCTCTACTTGTTGTAAGATTGCGTTAAAAAGCGAAATAAATGAAATTTTTGTATGAAAAGGAAGAGATTACCGATATCGGTATACAATATATTTTCCCACACAATACTTAATTCAATTAAAACTTATTGTATTCAGGGTAACACAGCGGATAGCAATTCATATCAGACGTCTCAAAGTGGTCAAAATTCATTCGGCAATGTGGGTCAGCAGCAGTCACCTCGACAGCAACAGCCACAGCAACATCAACAACAGCAGCAACAACAACAACAACAACAGCAGCAGCAGCAGCAGCAGCAACAACAGCAACAACAACAGCAACAGCAGCAGCAACAGACAAATATTTATAACCAACAAAACCAGCACAGTCCACCGAATAATGTCTTACACGGTTCCCAAAGCAACTTAGCATCAGTAATTACGATCACTTATTCAATATCATTGAGTCCCCAAATTCATCTATATGTTTTTGCAGCTGACACAATCAAATTTATCTGGTTACCGAAGTCCGGGACGACCAAGCCCAGGATCTAGTCCTGGTCTAGTAGCAATGCCAAACAGCGGTGATTCAAACACAAGTGCGCCTTGCAGTCCAGCATCTCAACCACTTGGAAATAATGGGTAAGCATAATATGCTTCAAATGAGTATCTATTTATGTCACTTATTTCACACTTTTTACTTTAAAAAAATATGTTTTTCTCTTTTTCTACAAATGTGTTCAGGCAATACGACCAATTTCAAACGACTGAATATTATCTCAATCCATCGATTCAGCAACATTTTGAACAATTTTCACTGGCAAGTATTTTTTATGGCTATCTTTTTTTTCAAATGTCAACTTATTCTTATTTTTGTAAATATTAAAAAAAAAATTGACTAAGTAGTGAGAAACGTATTTCCTTTCGATTTTTATATTTCATGCATATGAGCTTTTTTCTAAAATATTTCCACCGTAGTTCGAATATTAGCTATCTATCTAACGCTTTAAATTTTGATTGCTCAAAGATTTAACACTGACACTATGTTTGAAAATAGATTGATTTTATAAATCAATATGTATGCATGAGACATATCATTTGAATTGGGCCACACGAATATATAGTAAAAATAGTTTTTTTTAAATAAGCTCAAACACTTTTACATGAATTTATTGGATTTTATTCAAAAGAAATTGTTTAGTAAACTAAAAAAAATAATCTAGTTTTGGTCATGTGAAAGTATTCGAGCATATTTTATTTCTAAGAGTTGATGCATTTTGGACTATATTTGTTTTCTTTACTATCAATATTCGTTTATTGTGCATTTCATGCTTCCAATATTTTAAAAATATGAAACAAAACAAAACATTTCGCAAATAAAAATCATTTTAGGGAACGGTAAGTCCAAATGAACCACTAATTTTTTTTTATTTTGCATGCTATTTTAAAGTTGTTTTTTTCGATATTTTGGTTATTTTTTTTAAATCGAAACAGTTTTTTTACACATTTATTTGCACTTCATTTTCCGCCTCAATACTATTGCGCCTTTCTTTCCTATTTCCAACTTTTTTTCTGAATGTGTTTAGACATTTTAATATAAAATATTCATCCGTTTGATGAAGATGAAAATTACATTAAAATATAATTCACAAGAATTTCGAATAAGTACCGATTGCTAAAATTCGTTATAATCTCATTGAAAGAGAATTAACAAATGATTCAATTTTTTTACGTGCTGCTTGAAAAAAATGCTTACAAATAAAAGGATTGGGCGGCACTTGTAAACACATTGGTTGAATCTGGTTGTACGTGGACTGCACAAGTTCAGGTGGTAGACAAGATGCAATATAATAACTCATACGCTCGTTATGATTTTGTTCATTTCAATTTCCAAATGTTTCTTATCATTTTAATTTCCGAGCAAAGTGCAATTTTCAAATCTTAGTTTCATTTAAGTTTGAGTTAAGGTAGAGCTCGGATAATTTATTTAGTTTCTTTTTAATCTTTTAAAACAAATACATTTCGATATAATATCTACTGTTTACTTTTCTTTTGTCGCTCACAGGTTGATAATCCCATACCTGATTACTCAGCATCGTCGCCGTTAAACCAGCCGTACTCACCGGTATTTGAAAAAAAAAAAAAAAAAAAAAAAAACATTTTTATATCGATTTAAATTCAAAGAAATACAGACCATAGCGTTAATAAAAATTGCATAAATTTTGACTATTAGTGACTTTGTTGTGTGTTGCCAATCACTGAAAGAGAGATGACCTCTCTTTCGGTCCTATATAAATTAATGGTAAAAAGATGCATTTATTAATCAATGGTAATAAGATGCTGTTTTACCAACTGGTAGTAAACAGCAGCAGCTAACTTGTTATGTTGAATACTTCGTTTGGAATAAATTTGAATTTAAGTCGAACTATAATAATTGATTCAATGCAAAAAAGGAAATTCGCTAACTATATCATTTGTTTTATATTTAAGTACGATGATGGAAGTTTTATACCTGTATCTGGCCTAGACACAATACAATCAAATCAGATGCAAATATCATCGTCAATGGGCCTTTCAAATCCGAATATTAATCTAAATTCAACAACAATGGCGAATGATGGAACAAATCATGTCAATCAATCGAATCAAACGCACTTACAACAACCTCTACACTCGCCGACGTCGCCTCAACATCAACAATCATCGCAAAATCATCAAGCGTCAAATTCACATCATCAACAGATGACACAGAATTCGCAGACTCAGCATGGCGCACAAACGCCGAACACACCAACAAGTATACCCGAAATTATATTCACGGACTTTTCGGGATCTAATGAATTGACAAAAGGTAACATTCTATTTCGCCATTAGACAGACACAAACATTTAACAAAATAAAATGGGCGAAATATTGAAAGAAAAGAAAAATAACTTCACTATGACACCAATTTTAAATATATATATTAGATAGGATGTCTTCTCTTTTTTTATTTTACCTATTCAAATATGGACAATGTGTCTTCTTCTTTCACCGATGCAAAACACAGAAAATTAAAAAAATGATCATTTTGATTATATGGTGACACATTTTCCATTTTTGGGGAGTTTTTTTAAATTAATTTTTCCCTCTTTTTCGCTAACAATATAAGAAACATTCAAGTAATTGTATTTTTTTAATTTTTATTTCATTTGCTTTATGAATTTCTATTTCGTTAAACTTTGTAACATTACATTTAGTTTATTTTTCTTTTCATTAATTTTAATTTTTTCATTTTTGGTTGTTTAGTTGGACTATTCTACTATTAAGTTTAAGTTTTTTCTACATTCTATCAGATTAAAAAAATAACTAATATTTGGTTCGAAATGGTACCACGCATTGATTGCTGTCAAATCAAAATAATTTATATGCGCTGAAAAAATTGTTTCCGATTTAGCTGAATCCAACAATATCTTTTTTTTTCTTTCTCTTTTTTTTCTCTCTCTCGTATATTTTCTTGATCTTTCATCAAATATTTGCGTTCAACCGCGATGCAAAAACTCAATTCGTGCGGCATTCAGACTTATTCGATCAACCAATTGAATTGGAATTAGGTGCAATGGATTTCGCTGGATTTCAAATGTTATCGGATCCGAATGCAACAATGATTGCAGATCCAACTATCGAAGATAGCTTTAGGAGAGATTTAAATTAAGTTTAATGTGAAATGCCATTATGTTTCTTTTTTTGTTTTTGGTTCTCACTGGCACCGGTGATGTTCGGCGGGACAAATAATCTACCTCAAAAGTGCAACAAAAAAAAATTAAATAAACGTAAAATAAATATAGTTTCATTTCCATAGCATGCCTAATGCTCTGCGATGTAGCTTCTTTTCCTGACGAACACACAAGTTGACCGTGTAGATAAGTTATGACTTTTTTTTTGTTAAAATACAAATTGAAGAAAAAGAGAGGAAAAACAACAACAAAATATATGAAAAGCAAAGAAATTAAGAAAATTTATCATAAAAATAATTCTATTAAATCACAAACGACACACCGAATATGTGAAGTTTGAAGAAAAAATTATTACATTTTTTTGTTTGTAAATAAAGGGAAAACGAGAAAATTTTTGAATCGAAAATTGACATACAGAATATACAGTATTTAAAAAAAAATATATATTATATCGATTGGATAGAAAATGAGTAAATACAATTTTAACAAAAAAAAAATCGACGGATAAAAGTGTTTTTGTTGACCGCGTCCACTTGAGTCAGTGAAAAATAAATAATAATCGCCGATACGAATGAGAACATTTCATTGTCGTTTTGAGAGCAAATTAAAAGAAATACACACACATAGAACAAACAAATTAGGTAAAATAAATTAGTGCGAAAAAGATCCGTTCGGAAGTAAGAATCGAAAAAAAAAAACACTTTTAAGTGAATATGAACGCGTTACATTTTTCAATGACTATTGTGAATAATTCCGTCCAACATCCAATTATAAATCGTATTTTATAATTTAAATAAATGCGTTTGATTCCGTGAATGATTTACTCCCCCAAACAAAAAACAAAACAAACGTGTTTATTAACGGCCATTGCGGATTTCATTTTTCTACTTCAGTCAAAATCATTATTATTGCTTTTTTTCTGGTTTTAAATTAGTGAAAAACGGTCTTGATCATAATTTATTGTCAATTCAAAAGGATATTTCAATTTTAAGGAAAAAAAAAAACACTTTTTCGATGGACGAATAATTGAATTCGCACACATTACTTATGGATTCTCTGACTCGATTAGGATTAGGGACAATTTCGAATAACACTATTTCATTGAATTCAGTGAAAAAGAAATTTTTAAATAATAAACAAAAAGACACAAATTAAAATCCAACTTTACAACCAATTTCTCTTCGTATTTAATGAAACAAACAAACAAACTACATTTCATTTCTGTAAATTTTCTTTGTTTTTGAAATATCATCATGTCAAATGAAATAATATGTAATTCATCATGGATAAAAAAATTTAATAATCGTAAAATTTATGTATGCAAAAAAAATATGTGGAACTTAAATGTGAATGGACTAATACAATACTGCAACCGTCGAGAGATAATTATGTGGTGCCGTTGATTGTCGTATGCTGACGAACTTGTTAAACAAACAAAAAATATTAATCATACATTGTCGTATATGAATGTAGATCGATGTGAACCAATCTTTTCTTTCTACTCTTTATGAAAGTAACAAAAAAAAAAAAAAAGAAAACAAATAGCGATGACCACAGAAAAAAGAAATAACAAGTTTTTTTTTTGTTGTCAATAAAAATGTAAGTAACTTTTGAATATCAGTGAACAATTGTCTCAAACGCTATTATATTATCAATCTCATTCGCATTCTGAGACTGAATTTAATAATAATAGAAATATCAACCACAAAAAATGTGCATGAAACAACCAATTTGATTCAATTCTCTCTTTTTTTTCTAAAGAAAAAAGAATAATTTATAATTACGATAGTAATAGTGAAAAGTTGTGTATAAATGTCAATCACACACAAATTTTATAACATTCTGCACAAAAAAAAAATTTGTTTATGTAATAATGGAAAGTGGACAAAATATTTACAAATAAATATTTAACGAGAGCAAAATGAAAAGGTACGCTTTCGACTGCAAGTGACCGTATATACAAAACCAAAAACACATCACATTACAAATATAACAAGTGTCAAAACTCACACACATGCCATACACTTTCTTTAATTTTACCTAATCAATACAGTCGCCTGTATTGCTACTTGTTTCATTTTAAATTATTCTTGTGAACATAATTTCGTTGGCTTTTTTAAGGGAAATTTACCAATAGAACTGCATATGCACACTGAAAAGTGGCATCACATTAGGCGTCCAAAATTTAAGAAAATCGCTTTTCTTTAAATATTTGTTGGTAAGCACATTGGTGAGAAATGCTTTGTATTTTTTATAAAGTACAATTGAATGTCCGAGAATGAAAGCGAGACTTCTATTCACAACTTATTGAAATTTAACATCGCCATAAAAAAAGTGCTGACTGTCAGCATATTTTGTAGAAGTCTCGCTTTCATTCTCGGGCAATCAATTCATTCATTTTGTTTTAAATGTGCGCGTGTAAGATAACTATGCCTTGGAAATGTGCTAAACGTGTCTTATTTAAGTAAAAACAGATGTTATACTTGTTCATTGTTTAAATGTTGGATATATCGATGTCATGAAAATTAAGAAGAAAACGAAAAAAAAAAATCTTCCGATGGAAATCGAATTCATCTCTCTTTAATGTGATCATACAAGTGTGCATTTCATTAGTATTCAGAAAATGATTCTGAATTTCTATTTGAACATAAACCATTCGTCAATCAATTCTGTTGCTGCCTTTGAATGGAATCTCCAACGTATTTTCGCAGTGTGCTGACTTCAACGAAACTCTGTTAAAAACATTTTTTTCAATCAATCGTCAAACAATTGTTATTAATTCTCATGTGCAAAACAATTGATAGAAAAGGCACCATATCCTCTGGCATTTAAAAGTTAACAAACATGCAAAACTAAAAAAAAAGAATGTTGAAAAAATAATTAACAAACAATGTCTTAATGCACTGCCGTCAGAAATTTTAAGACCATCCATTTATGTTCATACAATTTTATACAAATTGACCATTTTTTGGGAGCATTATTTTATATATTCCGGAAATAGTAAGACCCTTGTTTGCACATTTATTGTTCTGTCTATGGAGACTCAACCAGCGCAATTTTACAAAAATATATCTACGAGCTTCAAAAATACATTCTGTCGTTTTTCATACATTCAAAAATCAAGCGAATGTATTTTTGAAACTCATAGATATTTTATTGTGAAACTTCGCTGCTTTAGTATCCATAGACAGAACAGAAAATATTTAAAATAATGCTTCGAAAAATGGTCAATTTGTGTGAAATTGTGTGAACGAATTTTCAGACTGCAGTGTAAGTAAGAACTTATAAATGCCAGAGAAAGAGAGAGAGAAAGATCAGCACAAATGAAGTGGTTGAACGAGTGAACTTTTCTAGAAATAACATTATTCTGTTATTAGCACAAAAATATGTTAATGTACATGGAGAACGATAAAATATTGTACAAATGATGCACGCGTACATTTGCTAAACAAAATGATTGAATTTATAATGATGCAACATTTATTGAAGAAAATTTACCCAAAAATGGCAAAAAAAAAATTACAATACACACCGGCAATTACATGGCTCCATTTCAAATTTAAAAACCAAATTGCAAACAGTAAGCAAGAAAAAATTGGCCACCCTCAACGAATTCACATTTTCAGACATTTTCACATATATACTCCTAATAATACCAACAATAAGAAAAAAAAATGAAAAAAATGTCATACTGAATATCTGATTTCAGTGTTCGTCTCATCTCAAATTCAAATGTTCAACAAATAGCATGAACACCAAAATGTCATGTTAAATTATTGAATTTATAGATTTTGAATCGCACCACATAATTCAAATAGCAAATAGCACAAAAATTGCTTTCATCTTTTTCACTGTTGTCTTTTTTCAATTGAATACGCAAATGTTTACAAATTATTTTATTAATCTTCACCGATCACAACAATCTTTAAGTCATTTGAATGATTATGTGGATAATCATATCTTCATATCAGCTTTTTTGTCTCAATTATCCAAAATTACGAGAAGAAAATACAAACAAACATAAACCGAACGAATAATGGTTACATGTTCGAAACACCAACAGCACAAAATAAGCTGAATTTATTCACATTTCCTGATTATTTATTAAAAAGTTCAAAATAGATTGAGAATATAAACACTGACGAAGACAGCGTTTAAGTATAGGACAGTGTACGTTCAGATACTTACAGTAGAAGCTAGTGATAACTCGGTAGAATTTGTTGTACTGTTACTGTACAGACAATGGATATTTTGACTTCGGATTTAAACAATTTTTACATTTAAAATGTCAACTTACTTTTTACTGTTTAATAAACAGCGTATGTTGTAAATCTTTGATTAAAAAAACAAAAGAAAGAAAACTATTAGATACATTTATTTTTATTGTCAATCGTTGTAATCGTATTATGATCATTTGTTTTCAAATTGAGGGAAAGAGTATAAATAAAATTTATCCAAATTATATGTTGAGTCTTTTTTTATTCGTTTCAAACTGATTTCAATATTATGTTGCACGAGTAAGATGAAACAAACAAATACATATGAAAGCTTGGCGATTTTCATGTAGTTCGAATGCTTTCAATTAGATAAATAAAAAAATCATTTCCGATACATACATCGTTGCTGAAACATAAACAAACCTTAAAAATCGGATTGAAAAATTGGATTTTTTTTTCACAGTTGGACCCGATTTCAGGGTACAAGGGGTGCTCTGAGGGTTCAGAGGGTATGGTTGGGGTCAATTTTGGGATTTGGTTTTGACCCCATTTTGGTCATGGATTATTTCTGGGGTCATTTGTCACCCCCAAGGAGAGGTCATTGATCCTTCCTTTGGTGATAAATTTTTTTGTCTCTTCAAGGGCTATTACTTTGCCGAAGAAAGTATTCGAATATTTTGCGTCGTTTAAAAGATATAGATGACCGTATATAACCCAAAAAGGGGATTGGCCAGAGTATTCCATAAACAAAACAAACTTAATGCCGTTCTTTAATAACATGCTCCAAATGAAAATTGCTCTCGAACATGCAGTGAAAATAACACTAAATTTAAAATTTGGCGCGCTCCTTAGTTTCGATTTGAATTATTAAATTGCATTGATGTGCCCTTTGGAACTGAGGGCGCTCGCATCGAGTGTCTTACTTAAGTTACTTCCACTGCATGCTCTCGAAACGTATATTTGGACAGTTCAAAATTTTTCAGAACAAAAACGATAATACACATTCAAAAGAAAACGCACAAAAATCGACAATAAATAGTAGATGATGCTTGGGAAACCACCAAATGTCACCAAACTTCAATGTCATTGTTCTTTTGACAAGAGCGCTCCGACATTTCGCCTATGGAGCTGATTTCACAATCACACTACAACATTTTGTCAATTAAAATATAAGGCGATTTTCGGTTTCACAATCCATTTTAACTTAACAAAATCTAGCCGATAAATCACCGTGTGCAGAACTTCGAGCTCGATTGAAATGGTGACTGTTGTAAAAAAGTAAATTGCCGATGCTTATTTTATCATTCCACCAATTCGTCTAAGTAAGGGGACTTATACGAGGGTTGCTCCATAATTTTTTTTAAAAACATATATAACACAGTTGTTTTTTGTCGAAAATGGTTTTATGGTTTTTCAAAATATTCCCCGAGATGATCGATACACTTTTGCATTCGATGAAACCATTTGTCATAGCATTCGTGCCACTCCGAAACTGATATCTCCAAAACGTGTGTTTTGAACGCTTCAACTGCTTCTTCTGGTGTCGAAAATCGTTGACCACGTAGTTTTTTCTTCACGCTTGGGAACAAAAAAAAGTCATTGGGTGCCAGGTCAGGACTGTACGGTGGATGACCCATCAGTTCGATGTTTTGACCGGTCAAAAATCGAGTAGTTTGAAAAGATGTGTGAGAGCTCGCATTATCGTGATGAAGAATTATTTTGCGACGGTGGTTGTTTTTTCTTATTTCACCAAACACTTCGGGCAAACAAATGGTGGTATACCAATCAGAATTGACGGTCTTACGATCCTCTAGTGGAACGGTTGCCACATGACCACTTCTCCCGAAAAAACAGGCGACCATTCGCTTCGAAGTGCTTCTTGCTCGAACAACTTTCGTTGGGTTATCTTCATTTTGGAAGACCCATACAGTCGACTGCTGTTTCGTTTCGGGCTCATAGGCATATATCCACGATTCGTCACCAGTGACGATTTTATTAACGTCTTTTGAAGCACCACGATTGAATTTCTTGAGCATTTCTTTACACCAACTCACACGAGCCATTTTTTGTTCATCGGTCAATTTATGTGGGATCCAACGAGAGCAAATCTTTTTTACGGCTAAATGTTCATGCAAAATTGTATGTATGCTGTGGGATGAAATGCCCAAAGATGCCTCAATCTCACGGTAGGTCACATGACGATCTTCCATAATCAGTTTTCTGACAGCATCGATGTTTTGTGGCACAACAGCCGATTTTGGACGACCTGTATGAAACTCGTCTTTGAGCGAACTACGACCGCAACGGAATTCTCGGTACCAGTTATAAATTGTCTGAAGGGTTGGTGCTTCATTGCCAAAGGCCAAATGAAGTCGATCGAAACACTGTTGTTGAGATAATTTACTTCGAAAATCGTAGTAAATCATTTTACGAAAATCTTCACGTGTAAAATTCATTTTTTTGTTGAGTCGCAGTTTACCAGTCACTGTAAACAATACAAATAGCGTTCGTACGACAAAAGGTTCAGGGCACGAATACATACCAAAACATCAAACTTTACGAATATGACAATGGTTTACATCGGGCAACACTATAAGTACCATTTTAAAAAAAATTATGGAGCAACCTACGTAAAAAATGTTCAATTGATTTTTTAGGAAGGGATGTTTCCTCGCGAATGCTTGAAACGACACGATAATTCTGTACATGAAGAATGTCATAAATTGAGATACACATTTTTCGAATGGAAACGATCAATTATACGAACGAATTTGATTTTTTTGTTTATCAAGTCAGTTGTATTAATTCACTCCGCCAATTTATTCTTTAGCTTTTTTCAGTTGGACATGCGAGTAAGATTTCGTGGCTTAATGGGAGTAAGCTATGACAAGTAGTAGTATGAACTGATATTTGAAATTCGTATGCATAAAAAAACTTTTAAAACGACAAATTTTTTTTATGGAAATCGTTTTCAAGATGTAATAATAAATAAACATATAAATGTCTTTGAAAGAAAGAATTAAAGATTTTAGCAATACATGGTAAGTATTTCAATTAACTGATAGCAATAAAACACTTTGATTCCCGTTGAATGGTTTATTATGACTTGTTATGCATGTAATTCAACAAAATCGGGTAACAAAAAGCACATCAAAACGTCATGTGCGTTGACGTAGTTGTTTATAAACAAATTCAAATTGGTATCGCCGGTGACATTTTTCACACTTTCAAATATATATCACAAAGTTTATCTACCAATGAATTTCAAACATTGATGACATTCACATAACCGAGATGTTTGAAACCGAATTGTAATCAATTGGTATGATGTGCGGCCAACTGTCACTTTAAGACTAGGTTAACACATTCGTTGCTGCAATTAATGTCAATGACGAGACGTTAAACGAAAAGTTGATAAAACATTATTTTTTTATAAAATTTATTTGTTCGGTTATTTTTGAATATATTATTTATTTTCATTTTTTTATTCGCTTGACTAAAATCTGTTACTAAGATAAAAAAAACATCATCACGTATATTGAACATGTAAGTTATCAAAATGTCTTATCATTTGTTCCGATATACATTGCCGGTCAAATACACAAAATCATAAATCGGTGACAGTCAGTTCAGTTTGGAATTGAATGAGCGTTCAAGTGCCCATTAAAAACTTGAAAATACCGAAGTCCAAGTTCAAAGTAAATATATCGTTTAACTAAAAAAAAAACAACAAATATAGTGTGATTTTTTTTGTAAATTTCTTCCTTTGAAAATTGTTTGACTGACAGTAAAAAAAGCAGCTTGTTGTGAAGCGGAGGAAAAAAATCACTTTATGTGCAACCTGAGCATGGAAAACGCATTTTTGTTAGTGGTGCCGGACGAAAATTACGGAAAATTCCAACATATTCAACAATTGATCGACTAAGGGCAGAAAAACAAAACGTATAAATACCGTTCGGATTTTTTTTTTTAAATTGACACAAATGTAAGCCGTTTCTTTTAAACAACAACAAAAACAAGCGCTCTCGTCCCAACAACACACCTCTATATGGGTTAATCAACGTTTCCATCAACTCTTTTCGACTTCGTATGGAGCGATCAAACAAATTTGTACATTTTTTTCACCAGAATCAGTTCATGATGAAGAACGACAATGGTAATTTTCGATCATTTCATTATTTACATTTTACCTCTATCATACAGTTGAACACTATCGGTTACCAGCTCATAATACAAATTTTAAAACCAAAAAAGATAATCTATAACTCTTAACAGAAATATATTTTCTCTAGATTCGATGTTACGCCCTTATTATTTACGCCAATGTAACACACATTTGATCACGTCCTTATTGTTTGTCTTATCGCTAGAATCACACAATGAATAGATTTTTATTGGAGTACTTGTGTTAAACGTTGATAAAATGCTAATTGAGAATAGCATTCACGAAGTAGAAAAAGAAAGCCAATGATTGATTGTAAATATGAAGGAAAAAAAAATATGAGACATGCAAACAATTTTGATAAGGTTTTCTTATCAATCAGACATTGTCGCTCCAAAAAAACAAATCCATTTATTTTATTTATTTTCACTACATTACGTACACATCTTTTGTTTTTGGCAATTGATGCAAAAAGATGCAATTCCATTGGATTCGATTTTTGTTTGAAAAAACGCCTTAACTAACTATTTCCAAGATTAAAACTCCAACTGTTTGAAACTTTTTTTTTGGCTCTTTAAATTAAATGGTTATAACAAAGATGGCGTTTTTATCGTGCTTTTTTTAAAATAAAACTTCGACTCAAAATAAAGACGGTACCGCTTAAGTACTTTTAAAATGTTTCGATTCACATGAAAGTTTGTTTATGTTGTCATGATAATGTTGTTTATTTGTTTTATTTTTTCAAAGAATTTCCATCCAAATTGGGATATGAGGACTTGGACTTGGAAAGTGGATATTACGATAGCAGTAATTATGAATCAACAAATGTTGGATTTTTTGGGCAAAGGTAAAATTGCAAAGTATCAGATATATTACCAAAAGAGACTGTAAATTTATTGCCAAACAGACACTGATAACATTGTGCTTAGCATGCAATACTGAGTTTGTGTGTATGAGTCAGACATTTTAAAGTATACGTAGACACAATCTCGGCATGAATGAGCTAAGTTTGTAAAGCGAAAATTTTACAGTCGTTGTTGTTCACATACGAAATTCATGTCATATAAACGTTAACAATCTTAATTTAGATCGTTTATAACTCACCATTTAATTAGAGATGTTGATGATCGAACTCCTTTGCTGAATAGGCCGCATCGTTTGCGACCAAATTGCATAGATGCCCGAGTGTTTTCACTTGGTGTATTATTTATTGGTGGCATAACAGTTGGCACTTATTTGCTTCGTCAACAAGGTAAATTGTTCGTTAATCATTTTATATTGACTTAAATGTTGTATTAACATCTGAATTTGTATTAGATCGTCCATGGCCAATGACTACTGCGGGCGTATGGCTTGATTTGGTGACTCGCGAAGATTGGGGAAGTGAACTTCCTACTGGTCGTCGTCTTTCAAGCAATAATGTATCGCATGTACTTCTACATCACACATCCACTGAGAATTGCTGGGATTTATCAAAGTGTAAACATTTCCTTTCGATTATTTTTCTATTATTTCCATAACTTTCATTACTTATTGATTAATTTCTATGTGATTTACCATAGGTATAATGTTTCTGCACAATTATCAGGTAAATCCATTTGGTAAATAATAATCATTCATTGCGAGAATATCGTTTGCTTATTTATTTATTTAATATTGTTACGTACTTCAGAAAATGTGGCACCACAAAGAAAACATCGATATTCCGTTTAATTATTTGATTGGCGGTGATGGTCGAGCATATGAAGTGAGAGGATGGTCTTTTGAAAGTGATCATTCGCCTATTCACCGAAATACCAGTTTGTCGATTGCTCTTATCGGTGAGTGTATATTTTTCATTTTCGCATGTCATTGCAATGACACAAAAGATGCTGTATTTAACTGAAATTTATTTATGATTTGTAGGGAATTTCACCGAAACAGTTCCATCTGTAAAACAACTCAATGCGGTATGGGCTTTATTGTTGGAGCTAAAGTTTCAAAAGAAAATATCCAGGAATTGTCATATCGTAGGCGTAAGTGAACACAAACGAGCACATCATGACGGCGCTGCTTTATTCCGAGAATTTTCAATGTTTTTAACTCGACAAACATCTAAATGGGAGTGTTGGGACGAAGTTTATAGCGTTTATTAGACCAAAATCATGACAATTTTATTCATAAACATACATTTTTTTAGAGATTTGGTTTTTCATACTGTAAAATAAACCACGACTAAAATACAGATTTTTATTGTTTTTATTTTTTATTAAAAAAGAAATTATTTTTATATCCACATTTAGAACCTAAAAACTTCTTGAAAACTTAAGTCAATGCCAAAATATTTAGATGAACAGGATTGTTGTTTGTTGAACAGAATGGTCAAATGTGAGTTAAATCTCACGCGGTGCTAATTAATAGTGTCTTATACGTCAAAATTAATGATTTTATTCATATTTTGCTATTTTAAAGTCAATCATGTAATTTTTGGTGTGTCACATTTCTAATGCATTACACACATTTCTTAAAAAGTTTTGAAAATAAATGTTGATCTTCATTAATTTTAAAATTTATTTAAATATACACATACAAATTAATACAATTTGGCATATTTTTTTGCCGCTAAAACGTAACCGTCTATCTAGACATGTGTGCGCACAAAACTAATCGACTTCCAATTTTCGAAAAGAGCCTGAAAGTGAATCAAAATTGGCTTGCATCGAATTCATACTATTTTTGTTCGTGTTATTGTTGTTTTTATCATGACGCCGTACAATGCCACGATCGGTGTGCAAGATCATTTGATCTAAAGCTACTAAAACGTCACGTTTCGCTTCCATTTCCGATGTCCAATATTCAATCATTTCATTCATGGGAATATTACCACCTAATTCAACTGGTAAACATGATTTATCGACCTTTTTATGCAATTCATACATGTTTGTGTGCACTTGGAAGCGATCCTTCATTTTGGCACTAACTTTTGATTTGGCAAAGTCGAGAACAAATTTTACAGCATGCGGTACGTTAATCAAATGAACGGCTTTATGACGAGCTGGCACCGATTGTTCGCCCCAGTTGAGAATGCGCGAAAAATCGCTCGGACTCCAATTGGTAATATGAGCGGCTGTTATTCCCGTGATATCGCATATATGTGTGAAGCCAAGCACTTGATTTTCGGGATCTTCAAGTAATGTTTCGAGCGCAACAAAATGTGCCTTTGCCATATCATAGCTGGTATAGAGTTTTGGATTGAAACAAGCTATAAATGAAAATTGCATAATTTATTAATTGACTGATGAGAAGATTGGGTTCAATAAAAAAAGAAAATGAAAACGATTCTAATCGAAGACTTACATGCACGAACGATGATAACACGACGTCCATGTTGATCGCGAACTGGTGATACTGTTAAATATCCATTGGTCAAAATTTCATGTACAGATTTGCTCTTATAGTCCAAATTGGCAGTCATTTGTGGGAAGACACGTTTCAAATTCAAATATTTTAAAATAATCTGTTGTGCCATTGGTACGCTGAATTTTTTTGCACGCAAAAATCGCAATAGGAAACGATCATCAGTGCGTACATTTTCAATATCTTCATTTTTATTTAGCCAATTTAATAGCTGTTCCAAACACTGTTCACGGGCACTACGATCTTCACGTAATTCCTTGCGAGCGGTTTTTAATGCCAAATCACTCAACTCAAGCTCTTTGTCCGATTTATCTTTAACGTCTATTTTTGTACTTCGCCAGGTATTCTTTAAAATATCGGCTGCCATTTTTTATTCCCTTTTTCCCCAATTTAGTTTTTAGCACGCACAAATTCGGAACACTGAAATATAAAAATAATAGATATAACCATATTGAGAATGCGATTGAGATTAGAATGCCATTTTGGGTTTGAATAGTTAAATTTTAAACTTGGAAGAGAAAAAAAGTATATGTATTGGGCTGTCTGTAGTAAGACCATAAAACAAATTGAGCATTCTGGGATTAATAAAGAGGTGCGCAAAAATCATCAAACATATAAATAAATAAATACAAATATGCATACACAACAGATGTTCGAGCAGACAGGGTGGGATGTACGAAGTTTTTTTTTTTTCAACGAAAACTTGATTCTAATATAAATGCGATTCTATTCTCCAAAAATTTATTTAAATGTTATATTATCAGTTATATTTTTATTAAATTTAGATTCGTATCATCATATTGTCCAGTATCTGATTTACGTCATGTGACAATGTTTCAAACAAAAATAGCTAAATACCAAATAAACACCATGTAGACTTTGAACATTGTCTGAACGCAAATTATAACCTTGACTCCCAAGATCTATGGGCGGGTGTAAGAGCTCATAAGAAACTTAACTTGATCTTGTGATTATTTGACAATACACAGTGAAAAAACGCATGACAATCGGTTTGTCGCAGCACAATCTTATGTTCCAAACAAAATTCAAGCTGGAAATTGCATCTCTCACTATCGATTCTGACTTTTCTTCTTAGTTTTAATTCAACAAAAAAAATGGCCTCTGAACAAATTGCATGCAGAGCCGAATTATAAAATGTCATCAATCAACTAAAACAAATTGGCAGATAATGATCGCCATTCGATGATGAATCTGTGTATCCAATAATGGTATATTAAATAACGTCGGAATGCCTAATCGTCGCAATCAACATAACAACAACAACAACAAAAAACGACGAAAAAAAACGGCTGCGGAACAGAAAGAGATAATATTTGTTCGACATACTTTTCTACGATCATTTGTACATAAATCAACTGATCAAAACTAAATAAATGAGCGAACAAGCGACCGAGTCAACAAACAAATGAGTAAAATATACAGATTTACCAAAACCCCCGAAAAAAAAGTCGAAAAGAAAACGAAAGTTGCTTTTCATTTGAGAAATACTTGGACGGGTTTAATACACTTTTGCTCTCATGAATTTTGCGCTCGTGCACGCATCTCGCGATCATATTTTTCTCATTTAGCATCGAACGCACACGAAAAGAAAAAAAAAACGATGAAGCAAATCGAGCAAAAGAAGAAAAGAAGCCGGTGCACTGCATACCGGAAAAAATATCGGTCGTACTAAACTGTTTCGATCAATTGAAGCTAAATGAAAGAGAAATCGTATTTGAAAAATGAGAAAGTACCAACAACCAGGCAACAATTACAAATGATTAATAACGGAATGACATTGCGTAAATTTAGGTATTTTTTTGGTGTCCCAGCAATTGCTGATGACTTAGCAATGAAAATTCTTAACATGAAAACATATTACGTCGCGCAACAATTTTGTTTTGTGTAATTTTTTTTCTTCTTTCGAATATATGACCAGATTGGGAAAGCTAATACACACAATTTTTTATAGCAGGAATTTCACATAGTAATAAAAAACCAGAATGCCGTTGGCACATAAAGACCAATAAAGTAATAATGCTGGCTATTATTTGTCAATACAATGACTAGAGATCAACACCTTTTTTTATTTCTTCAAATATATATTCATTTCGGAATAAAAAAAAAAGAAATAGTTCAATACATTGTGGCAATTCTTTACTTTTTATTTTGTATGAGATAATTATTGACATATCAATAATGGATTTTTAGACGCCTTGCGGCTAGAGAGAAAGCAATTGGATTCAGACAGAAAGGTATGTGGTGGATTTTGAAACAAATATCGTACAACCAAAGGAATTTATATAGCCGAAATAAGAAAAAAAAATATCCAAATCATGACGCGCCGAAAAAATTGTTGGTTTGCATAGATTACATAATTTGATGCGTGCCGCACTTGTGGCCAATCGCGCTCGCGCGCACGTTCAGCACATGAATTTGGGTTAATATTATGCGAAAGTGTTGTTTTATCTCAAATTTTGTCAATGTAAGGTTAATGTCAATAGGATTTTTTTTTGCATGATGTATTAAGGTGATCCAAGATGAATCGCGATCAATGTTTTTTCATGGCTTTTACTTTGATTTGAATGGAAAGTAAAACATCGTTATTGTTCAAAACCATTGTTTTTTTTTTGGATGGACTTTTTATTTCCTTAGCATATTCGAATGTCCAATCAATCTCGATTTTGTATTGCATTCTTAACATTTTGTTGATGATTCAATGTGATTCTAGGTTTTTTTAGATAAAATGATTCGACGAATAAAACCTTCTATAATTCAATAACTTATTTGCATAATTGTTTTCGTCTATATTTTATGATGATATTCAATCATGATGACGGTGTTGGAAATTACGTTGTTCTTGATAAAAATGACCGTGTCATTTGCATATCTATTTCAGATGAATTCAAATACGTCCTCCCAATTTTTTGGATGAACTTCAATTTCTTTTAAAGAACCACAAAAAAGCAAAAATGTTCATTGTTCAAAATGTCATACTGATTCAACAAAAATCAAAAATACATAAAATGTGTGAAGTTTTCCAAATGTATAAAATCACCTTGTTTAAAGGGAAATGAACTTGAGATAAATGCACAATGTATGCAGAAATTGCCTTTCAATACACGATACAAAGATATTCATACACAAATGTTTTTCAAAAAAAACATGTAAATTTTCTTTTTGCATCGCATAAATCGACGACATGCACTCATACATTGTCAAGTTGTTATAATTTAATGAAAATGATCGTAATGAAAAATCGAGTCGATTATTGCATAATGAAAACTATTATACTATCATATGATCATGCACAAATACATGTCCAATTTTATGTTGGCTCCATTCGGAAAAAGAGATGGAAAGTACGCGACACATTATCAAACTATGTTCGTTGTGTGTGCACTGACAGTTAAATATTCAACTGGATTTCTTCTCTCTCTCTCTCTCTCTCTCTCTCTCTCTCTCTCCCTCTTTCGAAAATGGTTTTCTGTTCATGTATCGCGACTAGAAAAGTATATATAAATCGACCAAAAGGCGAGCAAGAAACAAGAAAATCATTTTCGCTTAATTCACAAAAAAATATGAAAATAAAAAAAGGAAAAAAAGACATAATTTACAAACGTGAAATGAGTTACGACAACCTAAAATGACTCTGTTTTTTTCTTCTCTTTCACGACGAGTAAAGTCTTTCGCGATGGTGAGTTGTAAAAAAAAATTTATGATATTGGAGATGACAATGGTACAGCAACATATGAGCGTACACAATATACGACTTAGCTATGTAAACTGAATAAATTTGACGATGTGTGTATACCAAATATGCGATTGCATAACATTCGCTTAAGATATTATACACTGATTGGAACATAAAGTGATGGCGATACACGCAAATGAAAATTTAAAATCATGAACTTAAAAATTGGCCGTTCTCAACACACAAATGTCATTGTTCGATAAACCAATGTTCAATGATTTATTTCAAAAATGGTGACCAGATTAATTATTAGAAGTCGTTTTATTCCCTCTCCAAAAGGAAGTCAGCTATTTCAATAAAAATTGTTTGGAATATGTGGGCAGTTGGTGATCAATGAACATTGAAATCGTTTGGAAATTGGCTTTTTACGATCAGTTTAGAATTCGTGACGTTAATTCACCATATTTGTACATTTAAAGAATTCATATATACATATAGATATGTTAGGTACCGATTATGTTGTGAATCGATAACTATGGACTTCCGTTAAAACGTACAATTAGTTTGTTGATTTTTTTAAAGACAAATTTAATCTTACGATGATTTTTGAACGAAAAACCAAAAATCGATGGTGAGTGTGTTTGAGCTTGAATTGACCATTGAAGCAAAATTTACCATAGATTGCATAAATCGAGTTAATAATGACGAAAAAAAAAAACAAAAACAACTTGGATCCGCTCTTGCAAAGTCCAAAATTATACAAAACGCATCACAGGTAATGCTAAAGCAGTTCACGGACAAAAGGCACATATTTTATGTCTAATGTCTTGTTTATGAACCGCTGTTGTAAAAATCATACGTGATCTACTTGTCCACCGTTTGATCATCCGTCATTTCATCATCCGTAAACCATTATTGCTAAGACAATTCATTTTTTTTGGCTGGGCAATTGTTTTATAGCGAGTTTTAAAAGTGATTTTTTAAATGCTTCAAAATACCTATACGAATCAACGCATACGTCAAATTATTGAAATGAATGCCGTTATTATTCATACTATCGGTGTAATAAAAATTATTATGATTTTCTTTTTTTGGGTCAACACTGAAACTTTGAGATTTATCGACTAATAATTTAACATTACAGCATTATTCAACTATGTATATACAAATGGCATTAACTTCTAATTTTCAAATAAATATTGAGAATCAATTTGCAGCCACTTTCTTTTATATTTACACGATAGTTTAGCGAACTTTCTCAATGAGAGAGGAAATATATGAATCGGCTGTATTGTGACAGTAACCATTTTCTAGAACAACAAAAAAACGAAAACCAAAAGCGTTTGCATTGCACAAGGAAATGATCAATTCATTTTACTAAATATGCGCTTTGGTAATTACAATCATCACCGTTTTTGTTTGAATATTTTACACATCGATTGTTAAATAAATATGCAAATCTGGTGAAATGTTGAAATATTGCTTCCGAGATTCCAATGAAAAATTCGATTGAATCGCGCCTTAGTAATTAAATCGTATATTATGTATGTTTGTGCATATCGTTAATATATTAAAGAGGCGTTTTATGAATTTCATCGGAGCTCACGTGGCGAAAAACGATGTTTGCACACATGTTGATGAAAGAAATAGAGCATAGTAATTAAGAAAACAAAAATTATATCAGCCGAATTATGTATGCAAACGTTTAGGATTTTATATCAAAATGCGGTGGAGACACTACTACGCATTCAAGGTCATCGGGAATGCTTCATTTTTGGATATTTTCGTACCAAAGCATAATATGTGTGTGTGTGTGTGTGTTTTTTTTTGCGATAATACCCATAATATTATGCACCGATTTTTTTTTGCTAACTGTACAATATTTCTCTCTATCAACACGGGTTGGTGCCATTTTATGTAACTTATTAAATCATAGTTTGATTTATAGATTTAATACATGCAGTGAATAAAGTGCCGCGATCAACTCAACTTCTGTTCGTGCTATTGTGGCGGTGGTTTTACATTTATCTCAATCGATCAATACGATTAATATTATTGTTGGACGATGATGAAATTAAATATGATGATAGTGGATATTTAATGTGTTAAAGTATTCTTCGATTAACCAAAGATGAATCACACAGGTGGATTTTTTTGGGATGTTGGAATATCAACTGAAATGAAGCTTATGTGAACTAAAATCATAAAACTGTTTCACTGTTTGAAAAAAATGAATGTTCAGTTGAACGCGTTCAATGTTTTATTCCTTTGCGGTCATCGAAAATCCATCAAGTAATTATTGTTCAAATTATTTTCACCGAAACAAATTGATGGCAAAGTGTGTATGTCGCTTGCAACAAAGTTACACTTTTGCAATACTTTTATACCGAATAAAACAAACGAATAACAAAGCCCAGCGTCTGCCATACAAAATGAATCGGTAAAATGTGAAGACCAATGTTTTACCAAAACAAAGTTGTATTGTCTGGTTGTGTAATTAGCATTTTTATTCAGCAAAAGGAATATAATCAAATTTATTTTATCATGTTGATGTTTCAACAGCTCGCACTCGAATATGGCATCACTTTTAAAACGGTCGCGCTAATATTGCATTATATGAAATACAAAAATTACTTTCCACACTTAATTCAAGCAACACAACTGCTATATTTCCATTTCAAGAATCTGATTACGATGATGGTCCATGCCATCTTCAATTTGAAAGTATCCAAACATATATGAGCTTTTCATCTAATAATATTGATGTGATTTGTTTTTTTTTTTCTTGTTCTTTTATACAATTTTAATCGACCACCGAGAAAAAAAACATTCTTAACACTCCAAAAAAAATTTCTTCTTTTGATTATAATAAGTACCTTGTATTTTTACAACAAAAAATGATAACGGTAATTCCAGCGTGTTAAATTTGTGGTAATGATAATTTTTTATGAAAATTACGAAAATAAATAGCGCGTCCTACACTCTCTTATAACGTAAACAAAAAATGTTCTCACAACGGTCACTTGAAAATGAAACTTCACGAAAAGAGAAAAAAAAGTCAACCGCACTATTTAGTTTATGATCTCGTTATGAATTGGTTGTGGAATTGTGAACTGATCGTGGCTCCGAACGTTTTTGGATTGGCAAAGTGAGCCGCTACTTCGCCTATTCTCGAAAAAATAAATCGATGAATTTGAATAAATAACAACAACAACGGTGACGACGACGATGACGACGTCGACAATTATAATCATGAAATGTTACGTATGGCATCCCACCATTGGCGCAGCTTTCGCATAGTGGCTCATTGAATTGTTTTCATCGGTAGCGCGTGTTGTTTTTGTGCTGCAGTACATTTAGCGTTCAATTTCATATGTTGTGCTTCCCCTTCTTCGTTCGAAAAACAAAAACGAAGGAAGAAATCAAATGTGAATGTGTTAGCGGTGTTATGTAGTCTTGTTGTTTTTTTTTCTTCTTTATGTGTTCATTTTATTTTTTATAATTATTTACGCCGTACAAATCAAGCAGCATAATTTGACTCTATTCGAATGTCATGGGAACTGGTCAACACAAGAGTTAAATTTCAGTTGACTAAGTTCATTTCAACTGTGATGGGATGCAAACGGGCCAAACATTTTGACGCCATCTGACTGCAAATCGATTTGATTGTATTTGTTTTCGATATTTATTAGATCCTCCAGTCATCAGTTTGAAACGATTGTACGTTTAAATTCGAAAATGTTCATTCCACCTGCATTCCATGGTGAATGTGTGTCAAATAAGGTATAAATTGCATGTCTCCTTTAGTTTTCCTTATGCAATCGAAAAATTATTTGCAAGTGCCTGTCTGCCTGTCTACATACAAACACTTTATCGAAACGAATGCATGACATAACAAATATCATGCGATACGCGCGCGCATATTTTCATCACACATACAGCACACACTCAGTTGTTCTGATGTAATAAAAATTATACTTTTCCAATAATAAGCGATTACACGATATGAATTGCACCAATTAACATGTGTGCAGCCACGAGATTTGATTCGCGAGTCGATGTGAGAATGTTCAATAGCCGGGACGCTATAAAATCCTGTCATCATTACATACACATACATTGTGACAATAAATGTAAACAAAAACAAAGCGACGAAGAGAAAAAATAGCCGTTTCTTATGAGATTGAGTGCCCTCTCCCTTTTTGATTATGCGTAATTTTAGATGAATTTCATGCTTGTATGCGCAATGCACATACTAGAAAGTATGACATACCTGCCGCTTATAACGAGCTACTGATGTCTGCACATATTGTTTTGGTTTTTCTTCTTTTTTGTTTTGCATACTGCACATGATAAATTCACGCAAACACAATATTTCTCTGGTCGTTTGTTTTATGCATGATCTTTATTGCGAATTCATCTCATTTTATCACATGTGTCCAACACAAAGACTTAATTGAATTCGAAAGTATCTCGTTGATATGTTTAAGGAAATAAATGGGGTTTTGTAAGCAAAACGGCTAAAATATTGCTCATACGGTATTTCATTGTATTCTTCAATTTATAACCTTCATACAACTACATATATGGAGCAGGCGATCAACCATTTTTCTAAGTTTTGTTCAAAAATATATCGAATGGAACGATTTGACCATAAAAATGCGCAATTTGCATGCTTACTTGTCTTAAAGTCTGACGCAACTGAATATATCAAGACAAATGATCACCGCGGTTTTTTCCTTGAATAAATCAATCGTTGTAGAACAATTTAATAGTCGTAATACGGCTAATTTTCATGTAATTTCAGTGACTCAATTTAAATATCTAGATTTATCGATAAATTTCCGTGATATCAACATCGAATAGCAACAGGCACATACTGCAGTATTATTCATATCATACACATAAGAGAAATTACAATTTTTAAATTCCATCGTAATGAGTTTTTGCTGGATTGAATGCATGAACATTTTTTTACGCAATACATTCGATTGGCTGTCGATTATATGTTCTGAACGATGACATCTCATATTTATGAGTGCTTAACAATTGAACGAACAAAAGTCGTTTCTTTTAATAACAACGGGTGTTATTAACAAGATCGATATCATTTCTATTCAACACCAGAGACAATTAACAGATTTATAACAACAACAATTATTGAAATAATTATAATGTGCAAAATGTTATCGTATTGATGATGTGAGAGTTAATTAAAAATGTGTTGAAATCTTTTTGCGCTCGTTTTTCATTTCATTCATAAAATGGCGATGGGCGAGCAATGCTTGGCTATTCATCCATTCGGTTGATGGCATTGATTACCGTTTCAATATATTTCGAAATCAATGTAATGTGCACCCCATCGCTTTTTCGTATTCACGATTGCGTTTGTGGTAATTTTACGCAATTCGACATCCAAGCGTATATGTGAACATTATTATGATTTCCCGAGCTAAAAATTGATTCCAAATTTACGCTTTATATAGTCAAATAGGGCGGAGACAAATAAAAATGAGTTAGCTAGCGGCGAATTATTGATGGGCAATGTATATTGGTGTAATTGCTACGTTTTTGTGCACACTTAAATATATAAATCGCACTTTCGAAGCTGCAGTTTTGTCGCTATACGTCATCATTTGGAAATGGAGAAAATTGTTCAGTTTTAGAATTGACAAGGAGCTTTGCGCCAAAACCAAATAATCTCCAAAATTAAATTTGGATTAAAATTTTCTTTTTTTTTTTTAAATAAAGTAAAATAACTAACATTCAATGTTGGGCAAATGAAAATCAGAATGAATTTGTCTGTATTTTTATTGATATCAATGCATTAATTCAATGTTTGGATAATATTTTTTCCTGTTGCTTAAGCAAATTTTATATGATAAGCGTTCGAAAAACGACAGAAACTGCTATTTTAGTGTTTTATACAGAACCAATTATTTTTGCATGCTGATATGTATTGTGTCGTAGCCGATGCATTCTCGAAGGTACGCTATCTAATTTGACTCAAAACTGCGCACGTATTAATGCACAATAACTCCGTAAGCGAATAGTGCCACCATGACCCCCTGGACTTTAGTTGGTAAATTTAGCAAATAAAAAGTAATAAAAAGTGATTTGTTGAAAATAAATTCGTATAAATTCTTAAACTTAATGTTGCTGATCGTTAACTTCATGAAATGTTTGTATTGTAGAATTTTGAAGATAAAATGATTACAAATTGTGATTTACTTTATAAAAGTCATCACAATCACCGTTTGTTACAAAAATTCATCAGAAGTTCTTTTAGCTGTCTTAGTGATCAAATCTCCAAAATAACGCAGAACAGGAAAGTCCGTTTTGCCAAATTTGCCATTAGATGCCATGTCTGCAGCTATCTTCAGTTTGGGCTCCAGAAGATCTTTGGCGAGATCAGTCAACTGCAATTCGGCTGCGATATCTTCATCACCTTCAATTTGTGCATGCGTTGGTTCCTGGTCATTTTCTCGTTGACATTTTTTCGCCAAATGTTCTCTTTCTTCGGCCATCTTCTGTGAGAAAGTAAGAAAACATTCAAAGTAACAGTACAAGGATGCGTACTCAAAATTTCGTAACCTCATTTCTTTTATCAATAAACCTGTGTACAACATTTATAAATTCGTTAAAAAATAACTTCCAGAAAAATTTGAATAATTTTTTCGTGGTTGGAACACTTGAAATTTGGCATACTTTATTTTTTTCAAGAGTCTTGAATCAACACAATACACTTTTACAAACCTGTCCTACACTTAATTTTAAGTTTTCAAAGTAGAGGCCTCTCCAAATGGCCCGAGTATGGGGTCATAACGTGACTATATCATTGGAAAGGTAGTGTACAATAGTACAATTGCCAAAATAGTGTTGTACACATAAAGTTCAATTATTTTCAATTAGTTTCATGCTTGCTTAAAATGTGAGTATCTTCAATTCCTTCTATGGGACTTTTCGAATAGACATTTTCCAAAAATTGAAAACATTTGTCGTTCCTCTTGATGATCATCTACTGGTGCATTAACATTTCATATTTTCTGTTGGTGGTTTTGTGTCACACACGGCGTACACTTTTTCCAAACGTAGAGAGAATAAATGTTCATTGGGACATTCAAAATCATAATAAATGTTCATTTCATCATTCATTTGTGATCGCATCAAAATCAAAATTTTAAGTACACCCAAATTTCACCCGAATAACATTTTTTTACCTTTCGATAATTTTGTTTTTGCCTTGTACACTTTCGCAAAAATGTTGTACAGGAAAGTGTACACTTTAGGGGTTAGCGGGATTGATCAAAAAATGTGTGATCATGAAATTTTAAGTATGGCCATCCGGATCCCAGTACAAAACTATCGAGCATTTTCTTTGTTCTTTTTACAAACAAATTCAATATTTGAAGTCAGGAATTTTGTTGCAGTCCAACATACGGTAATGTCGTCGAAAACAACAGATATAGCTTGCCAACTCACCTTCAATTTTTTGGAATATTTTTGAAGAAAATCCGACAAAACGATGAATCAAATGCTTTTAGTTCGTTGAAACTATTGACAACCATTTTTTTCTGTTAAAGACTTCAAAAGTAATGAAGTGAAGAGAAGTGATCGCGCCTTAATGTTGTGTTGACATTATGTTAGTAAAAGTCATTTTTATGTGTACATGAATTGAGCCGATATTCAAATTTTCAAATAGTGTTGTCGCTAATATAGCGGATTAGTTCAGTAAGTTATTATTTTGAAGAAAAAAAAAACAGATAGAAAAATGAGTTTCTACAATTTATTTTATTTGGAAACATACGCATATCATTCGTATTTTAAACTTAAAATTATTCGTTAATTAATGTGATTTATCGATACCATCATTCCTCAAAATTGAATTTCAAATGAAAAAAAAAAATGACTCTCGAGTCGAGATAGCATAGATACAACGACAATATGTGTCGAATTAACTTCGATAATATTTTAAATGGACTTTTGAACTGAAAATCTGAAGGATAATTCATTTATTTGTTTATGGTGAAAATGTAAATGTGAAAAGTGATTGTTCATTAATTTTTCCCTATTATATATGGTATACAATCGAAAAACAAAATATCTAAGCCATAACTAAAAAAAAACACAAAAGAGTTTCACTATTCGACATAGTCAAGCAGTTGAATTGATGATTTATCCACTTCTTCTTCATCGCCACCATCGTCCTCCTATGAATTACACAAAAATAAAATAAAACCATGATTAGAAAATGTGCAACAACCGAAACGAAATTCAATTGACACTTACCACAAATCCAAAGCAAGTTGACATATCTCGATCACCCTGGCCTTTATCTTGTAATGGATCTTCATCGTCTAGATAAAGTTCTGCAATTTCCATATTCTCATCTTTGTCTTGCAATTGAATCTGACTGTTTTCATCCTCCTCCATATTGATAACTTCGACCACCATGTAACGTTGTCCATCTTCTCCAACGGCCATTATAGTTTCTTTTTTTGTTGGCATATCTTGTTCAATAGATGTCTCATCCTCACCATCCAGCTCATAGTCTTCTTCGCCTTCATACTCTTCTTCGCCTTCGAAGCCAATGTATTCTACCTGTTGACCGTTTACAATTTGAACACGTTTTTTGCGTCCCTGTTTTAAAGCCATTGCGTGCTCTCGCACCGATGAATCAGGATCATGCAATGACATGTGTCTTATCAAATTGCCTTTGTGACGGAATTGGCGATCGCAAGATGGACAAACATGGGTTTTTTCCTTCGGTGTTGGCGGTACATAGTCGGGATCATGATATAAATTAATGTGGCGTTTGAGTAGTTGCTTTTGACGAAAGGCTTGATCGCATTGCGTGCATTGAAATGGTTTTTGGTCTGTATGAACTAACATATGCGATTCCAAATGTCTAGCTGATATTGATGCATACAAACATAGCTCGCATTTATAACATTTTTCACCTTCGTGCGTTTTTGTATGAATCTGAAATAATGGAATTGGTTATTTTTCCGTCAGTAATGTTTTGTCTATTTCATCTATCCGTCGGTATCCGATTGATTTGGAAAATGACATTTAAGCTTACCTTATAGCTATAGCGATCAGGGAATGAATTCCCGCATCGTTTGCATTTGAGTGGTTTTTCTGCTGTATGAAGCTTTTGTACGTGGATACGTAAATCAGTCTTTCGTCCACAAGTCGTTGGACACAGTTCACACTGGAACACCGGCTTGTCACCAACTACAGAAATAAAGAGAAAATGCCATTCATTTAAATAATTTTGCATTTAAAGAAGTTTGATTTAAAAAATAAACTCATTCTCGAAAATTATGTTAAAGTCCTTACCACTATGAATTAATTTATGTGCCTTCAATGAATTGGATTGAGTGAATCGTGCTTGGCAAACATCACATTCATACGGTTTCTCTCCGGTATGTATACGTAAATGACGTTTCAATTTGAATGTATCCGGTGATGCATATGTGCAGTGAGGACATTGATATGGTCTTTCGCCCGTGTGACAACGAATATGACGTTTCAATTTGCTCAATTCAACACTGGCATAATCACATTCGTGGCACTTGTGTGGTTTTTCATGTGTGTGTCTATAACGAACGTGTCTCACTAGTTCGCCCGATGTTGTGAAGCAACTGTCACAATATTTACACATATGAGGCTTTGTACCTGTATGTGTGTTCACATGATTTTGTAATGAAGCCAATGTTTTGAATCCGCGCTCGCACACCGAACACTTATATGGTCTTTCCTCTGAATGTGATTTCATGTGCCGTGACAACAAATATCGTTTTGGGCTTGTGTAATTGCAATAGTTACACATATGCATAGCCAATGAAACTTGTGATTTCTTTCCTGATTTTGCTGTGGACGATGTTGCGGTTGAACCGGCCGCTTTTCGTTTATCCTTTTTCGGGCTACTCTCCTCTTCGGATAGTTCTTCATCTTCTTCAAATTCATATACTTTCTCTTCAACACCATCATCGGCTAACTCTTCATTTGTTCCATCATCGACAGCTGATCCTTTATCATCCATAATATACACATAGCTAACTTCACCATCGGCATTGTCACCATCATTTCCATCGAATGCTACTGTTTCATAATCGTTTTCTTCAACTTTGGTCGTGATTATATTTTGTTTACGCGTTTTCGAAGATATGGTTGCTTGTTCAATTACGCTTTCTAAATTATCATCGCCTTCATCGTCTTCTTCAACAATAAATTGAATATTGTCACCATCGGGCGGTTCGGTTAGCACTGGTTCGGAATCTTTTGTCGCTTGGTAATAATAATTACCACTTTCATCGACAAAATAGGTGCCTTCATCTGTATCTTCCATTGTATCGATATCACTTGTTTCTCCGTAAAGTTTTAATCTCCGTAAAGTTTTTCTTCAAAAAAATTCCAAATTTGATTGTTATTTGTTTCCCTCCAATTTTACTTCACAAAGCCGCGTCGTCGTAAAATGTCTCAATGCAACCCAAACGCACTTATTCTAAGCCTAAATCAACAACGAAAATAGAAATGTTCATAAAAAATCCACATTAATCAAAGCATTTAATTGTTTGAGTAAAATTATATTTTAACATACAACATTTTCACCGAAATTCGACTTAATTGAAAATAATGCACTAATAACACAAAAATGCTGCCTTAATCCAAATGCCATAGCATACTGTCAACTGTCAAATAAAAAAAAACGACTGTCTTCTGTATACATTCAGCTGCTGTTAATGCGAAAATACGATTTCGAATGTACCCAGTAGTAATATACACATACGAATATTTCGTCGTACATCGCGTCAGCCATTTTGATTATGTTACAAAAAAGACTTTCAAAAAATTCTACGAAACAACCTCAATTCATTGAATTTTCACACCATCATCAAATATCGATGTGAATTTTTTTACAAAAATTTTCCAAAACAAATCGTCTGACACACAAATAAATTTATTAGAATGAAATTGATTTTAGATTTCAAAACTAGGTGGCCGAAATCACTGTTCAATTCTTGTAAATTATCACCATCGGCGCTGTTGGTGCGCGACAAGAAAAATGGCTGACAGTAAAAAAGCATTTTTTCAAACAGATACACACTTTTGTTACCGCTCTTCGATAAATTCAAATTAATTTACGCACATAATTCATTTTTAGCGTCACATTTTTGTTAAACAAGCCAATTTACAATTTATTCAACCAACAAATCTACATTATTTTGAGATAAAAATCTTCAAAAATTTCACTTACGCAAGTCGAGTGGATTTGGATTGAAATGTTTTGAAAAAAAAAATTTTTTTTTTTGCTTGAAATTATTCGGATGAACTTCGAATGATGGCCGTAAAGGGCGTTGTGTATAATATATACGTACTCTCTTCTCGACTTTATTACACCAACTGCTTTTCAGTTCACAAGAGATGGCGTCAATACCGAGTGTATAAAACGAATAAAGTATATAGATGCACAGAAATTTGACACAACTCTGTGTATGTAGTTGCTAACGACTGAGCGTCCGTGTGTGTGTATGCACTAACAACAAATCATAGTATGTCAATTATGAATACATATGTATGTGTGACTGTATATCGTATACTGGCAAGAATCATACATAATTATGGCATTAAGTCCGGTTTACATCATCAAAAATCAAAACAACTCAAACGAATTTTGAAATTCGTTTGATTTCATGTATTTATCATAATTACGAAAAAAAAAATGAACGTAAATTATAATTTATCATGTAATCGGAAATTGCAAAATGAATAATTTAGTTTTGCTTTAGCATATTAAAGGGGGAAAAATATACAAAGTAAAATAAGATTCAATTCACTTACTGTGAATTCGATTTATTGATATACAGATTTACATTTCTCTTTCCATATTTTTTAATCTTATACAATCTATACTTACAAATTCATCAAAATTATGAATTAAAGTTAGTGGCAATAGTGGCAATCAGATAAACACACACTTTTTCTTAATTTTATTTAATTATAAGTAAATAAAACGAAATTACCACAAAAAAAAACCTGACAATGAATCAGCTACAAAATCTTTCCAAATTGGTACCGAAGCAAATGGAAACGACAAAGATAAACTTGTTACAATGATAACAAACAAATATTTCCATCTCATTTTCTTTTAAATTCAAATGCTTCATTTTTCATATTCAAAACGAAAATGCATAAAGAAAAATTTCGAACAAACCAAACTAATATTGAAAATAAATAATTTTGAATTCACTAGTAGAAAATGTCGTTTGGATGTATTTCTAAAGGGGGGACAATCATTCATCATGGATTTGAATGAAGCGATTAATTTGTACGAAACAGAAACGAAAAATATTCTGAATTACGCTTTTCCTTTCAAAACAAAAAAAAAAGAATGTCACTGATTCGAATTATAACCTATTGATAGTCATGTAATCACTCCGCACGACTTAATATCTGGTTGGTTGTCACTTGTAGCCACGCGTCGATTTCATACAGTATTCGGAGCTGTTATTATTGATTTCAATTTTGAGTATGTAAACAATTGCTATTGATAGTAGCAGGAACACAAATACGGTGATCCATTGAAGTTTCTGATTGAATTTGATTCGTGTTTCCAATCGGCGTGTTGTTTCAACCAATTGCGATACCTGCAACGATATTCATAATTGATTAAATGAATTTGAAAAGATGCAACACATTTCATTCATATTTCTTACCGAATTCGAAACGTGCAACCATTGACGATCAGTATCGATAACGCCCCCATTATTTAAGAACATGCTGCTATTTTTCGACATGTCACCCACAATGGTATTGCTAGCATTTAGATTAACATTCGGACCAAGACTGCATTTCAATCGGTGCTGTTCAACAGACAGGCTATTGTTTTGTGTATTCTGTTACAAAAAATATAATATATTCAGTTTAAACGTAAGAAGAAACGTTCGATTCATCCAAAACATACCTTCCATATATCGGCAATGTCTTGCTGCGATGCATTCAAATCATTGATCTCCATGCACATGACCAAAAATTTATCTTTATTCAGCAATAAAGTTACATTTGGTCCAGATTGTAGAACAACGCTAATGTTTACAGCCGAACCAGGCGTAAGTATTCCAGTGCTCGGTCGTACACGGAACTTTTCAGGAGATGTTGTTTTTATCTATTTATACATGAAATATGCATTCAATGAAAATTGCGAATATTATTTTAAAAAAAGAGAGAACATTACCTTGTAGGTGATCGGGTATTTAACAATGTTGAATATGTCAACAGATCCAATTAGCTCGGTGCCCACTTTTGAGAATGTAATGATTTCGGCTGGTGCTATTTTCAACATATTTCCTATATCAGAAAATCAAACAACAACGTTAACATAAACATCGATATGGATAATTATTGATGTGCTTACCACCGCCGTTCTCTGTATTTCTACCAAATGATTGATCCGACATTGGAATTTCGCTAACTGAACTTGTTTTCGCAAAGGTTACCTAGATGCAACAAGATAAACCAAATTTGTGTTCAACTTCAATTAATATGACAACAAATTTATTTTTAATTTTTCAAACACTCATTATTTTTATGATGTGTGTGTGTGTGTGGATTGTTATTTAAGATGACATGGCTTTGAGTTATTTAAGAAATGTGTGAAAATGAGATTTGTTTGAAAACGGATGCCACAATTTGTGTATCGATGAACTTGTGTGCAAGAAAAGCATGACCTTGACCGTAAAATGACATAAACACACACAGACACATCAATTCATCACACAAAATCGAGGAATAGCGAGATAAAAAAGATCGATTTTTTGACCGATATATATCTTAGCAGTCTTTAAAAATGTCGTGAGCAGTTGCCATAATGTGACGAATCAGTTTTGCGGTACACATTATCGGCTAAATAATCTCATTAGTTTCACACATAGACATGCTAATGCTAAATAATATCCGGCCGTTTATTTTTCACAGTGTCGCCTTCTCTCTCACACACTCTCTCTCTCTCTCTGAGTGGAGAATTACTATCATTACTATATATTTTTCTCTGAATTACTTTCATTACTATTAAGTTTGAATTTTTAGTGATTGTCCGAAAACCCAGTCACCATCAAGCTTTTTTTTAAATAACGATACAAGTAATACTCGTTATTTTGATAATATTTTCGGCTATTTTATTTATCTGCTTTCTCCAGGGAAAAGTTAATCAATGTTCGAATAGAAATAGGAAGTACCAAAAAAATAGAAAAATCTTTCGATTTTGACAATTTTTTCGGATGAACGTAAAAAAAATGATAATTTTTCATCTTGACCGGATAATCGGTTAAAATGATTACAAGTTTCTTTTATTATTCTTCTACTTTTTTATGGTCAATGAATCAATTCACTTGTACGTCACACGAACCGAACAAGAAAAAATTACTCACAAACACGCGAAACAATAACAAAAAATAGACGAGTGTGCAATAGATGCGAAGCGGTTGTTGTTCGATATTGGATAAATATCCTTTTCTATATCGTTATGAAACTGCTCACAATTTTTCAAAATTAAAATCAATTGAATGTTTATATTCGTACCTTTTCGAGTAAAAACAAAATGAATCTGCACAAAGAATTCAACCGTATACGCGATACGAAAGAGAGAGCACCAAATCGTCAACTACAAACAGAAAAAATGTGAAACAAACGCAAATGCCCGCTTGACTTTAGCTTATGCATTGACGATGTTTCTGTTGGGATACATTCAATAGGAGAGCGTATGCATACATTGAAATGTGCGAATATATGTGTAAGTGTATATGTGAGCGTTGTTTCGAATGTGACTACTATTTATTTTCTTTCTCTCTCTTTCTACCTTTTTCACGTCGGTGTCACTGTTTGCTTTGTCGTAAATATTGAGGTTCGATTGAAGGGAACAAAGATGCTTGCTGTATTTGCCGTTTTGCATTTTTTTTTTTCGTACGAGTTATTGGTTGGCTTGTATGCTCGTGTGTGTATCTGTTTGTAAAGCAAAAGATCTTTGTATTCTCTCCCATTATTATGGAAGATGTGGGTACTATACATTTGAAAGTGAACGTTTGGAATTTGAGTTCGGATACGAAATGAACAAATTAAAAAAACAATAAAAACGCGCACGCCACCAAAAAGGTGAATGAACACGTGATTTATTTAGATATTGACATTTGAACAGAATGATTTTTAAAAAATACACTAGAAATCGTATATTTTTTGAATGCACATCCATTCGTTTTAGAACCAAGTACTTTATTTTGAAAAAAGGGTTTTCACATCTGATGGTTGATTTGAATTGTACATATTTTGTACATTTTAATGAGATTCACTTTGGTGGTGTACGAATTTCGGGTAAAGATTTTCCGAGTTTTGATATTTTTATATTCAAAAAAGTCATATTTTGAAAAAAAAAAAAAAATATTGGTACATATTCATGGGAATTGTTGTACAAAATTGTACGATTTTTTGAAATCGACCGGAATTTGACTACCCATACAAAAAACAACATAATATTTGTTATCAGTTCCTGACCATTTCTTTGATTTAATGTAAATAAAATCTCGTTCAAAGCTAAATGAAGCAAATCGTTTATCATATCCAAATGGATGTCACCAATTTAACTAACATATCCGGCACACTGTGTAGGTGAAAGTAATGTATTTTATAGTTTTATCTCCCACAAGTTTTCATCAATCATCGCATCTGTTCGAAAAGCCAATCCATAGCAAAAATTTATTGAAATGCACAAATAAAACAATTCCTTCTTTTTGTTTTTGTTAAAGATTTTCCGGCAAAAGAGTTAAAAACCTACGATATACATACTTTAGTCATATTTAAATCGAATGAACAAATCGATTCACTTCCACAAATCAATAGCGCCGATATTATTTTCGAAAATTTAAATTTCCACTGCACAAAAATGTCCAATTCAATCACAAGTTTTAAAATTGAAATTTCAAAAATGATTCAACTTCGAATTGTTTTCGGTCGAATGTATTTTACATTTACACTGAATCATTCACTGATTAACAAAATAGAACTATAATATAATAAATTGTACTTGAAGTGAATGTTGATAACAAATCACACACAACGTATATACAATACTGTTGACTTCAAGTAGCATGAATTGAAAAATTCAATATCGAAAAAAAAAAATCCACGCGATGCGACCAAAACCGTTTGTTTTATCTTGAATCTTCTGAATACTATTCATGTGTACATTTTGCGTGAACAGTATTTATATGTTGTGTAAGTTATAAGCTGAAAATGTTTACAAACGTATTATATGACGGTTACAAATCGCCAATAAACTGTTGACCGATTTAACGTCTTTGTAATACTGTGGTGCACTTTGCAAACGACTGCTAAAACTCTATTTGAGCTCAATAAACGATCACATTAATTGATTACGCAAACCAAAGCATTCTCGTCAAATTTGCTTCGAGACAAAGTAAATGCAAAAGCATATTTCACTATATAACAAAAATAAAAAAAAATCGGTCCCTTTTAGCTAAATGTTAGTCTATATGTGTTCTTTGTACGGCTGCTCTATTAGTTTCACATCAGTCAAATGCTATTGTGTCGGCGCTTAGGTATAGTGACAGCGGATATTAAAGTGCCAAACACATTTTAATAACGACAGCCCGAACGTTTTAAATCGCCACATATTAGCGACACTATAAATGTTGCTTTTATTAGCACGCACATAATTATTAATTAATGTGAAACATAATTGAATCGTTTTTTCGTTGGGGGGCTTAACTCTTTACGTACATAGCTCACGCAACTAATGTTTTTGCACCGGGAAAAAAGTTCTTGTATTCAATACAAACAAAATCGAAAATCGTTATCTACTTCAAAGTTTGCAAAAAAAAAATATACAAAGACGTATTCAAAATTGTTGTGATTTTGGTTGACACGCACAGCCATAATCGGCACACCCCAATAATACACACTTAACCAGCTCGATATTATTAGAAAATTCAAAAACTCAACGGACGCACGCGTTCACGCACACTGTACTTTAAGGTCAAGGAATAGGTGCGTATTTATTTGATGTAAACGAAAGCGACAATACATTATTGACGTCAATCATCGATGATAGTGCAAATTGACATATAATCCAATTTCAAATCGAAAAAAAAACATATGCACACCATACCATTTAAAAATATTAGATTCACTGTGGCTTCTACCTCGTTGTCTCACTCACGCATTCATTCTCCATTCACTTACGCACTCATTTCATTCGGTTTCAATTACACTCTATAGTCTATACATTAGTAATTGGATTTTAATGTGATTTTAGTCGCGAAAAATGCGTACGATTCAATCCAAAACGATAACGACCAATAAATTGCGCCTCATGGTGTGGACATTCGATTTTTGATTAAAAATAAAAACGAAATGAAGACAGGAAAAAAAGAAACCGGTAATGAATGAGCAACAAATAAATGTCTGCACGATAACCATAGCAGAAAACGATTTGAGTATTCTTCACGCCAGCCGACAAACAACTGTGTGCATTTACCATGGCATTTTGTGTGCAGCAAATATGCTAATCATAACAAATTACCAATCTCAATGTACGTTGTTAATTTGGAGTTACGATGACGAGGTGAAAAAGAACGCACATTTAAAATTAAAACAAATGGCACAAATTGAATCGTTAATATTTATGTCGATTCCAATTTTTTTTCTTTCATTTACAATGTTGCATTTAATTAAAACTTTATTCACATATTCTATATACGAATGTGTTGAAAATTGTTGTTTCTTGCTTTCATATTTCATTTGGAATCGAAATTAAATGAAACTGTTTGTACATGCAGTCATTGAAAAGAAGCGATTAAAAAGATTATTGATAATTACACGCAGATGAATGCAGATTTGTGTATAATTAACATGTATATATATGTATAATGTGTTGATTAGCAAACGTAAACATTTTTATAAGCGGATGCGATGAACAACAAAAAAAGATGATTTACAAACCTTTTTTTCATGGTTGATGACAGTAGTGTTATCATTTTCGTCTTTTGGTATAATTATTCCCTTTTGACCATTCATATTGCTATCAAATTCGTTTGCGTGCGTCAACTTTGAAGGTTCAAATTTGAAATGATAATCATCTTTGCCACCCCAACATGTCAACATATTCTCTTCGGTCATGTATTCGCCTAAATTCTTCGAATTAACGAAACGCAACGAAGCAACCGCTTTTGCCGGTAACAATGCTTTTATTATATTAAAAGCGGCTGGAAAAATTAAATGAACATAATACGATATATCAAAAATATTTTGTTTATGTAAATACCATTTAAAATCCATGGTAGCTCATATACAAAGATATAGTTTAAATTGTTTGGATAGTAGTATTTTAAAAGATGTACAAATTGTTTTGTATAATCTAAATCCAAGTTTTTTAGTCCGGTGCCGGCCAAATCGAAAAATACCGATATCGTATCATAATTTTCTTCCCTGTATATAAAATAAAATACAAATTTTAAGAAAAATCTCACGTTCACGCCAAATGAGGATGCTTACTTATTCAATCTTTCTATCCAGTAGATGAAATTTCGTAACAATTGTTCCGTATCTCGAAGACCACGCACGTGTTGTTTTGATTTAAGTACCAGCACAACTTTTCCGTCAATATCACGATTTCGTGGAAACATTAATCCCTCATGGATGTAATCCATGTTGATATTTTTCTCTGAAATATCTTTAAAAAAAACAATTTGCATAGAAAATAGAATTAAATTGGAAAATTTTGTTCGAAGTATCTGGAGTCAAATAAATTGACAAAGCTCATATTATATCTAGCTAAAAACAAACTCAAACATTCTCTCAAATATTTCACACATACCATTTGCTCCGTAGTTTTTCCGCCATTCGCATGTATCCCAGAGCATTTTTAATGCTTCTTTCATATCCAAGTCATGTTGCTCGAGAAATTTCTGCAACCAAATATTGGTGGATTTTATTCGGTCAATATCTTTTGGATGAAATCCGCCTGTTTGAACAAAGCACAAAAGATCTTTTATTAGCCATTCAATATATGTTTCTAACTTTTAGTTCGAAATAACTCTTGTTTCCTATTTTGTTGACATTGTCTGTTTGTTATTAAATTGTTTGTCGGATAAATTAAACAAAAATAATTGCATTTCATTAGTGTCTGTTTCTTTTGTTTGTGATAAAAGTCAATAGAATTTTGTTTATGATTCACGATCAGAACAAAAATATGAAATGACGTGAGATTTGTTGTTTGTGCTTACTCACGATAATTGGTCATTTTGCATTTCGTACAAACATCAAATTACTCATTCAATCATTTTAAACGCCATCAATGGTGGGTATTTTTTTGGGTTATTCGGCTGGCTATTTTCTTTTTCCCAATCGACACACAATTTAAAAACCTTGAAAGTGTCAATGATTCCTTTATGAATGCCATGTAAAAGGAAACGAAGAGTCAAGTCAATGAATAAGCGATGCATGCATTGCAATGAACTACAATGAATTCGGAACAAAAGCCAAGCACATGGTCATTATTCCGGTTGCAATGAATGTAAATTCAAGATTCAAGTGAATACAGTTTGAAACCAGTTTGCACTGACGATGAATGAAAATGATGTCTGTGGAAACAAAAAAAAAACATGTTCTACGGTGAGTCCTTGTTAATATGTTGGGCATCATGTGCCGAACAAGTATTCATATTTTGAGTACAATGAACACGATTCGATTCGGTCGGACATGGTGTGTACGGTATTAAGGTCTTGGTGTTATTCTTCAAACATTTTCAAACGGTACTCTTATATAAACGACTAATAGTGCTTATCAGTAACCAAAAGTCAAGTGCTTTTGTGTATTTGATTAATTTTGAAAAAAAAGGGGGAAACTATATCTATGATCGAGTGCAATATGATTGAAATTGCGATAAGAACACACAAAATGACCAAATAACAACAAAAAAACATGTTTCATTCAGTCAAAATTGTAATACTTTTTTTCTGTTATGATCACACGAAAATGACTTGTAAGCATGATTTTTGTTTTCTGTAAAGTATAAATGACAACAATAATGAAAAAAAACAGACAAATAAAACAAAAAGTTTGCATAAAAAACGCCAAAGCATCATCACCATCACAACGACCTTGAATTCAATGAAAATAAATGCCAAGTTGCGATCATGTTTCAAGTTGCAAACACTTTGGCTATATGAATTCATCCATAAGAAACGCGATTACAACATGCGTTACACACAATGAAGTGTGGTCGCACCGTTTGGTTCGAAAGTGTAATTCGCACGTTGTTTTGAATGTTTCACGGGGGGGAATCGAAGCAATTTCAAACTGACTTAATAACTGTAGACAATTTCAATGTGAATTCAAATAAGTATGCGATTTATAGTTGAAAATAAATACCTTCACATGGAGCTCCTTCACGTTCCAGCCGCTCAAAGAAATTTGTTCGCAATTCCTCGATTTGTGTGATTGTCGGTGTTAGAAAGATCGCTTTCGATGGCATGATTTTATCTAATGATTTTATTTTCCGTCTTTAAATTACAACAATTTGTTGATGTTTGCGTCAGAGTTATTAACTGAACTTTTAATTCGATTTAATTATTGTAATACGTAAAGAACGTTTTAAATGTGTAAAGAACAAAACATACACAGAAAACGAAAGTAAAACCGTATAGAAACCACAAAACAAAATCACAATAAAACTTCAACTGTGACGATAGCACAACAAATTTACCGTTTTTGTTTTCGTTTTTTCAATTTGATTGTCGTATTCTATTTCTTAATATATTGGAATCAAATTTGATCGAACGAATAAATGATCAGTCAGACAAATAGAACAGTTCACCACTTGTTTTCAATACGAAACGTCTTTATTCACTGCAGCCAAATTTAAAATTGAAAAATAATTGCCACAAAACACAAGAATTGTACCCAATATCATTGGTGTTAGTTGCAAGAATGTTTACAAGTTACAGCAAAAATTCGTTGCATTTGACATCAATGAAGGATAGTGCAAAACGCTTCGAGATGTACTTATATATGAACTGAATGTACTATTGCGGTAAATAGTCGCTGTAATACTGACTTTGAACACAATAAATCATTCGGAAATAAAACAACAACAAATTAGTTTTTTTTTTCTTCGTACAAATACTACTACAACAGCAGTGAGGCGTAATGTACAACTGTGCAGTGTGATTTTATACCTCAATCTAAACGGTGTTTTAAAACATCGTCTTTCTTCTTCTCACATTCGTTTGTGTTTTCGTTGGTTGGTCTCATTGCAACGCACAATATCACTTGTGCTGAGGTTGCTCTTCTCATTCCATATTACATGATGCTAGTCAAAGCGGCATTTGTATTGGTGTGGTCGTACAAATTTACTAGATACATTCACGACCAAAACGAAATACATCCAAAAATGTTGACAGAGTTTTTTTTTGTTGTTGTCTGTCTGTCTGTCTTCTTTTGTCGTGTTCGCAGCTGTTTACAGTTGAATTAGATAATCTTTTGACAATTTTCGATGTAGGCTGTGTTAATATCAATTGTAAGTATTGGTTGTAGTCAATTTGATCGTTCGATTGTTGTAGTTTTTTTTAATGCAGCCAAACTAAACTGCAAACTACAATCGGTCGGATCTTTATTGCTACTGCTACTATTGCCACTACTACTACTACTGCAATTGTTGTTGCTGTTAATTTGACATAGCTAGTTTGAGTCAGTGGAATAATTTGAATTAATGTGTGTTACGAGAATGATAAGTTGAACTGTACTCCCAATCAAACATGTGCTAGTTTTGTTTGTTTTGTTTCATATGTTTCGCATTTTTTTCTCTTTCCTATACGATGAATTCCGTTGTGGTAAAAAAACATGTTTTCAATTTTACACAAATTGATTACAGTTCAATATATGTATGTGCTTGTACAATGGAACTGGAACACTTTTGATTTCAATGCTGAATAAATGTAACGTTTTTTTCTTCTTCAGCATATATGATAAATTGTTTGCAACTATTCAATCATGCGATCAGTGCATGAAGAATTTTTCTCATGCATTTATTCTTATTGGAAAATAATCATTTATTTCATTATATTCACAGTTTTTTTTTATTTGGTATAATTTTATTTTTGTCAAATGACTATTATCATTCAATCTCATCGATCGAATCGCCCTGAAACAGGATCTTCAGTTCACTTTTCTTTTTTGCCAATTTGGTTTTGGTGCGTCGATGCGTAACGCCATGATCTTCATCCATCATTCGTAATATTGTTATCTAAAACATTTTCATTTTTATTAAAGAAAAAAATGTTTATTTTATTGAATTGACATAAATTGTTAGCACATTCAAACTATTGCATGACAAATACAAAAAACATACCTGATCTGAGCAATCCATTGGTGCCACAGAAATATCTCTTACGGCTCGGAATTTTCCACAATTATTCAGATGCTCATTTTCTAATCGAAAATAATTCCACATGAAACGTCGAAACACCTCAAATGGACTTAAAATTGTCATCATTAATTCGCCTTCAACGACACCAGCTTTTACAAGCGACATAGATAACGTCCAGCCAAATCGTAATATTAAGTCTTCAGCCATACCGAAATAGTAAAATAACTAGAAATTGACAAGGAATGTTAATTAGTACAGTGGATTTTTCCATGCTGGTTTTACAGAAAAAACATAAGTGCGCTGATGGAAAATTTATGGACAATGAATATCATCAATATCTATTAGAATATTGGATAGCGGTTTAACGAAACGATTCAAAATTATCCGAGTTTTCACCAATTATGCGGAGCTTGTATTTAATTTTAGGTTGGTGAAAATAAAAGTGCAAATACTGAATCGTACTTTGACTAATACTATTTGACAAATCATAAAAGTGGTTTGTGAAAAAAGCAACATAGATTTTATTTAATATAAAATCTATGAAGAATTTTTCAAAAATTCCTTTTCGAACATTGTTTCAAAGCTTATTTTAAGTACGCGTCTGTTCTATTTAATAATATAACGTTCTATTTTTATAGGTGAGGATCCAGTTTCCGCGGTCCCAAGTTACCCGCTCATAAAATTGAATTCAACTGCTGATGTTTTTGGCAATAAAAATTCTTTCGATTTTGTTATTAATCAATTTTGCTGCGAGTGGAATCAAAAATCCCATATAAATTTTTTGGACATTAAGGTTGACGCTAGATAGAATCGACTTTTGCTAGATGTTTGTCGTTATCCTCCCCTAAAATCTCTTGGCGTACCCACCAACGTTACCAGGTTATTTAAAGACGAACTCCACATAAATAATTGAATTTTGAATTGGATCGATTTCATTCGCATTTCCGATACATTCGAATTGTCCATAAATTTTAATGAATCATGCTGAACTTGTATTTTTCTGAACTAGCAGCATTTTCGTATTGTTGCAAAACTAAAAAAAAAAAACAAATTTACTCGGTAATTCGAATAATAAAAAGAAGTATAGTTTATCTCAAAAAAATACATTGCCGATTTAAGTGTCCGATGTATATTAAAAATATGGAAACTGTAATGAAAAGCATGACCTACATTTGACGAATACACCGTTTCCTCGCGTAGAAAATTGTGTTTAATTTCAAGTAAACCCCAATCCATTTTAATGTCCCACGCATACGCATAACAAGATGAAACAATCGACGCAATTATCCAGAGATAAAAGTATGGATTATTTGTGCTGCCCAAATGCGAACCTGTATAATAGGGAAATTCCAGCAATTAGTCTACATACGTGTACAATTTTATTTTTGATATGATTACACCGCTGAAACAAATTAATTGGTAAACAAACAAACCGGTAACAAATGATAGCGATGAAAAAATGACGACAAAAAATGATGTTGAATATTTGAGTGCGTTTGCCAAATGCGGAAATGCCTCACGCGTATCACGATAACGACGTATGCATTGTGCAAAACGAAACCAAGCCGGTAACATGGCCACCATCGGTCGAATCAAATATGAACCTTCGACACATGATTCAACGTCTAAAAATAATTGATAAAAACCCAAACGGTATATATTTTTAGAAGTCATTATTAAGTCATTAAACGGTTATTTTTTCATGAGTCATTTACCTTTGGGCGACGCAGTTTTCCATATTGGATTATTGTAATAGAAACATATTAAAAATTGTAGATCTAAAAAGGCGGGTACAATACTGTTCAATTGATCGGCAACAAAGAAGTCGGCAAAGCTGACGTAGTAAAATGGCGCCAAAAATATTCGCCACAATACTCGAATTGTCCAGAAACGTGCCTCATGCCGAAATGTTTTCGTTGGATTAAATAGAAATAGTGCCATTAAAATATACAACGTTAATGGACTTGCGTATGTTGGAATTGAAAGTGCGTCACTATATTGGAAACTTAATACACATATAGTCCAAATGACACCAAAACATGCACCAAACTCCATTATATGTTGCTCGGATAAATGATTTCTAGGATTGATTTCGAATATAAGAACATGATTTACGCCTGCAATGAACCAAAATGATGTCACAATGATTACAATTCAAGAGCAAAACAAAAAAAAAAATGTAAAGATTTCAAACCTGCTGATCTCCATCCATATACATTAAGTCCCCACAAAAATAAAAATCCAATTATCAATAAAGGTCCACGAAACAATCGAATTCCAATTTCCCAGTCTTTATTCCTATGATATATGGCCGTTAACATGACGGTCACCATTAATACAATAAAGGCACCCGAAAATATTCCAACTTTGAATGTGATCCATGGACTTTGGTGTTCATTTAATGGTGGCACTCGTAATCGTTTCATCGCTTTTTGTCGATCACCTCCTTCAATGTCTTGCGTAACAATTGATTCCGTATCATGAATAAGTCGATCAATGTCTTTGTTCACATGAAAATGTGCCACTTCCACATGATCCATTCGCCATTTGGCACCCAAATCAACACTCAACAGTTTATCATGTTTTTTTAAAATTTTCCGAAAACCGGTAAAATTTAATGTTTGATAGTTTTGTAATAAAATCAATCCCAAGTAAAATTCACTAAATGCCAACTTCAAATCTTGTACTTTACGTGCCGGTTTTGTTTTCTTGCGCAGCAATTTTTTTGATCGTGACAAAGCCTTTTTTGTATCATAACCATCTTCTAATGCTACACTCACTTCGGTTCGTAGATTGGCAAATTTTCGCGTTGCTTCGGCTAATTTCTCTATAATTAACAATGATAATTAAATTGTTGTTAGTTTTGTGTTGAGAAATTATGTCAATGACATTTTTCAAAATAAACCTGAATAAAATGTGTTGATTTTTGCCAATTCCTTATCGCAATAATGGAAAAATTGTTCGTCGAATGTTGCAAAATATCGCGTTAAAAAGTCCGGTTCAACTAATTCAGCAGATGGAGACTGTTCTATGGCATTGTACAGCATTGTTTTCATTTCCTATAAAGATTTTTTTTAATCAGATAAAAATAAAAAAATAAACACAATTATAGAAACTCTCGCCAAATGGACTAAAAATATGCTTTTTAAGAAGACAAAGCGATGAATGTGTTATGGATAATTTGATTTTGCCGCGCGATTTCTGTGATGTCATCATAACAAAAAACATATGAGCGTCGCGCATGCGCCTTTCCCATTTTTTATAATTATAAATGACACTCATAAAACTTTTTATACTGACATCCATGCATTTCATCAGCAAACATTTGATATTAATTAAATTTCCTTAATTATTTGTTATTCTTTTTTCGATGTTTATATTAAAAGAATCGAAGTGACTGTTTTGTTTTTACCTCATAGTTGATGTATGCTGCCCTCCATTCGGGCGTTATATGCGCTGATAGATGTTCTGCAAACTTCATGGTTTGCTTATTGTATTTGCTACAACAGGTTTAATCAAAAGAATAAAGAAAATGAAAAACGAAAAACACTTGATTCGTTTATTTTGTGAATCAATATGAGCGATTTTTTCTTTTAAATATTTCCTTTTTTATTTTGCTCTTTATCCGATATATAATACACTCAAATGAAAAACAACATATTTATATAGACCAATTGAAATGGTGATGGTGGAAAATGCGATGTTCTCGTGACGACCGCATCGCTCTAACTAACTAAAAGCAAACATTTTCCATCTGATTTGATAAACAGGCATTTCACATCAACGGCACGACGCTACACGATAACCGACGCATACAGCGTATTATTAAAGACATTTTGAACTCAGCGTGTATGTTCGGTGTGTATTTTGTTCTCCTAAAAATAGATTACTCCTTATTCTATCTCAACGTCGAATAGTTTGCTGCGTTCAACTTATTGACAGTTGTAGTTGTAAACGTGAATATTATTATTATTATTACCTTGTTGTTGAAATTAAAAAAAGAAAGCATACACTCATACTGTTTCTGGGTCAAACAAATGAAATATTTTATTATTCGATTTATTTCTAATTTTGCATTCATACTTCTTCTCTCCTCTTCCTGTATTTTTGTCTTTCTCCCTTGCGGTTCATTTTTGTTTTGAATTCAGTTATTGTTATTAGCTTTTGTTAGTGTTTTTAGATCTGGCCAAACATGTATGGTATCTTTAATGACATTCTATAAAGCGTCGGAAAATATTTTCTACGAAAAATTCATTCCGCTAAAAAAAAATCAAATAAATTGACAAATTTATTTTTCTATGAATGATATTTTCTTTATTATTGTGTTTTTTTTTCTGTTCGTATAAAGTAATTGTGATGAAAAAAGTAAGAAAATAAAATTGTGAAAAGCCTATTTTTTTCAGTCAAACAATTCACTCTCTTTCCGAAAAAAAAATTAAAAAAAAAAAAAAATACGTTACAAACATTGTTAACATTAATTTATAAAAAGAAATTCTATATGAAATTGATGTTGGTGGTTTGATTTTCTTATTTTGACGAAAGAGAAAAAAAATCAAACGATGAATTAGTTGATAAATCAAAACTAGTTTAATATTTTCACTGATAAATTCGATCAGTGCGTTGAGAAATGATAGTTTCTATCGCCCAATCGATGCTTGAGAATGTTGTCGTTGAACGGAAATGGATTGAATTATTTAGATATTTATTGGTATTGCAGTGTGGCTATAGACGGTGGAGAGTCATCTGGATCGGGATTTCCATTGGAATCGTTAATACACAAGACTTCATCTTCCTCTTCAAAACATTTGAAATCCTCCGGGAATTGAACGTGTTTCTTTAGCATGTTGGATGAATGTCGTCGTCCAATCGGTGATGTATTTGAAACAGGACCTTTTCAATACCAAACAACATTCATATTACTCAGACTGTCTTCAATTTATATTTTGTAAATATCAAGATGGAAAAACATGTGAAAGTAATATTTGCAAATAAAGAGGGGTTCGGTATATTTTCTTATACAATACGAAGATCATATTATGTAATTGCATATTTTATAACATCCCCAAAGCATGTTCCGAAAAAAATTTAATGGAAAAAAATTTTCTTCCACATGGATTCTCATAATCGTATTACGAACTTACTTGATTTTTTATTGGTCGATTTGGTATAGAAAATTGATTTGGCCAGCGCTTGACTTTTCGATATCAATTTGTCATTGTTGTTGTGGGGCTGATTCTGATAATTGAGTTTTATTGTTTGAGGTAGTGTCTGCAAATAGAAGTGAAACCAGAATTTATTCGAAACAAGAAATTGCTGAAGAAATGTAATAGACATTGTATTAATTACTTTTAGTTCGGTTTCAACATTATATTTCGCACGACGACTTCCTTTAAAAACTTGATATTGTGATATTATGCAAAGTAAACAGTATATCTGAAATGTAAAGAGAAACATTGGAAAATTTATTAAATTGTTTTTAAGAAATAATAATAATAATGGGCTAGACGGTGTGAAAATGGCTTGATGTGAATTAAATGGATTTAAATGAGAGACATTTTTGTTGTTGGATATTTTGTTTTCGAAATTTATTCCGTCTGGCCGCATGAACAAACTATGAACGCATTTCGACTCAACAATTCGGACCCCGACCAATCAAAAAGTTTTTGGCTTGTTGATTTCATTCTACTGTTGTTGTATGATTACCACTTAACATATTATGGTCATCCTTCGAACACTGTCACATACCCCAAAGCTACATGTTACGCGATACTTTTCTCAAAAAACTTTGTTCAAACTTTATCTAAAGTGCTTTTAAATTATTTTCGATATTGGAAAAATGGTCAGTACTTCAAAGAAAAAAATAGCACTGCACACGGTGGTTTTCGAAATGTGTTCGAGAAATTATTACAAACTACCAATATTATTTTGCTGTGCATACATACGTCAGTTTGTGACTTATGTAACTGCGTAATTTGATATGAAACATAAAAATAAACGTAATTTTATCCAGCTCTTTTAATTGTCATCAAAACATACAAAACAAATGTGTGTCATTGGCATTATTGTGAAGAAAACATTTAATACTTACATTGAGTGATAATAGAAAAAAATTAATCACGTACATCACGGCTGTAATCGGTTCGAATTCCAGCTGAAATCAAGCAAACCAAAACAAACATAAGTTGTAATTCAAGATTTTTATTGGAATTTCCATCATCTGTGCGAAGGAAAAAAAATATCACTCACCGAATCTATAACTAGGAGATATATAAAATGTGCGATATCAAGCAAAATATGAATAACCATCGCCATAATCCATGGGACAAGGAATGCACGTTTGTCCTGTGATATAAGAAACATATTTCATTTGTTTTGTTGTGAAATGTTCACTTTTTGATTTTCTATGATGATAGTTGATTGATGAGCACCATCATCATGACGACCCAAAATTATAGTGGGGGCACATTCATATTCAAGTATGATCGTTTGGTTGTTGTTTTTTTTCTCTCGCATTTGCATACGTCCTTTGTTGTCATTGCATCAAATTGGAGACAAGAAGTTTGCATATTGTTTTCAAAGACTTGTCGATTTCTTTTATCACTTCTGTTTTCATTTGACAACAATAAAAATGAAAGAAAAATTCTTGCTCAAATTGCATGATAAGCGTATGCATCGACACATTTGTTTTTGTTGTAAATGAACCATTTATATGCAATAGATTGAATTGAACTCAGTACGGGCTAAAAAGAATTCGATAATGTTATGAATTTTTCCAGATTCATTGTTACGGGTAATAATGCGCTAAACATATATTTGATAGTTGTATCAGCCGAGTTACATTCACATTTTGATTTCACTTCAAATGGTAACATGTGAGGCTGACTCCGTTCGGTTATGCGTTGGCGTAAGCGAATGGGAATTTATTGGTAAACATGTTATCGTTGGTGTTTTGTCTTTGAAATATGCAAGCAAACAATTGATTTTTTTTTCTTAAATTCGCATCGAATCCTTTGGAGCTCTAATCATGCGAATCTGGAGCTCTAATATGACATTTTTGAGTTTGAATATGTCAACGCCAACAAAATATGCAATAAACGACAGCATTTTCAGCATCAAAATCATTGACATTCAATTTCGAAAAAAAAATCAATGGCTGTCTCAATTTGACATCAACATAGACTTTTTTCATCGGCTGCCCGTTTTTCTGCAATTTTCAAAATCTCAACGTCAGAAACTGTTGATCTTTAATGTGTTTTTTAGCGCACAATGCACGAGTCAGTAAAATTTCCTTTGTGTACACACACAAAATACTGATTATCAAATACACCAAAATCACCAAAAGAATGTTCAAACCCCCCAAAACGTCGCATGGAAAAACAAATTGAGAAAATTCCAAGTAATACTTACCATAGTCAAACCATAAAATACAAGAATACAAGCAATTACACCACATGCTGAGCAGAAAAATAGAAGAATACTAAATATCACAGATGCTGAAAGAAAAAAAAAATACGGAAGAACAAATAATCGGATTAAATTCTGGCAAAATGATCCGGTTAGGTTTTATGAAATTACTAAAATAATATGTTTGAAGCCTAAACAATATTTCCAAACAGTTATTAGGAAAATTGAAAATGAATAGCGAATACCGGCTATTCCATACGAAAACAAAATTGGAATCTGGCGAAAAACTCAGAAACCGCAAATGTATATATTACTTCTGTAGTATACTGTAAGATGTTTGATAAATTGGTTTGTTGTCAAAAAAGAATAATGTCTGTATTATTTTATAAAAATTCTTAATTAATTCACTGTTAAGTCATTTGTCTATTTTGAGACATTTTAATTTGATTTTTGTATGAGTGAAATTTTTAACAGTAAAAACACATCGATTCGGTGACATTTACTAGAATAATTTTTATTGTTTTTTTTTTTATTAAAAAAAATCAATATGCTTATTTCACAATTTCTTGGTAAAATGATGAAAAAAATTCAACACAAAGCCGATATTGGCCGTATGATATCATTTTGATTCGTATGGAATAGTTGCCAATTTGAAAAATTAATAAAAAAATAGCTTACAGTAAGAAATTTGTTTGCGTTCTAAAAAACTTTCTCCTTTGGGCGTATCCACATTTCCAGCGATGAAGTCCCATTCCTTATACAAATAATCACCTTGCATTATGAATATCCCACCGTAGTAAAACTAAAAATATGTACAAAAAAACATAAACGTTATTACCACGCTGTAGCGCGTAAGTGGATAAATTTCTTTTTCTATTGAATAAGTTTGCAACCTATGGATTCAGTTTCAAATTGAAAATAAATTCTTGAAAGTAATCTTTTTTTTCATGGCCAATTAAAAGAGAAAGCTTACAAAGAGTAAGCCGAATCTATAATAAGATTAAGCCGATAACACAATTGAACACATTTTTTATTATATCAATTTTATTTTATATCGATTTTCGGACATTTTATGACGAAATAAGATTAATATAAATTCGAAGTCTACTAAACAGCAATACCTTACATCAAAAACAAATCCGTTCATTAAATCGCATATAATTAAAATTGAGTCTTTTGCATGTGTATCGTTGATTGCAGCTGTGTCTTAATTACTCGTTTACCTTAAAATCAACCGCTTTTCAACAACAAAACTTTGCCATCGAAAAATAATTCTACTTTCAATTTCACAGTGTACCTTTATCACCTCAATATTAGGGATTAGAAGAGAAATTCAAACATATTTCAATGTCAGTATAGTTGGTGAAACTTGTTGCAAACTTCAAAATTTACCCAAACAAAGTTTTGAAATCGATTTCTATTCACTTGAATTATTCCATTCAAGAAGTAAAATCGTCCATAGTTGTACATTCATGTTCAGGCAAAATTTAAGCTTTTAATTATCTCTAATGATACTAATTAGAGTATGAAATGCATTGTGTAAATTTTCCATGAAACATTGATTGGAATTCTGGAAATGAACACTCCTTGTTATTTTCAGCGGAAAAAAACGTCTTTAAACTTGGTTCATTGTCACCATATTATTTTTTTTTCGACAAAGAAAAATTTGCTTTATATAAAAACACTGGGAACACTTTTCTTGTTATGAGAAAATAAAAATGTAATTTTAAACTTTTTTAAGAGACTGTTTAACTTAATTTATAGAGGTAGAAAACCAAAAGCTTTCGAATCATTAAAAGCGTAAGTACCCTTTTTATATGTAAAGAAAACCTCAATCCCAACTTTGACAAGGTGAACTATTGAATGTTCACAACATGAAAATTAAGTATGTCATCAAGTGAAATTGAGCACTTAGCGCGTGTCAAATGTATACGGAATTTATGTGTCCGCTTTTTTTTAGCTTACTTACAAATATGACTCGATTATTTAGTGAAATGCAAGCATATCGAAGTAGTTTTCAAAAAATTATTATGCCATTCAATAGAAACTTTGATGTCAAAAAATCCATTTACTTAAGCACATCAGCAATTTTTTGTTTGTTTTTGCTTGTCTTATTTGAAATCATCGATTTCAATCTATCGAATGTGCTACAGAGCGAATATAAGACGCACGCAAATACGTATCGATAAAAATTTAAGACAAGTGCAGAAAAAGAAATGAATTGAGTACGATAAACGGCGATAGCTACTTATTAAAGGTTAATGTTACTGATGCTTTGAACATTTAAATTGGTTCTGAAATTCAGAAGAAATGCATGCACCAGCTATTATTCGCGCTTTCGAGAAAATGAACTTGAATGGCATACTCGATATGCTCATATTACGCGTTTCAATTGTTCAAATTCTATTCACTTGGCATTTTTTTATCGTCGTATCTCTAATAGAGCCATTTGTTCTTAATGTATGGGTATTATAGCAACGCAATGGTTATTATTTCGAACATTTTTACTGGTGCTAAAATCAACTAAAAATCGACAAATTCAAAAACAATGGAAGAAAAACGAAATCACAATGGCAAACCTTTAAATAGACATATTCTTTCGTCTATTTCATTTTGAAAACGCTTTCTTGTCTGCTGACTCGCGTTTATCGACTAGTTTTCATGTTGAACGATTATAATGTCGATGCGTTAGACATATATTTCATTTGGCGTATACATTTAAGGCAAGACTTGGCAATTGAATGTCTTGTCTCGCCACGATATGGTGTAAATCAAAAGCAAATCAACTCAGCATAGTATGCGAATGTATACATTTATAATGGTATAACTTTCAAAATAACCAATTCGCTTTCAATTGATATCTCAAATATGTCTTATTTTACTTTCATTTTGTCTATTAAAATGGAGTCAAGTTATCCCAAACCATTATGGGTGCATTAAGGATTTTGCGTATATATTAAACATATTATTTTGGTAATTACATTTGACAATGTGTCATGAGAAAAACACTCATGTTCAGTTAGTCATCGTTGAATTCTTTGTAATTCAAAATCTGATTTTTTTCTCTTTGATCAAAGCCAGAATACTCGATTGTCCTTATAAAGAATATCTCTAGAACAGCAAAAGTAGCTTTTTTTCCAAATGAATTGGCAGTGTATTTTTCCACATTATCAATATCGGCAAAAACTTTCACGCATTTTTGCATATGAACACGAATAATTGAGTAATAACTCATTAAAAATTACATACCGTAAAAAAAATACACGGTATACAAGTACGGTGATAAAAGCGCACGTAATATCTAGATTGTGAAATGAGTAAATATTTGAATTAATAAATTGAAATACGTGCTATGTCCGCACATAAGGTTTCCCGATGAAATGGCATTATATTTGGCGCTTAAAAAAAGAAATGTACGATACGGCATTCGTCAAACATAAAAACCAGCAAGTATAAAAACATAATTCTCCAATTTTTTTTGTTCCGTTTCAAATTATCACAATGCGTCGGAAAAATATTTTTGTCGCGTAAAAATACTGCGTATTACTTCTTCCCCAAACCAGTTTAAAATTAAATCAACTGCTTTTAAACTAATTGAGCAAAATTCCTTCGCGGAAAATATCTAATTTACATATACGAACTGTTTAAAATACAATGTGAACCTGTGCGTTGGATTTCGACCACTCTTTTGCTGGTTTTGATTATATGAAGTCTGTGCTTTGCTCCATGCGATTCATCTTTTCATGGAAAACCTATTTAACTAATTGAACATCATGATGTGCGGAGAATCGTTTGACACCGTTTTGTAGCAAACAGACGTAGATGGATGTTTCAATTTCATAAGAGTTATAACGAAATATGTCGACGGATTAATTAGTAATGAGAATTGAAAAATTAATGTCTTAGCTAGAAAATGCATCCCACTAGATGCTTTCGAAATGATCAATTCATTTCATAACAAGTTCTGTTGTATTTTTCTGGTCTCGCAAAATGTCTATACCATGATACAACGTACGTCCCACGGTTTTATATTATCATCTGCCTTAAATTCAACAGACCGATGAATATACTGATATGGCTGGGTTGATCGTTTTTCGAATACATTTTACCTTATCGTTTACAAACTTTGCGAATTCGAAGACTGTTAACTAAGCTCAACGCCTTAGAAGGATTGAAAAAATACGAAAATCTATGAGCACATAATAAATTCAGACTGGGTAGAAACAACATTGGCTTTTAGATATGAAACACGTTCTAACTCGGTTACATTTCCGCAATACGTAACATACATATATAATTCCATTATATAAGAAGTTGAATAAACTCAATAATAGTTGTAATAAAACGAAGAATGAAATTGAAACGGCCGGTTTTGTATCATAACAAATCTTCGGCATGTTTGTTGCATGTGACGGTTTTACTATCACCTTGAATACCATCTCTGTGTATATAAAAATAACTTTGACATTAAATACACGCAAGGATGAACATTGAATGTTTTATATCATCGTCAAATGATATTTTACAAGACTTGTCACAGTATATTTTGATGGGACACAGTTTTTCATTCATTGTTTGAACATGTTCGTATGTACGACATTTTTCTCGAATGAAAAGCAAAAATCAACACAATCATTGTAAAAAGTACATGTATTTTTTTTTTAAATATTATTGAACCTTTCATATACAAAACCACTGTCCACCCAATGAGGAATCAAAATGTGCATATTCAACGTGGGTCAAAATGCGCACGTCAATTGGTCGAAATATGCACAAAAAATTGACAAAATCCACTAAAAATTCATTTCAGCACGAGCATGATAAAAACATCGTACGCACATTGATTGCATCCAGCAGACGGAAAAAATCCAAACAAAATCCTGATAATTTGTTAGTATTTATGATTGAAATACAATTTGGCTGAATTGAAACGAAATTGTGGAACTGACATTGGCAGTCAGCCAAGGGGCTTTTCAAAGTGTCGCAGACAATGGTGCGTTTCTCAAGTGTTTCTTTCAATTCCCATCAGAATAAATGGTGATGACAAAAAAAAAAATTGGGTACTAATTTACAATGCAGACAATATAATTAGATCGTGAAATACATATGTCTATGTAGCGGACATTGAAGTTGAAGTTCAAGTCAAACAATTTGTGTGAAAACACTCACCCTTCCATTAAGTGAAGAAAACAGAAAATGGACAAGAGATTATTAAATTTTGTTTTGTTTTGTTTTGCTCGAAATACGTGATGCAATTCTATGTTATTTTCAATGATGGCAACTCAATTTATAATTTACGATGATAAGAAAATGCGTTTGCTTTATTGTTCGTTTGACTTCGAATGTTGAAGACTTGATTTGAATAACCTGAGTGTCATCGATCTGCACATAAATTATATTCCCATTGTATAAATTGCTATCTGGCCACCATTGCGAAATTAATTGAGCGAGGGAGGGGAAGATGAAAAGCATGTAAGTCGTGAAGTAACAACGAACCAGACACTCTGTCAGCCAGCTATAAAATTCAATTGAAATCCATCTCATAAAAATGCATGAAAATGGGCTTTAAATTATAATCCATAAAATGGATGGGACCTATATTCCAGATATATATGCACGTGATACCGCCTAACATTTGTGCGAACCGAAAGGCACGGTCCCAAATCGATTCGGCGACACGCTCTACAACGAAAACCTATTCTGCTTGTTTATTATTTAAACCGTCTTTTTTTCACAAAAAAAAATTAAATCTCCAAAACTTGTGTTATTTATACAATGGTTTTATGGATAATTTAATGCGAG